ATTTGCTTTTTGTTCTGCCTTCCGACGGCCCGAGACGGCCCGAGTGCCCCGAAAGATCGCCCAAGAGGCCCAAGACACGGCCCCAGGAGGCCCCCAAGACGGCCCAAGAGGTCTCCAAGACGCTCAAGATGGCCTCCAAGACGGTCCAAGAGCCCTCCAAGACGTCCTCCAAGAAGGCCCGAAAGGGTCAAAATGGCCTCCAGACGGCCAGGATGACTTTCAAGATGCCCACGTGTTCCCCGAAGGCTTTCCAAACCGATTCGGGGAACACGTGGTCCGATAGCTTGGCAGGTCTGGCCTCAACGTTCGGCCACACAGGCGCTTCCAAAAAGGCAGGGGGCGGCGGTGATTCGCCGTAGGCGTCTTCGATCCGCCGCCCCCTGTTGATTCATCACAGGGGTGCCTGGCGTGCTGGATCCTCTCTGTTTTGGTTTTGGTTCTTTTTCCAAAAGAACCCCCCCTGGGGCTTCGGCCGGTCCCGCCGGCCACCCGGAAGAATGCCGAAAAATCTTCCAGAGGTGGTTGCAAAGGGTTTTTCCGTTCCAGACGGCTCCAAGATGGACTAAGACGGCCTCCAAGACGGCCAAGATGGCCTCCAAGACGGCTAAGATGGCCCCAAGATACCTCCAAGACGGCCCAAGATGCACCCAAGGCGGCCTAAGATGGCCTCAAGATGGCCCAAGACGGCCCAAGAGGCCCCCCAGAGGCCTCCAAGACGGTCCAAGAGGCCTCCAAGAGGTCCTCCAGGAGGGCCCGAAGAGGCAATTGTTTTTGATTTTCCATCGGTTTTTGAAGGATTTTGGCATTTGCCTCTTCTCGGCATTCCGACGGTTCAAGACGGCCCAAGAGACCCAAGATCGCCCAAGAGGCCCCCAAGAGGGTCCCATGACGGCCCAAGTGGCCTCCAAGACGGCCCCCAAAGGGCTCCAAGACAGCCCAAGAGGCCTCCAACACGCCCAAGATGGCCTCCAAGACGCCCAAGATGGGGCCCCGAAGCGCCCCAAGAGGGCCCCCAGTCGGTCCAGAAAGGCCCCCAAGACGGCTCCCGACGGCGTCAGACGTGCCAGGAACCCACCAAGATGGCCGAAGTGGGCTCGAAGCTGGCCAAGGACGGCCCAAGAGGCCCCCAAGAGGGCTTCCAGGGAGGCCCGAAGAGGCCAAACACATTGATTTTCCTAAGGTTTTTGATGGATTTTGACATTTCCTTCTTTTCGGATTTCCGACGGCCCGAGACGGCCCAAGAGCCCCCAAAGATCGCCGAAAGATCGCCCAAGAGGCCTCCAAGATGGCCCCAGAACGGCCCAAGAGGGCCCCAAGACGGCCCCAAGAGGCCCCCAAGACGACACAGGAGGCCTTTAAGGCGCCCAAGATGGCCTCCAAGACGGCCCTGGAGCATTCCAAGAGGGCCCCAAGTCGGCACAGAAAGGCCCCCAAAATTCCGACGGCGTCAGACGGACCAGGAGCCCACCAAGACGGCCGAACATGGCCCTAAGATGGCCCAAGACGGCCTACGAGGCCTCCAAGAGGGCCGCCAGGAAGGCCCGAAAAGGCCATTGGAGTGCTTGCACGGTGTTGGCTGGGGTGCTCCATGGTCCTTTGACTGTTCTCCAGTGCATGAGCGTTGGCCGGGCCATGGCCCCGGGCGCCACCACGACCCGGGCAGTGGGCGTCGCGGTGGGCGCGCCCGCGGCCTGGGCGGGGTTGCGGCTGGCGGGCGGTTGGCTGGCGGCGGTGGTGGCAGTCTCCACCACCTACCCTGCCCGCGCCTGCCAGGCCCTCGCGGGGCCGCCTCCGCCGCCGCCCCCGCCGCCGCCGCCCGCCGGGCCTGGTTCGGCGAGCGTCGCGGCGGCTCTGGCCGCGGAGCTAGGGCCGCTGCTAGCCAACAGTTCCCTGCAGGCGCCGCCGATCTGCCCCTCAGTGGAGGCACTGGCCGCGGTGACATTGGAGAGAAGCTCCCGCTGGCGACGGGGGCCGCGGGCCCGACTGTCGCGGCGGAGCCGCCCGTGGCCGGCCTGGCCTTGGAGCCCGATTGCGCGTCCGCGCTGGTGTTCGCGTGGCTGGTGGCGGGGACGGAGTTCTACAGGTTCTCAGAGCCCGTGCGCACGACCCAGCCTCACTCCCTTGTCCTTCGAGCACGTACCGCTCAGACTGAGCGCGGCGCAGTGGAGGGTTCCGGGCAGTACTACACCTGGGAGGGCGTCTCAGAGCTCCGTCGCCGCCTCCCCCTGCGAGTCGCGAGCGGGGGGGGTGACAAGACGGCGACGCCGCCTGGGGCCGATGCTGGGCCGCTGATGGAGGCGGCCGCTGCGGACGCCGGGGGCGCCCTGCGGGCCCTGGACCCGCCTGAGGGCCGCACCTGGGTCGTGGCCTCCCCTTGGGCGCTTCCCGTGGGACGCGAGGAGGCCCTTGCCGAAAGCAGCGTAGGGCTCGACGCCCACCACGCCGCCTCCCGCGACGGCGAGAGCCGGCGAGTCGCGGAGGCGATCCCCGTAGAAGAGGTCGACGGTCACCGTCGGCGGCGACCCAGGGTGGCCATGAACCTGCTGGAGGGCCTGAGCGGCGGCCGCCGCGTGGCACTGGAGGGGGGCCCCGAGTCTGCCGTGGTGCCCACTGCCGTCGGGGCTCCGGACCTGGAGGCAGCCGACAGGGACCTAAGAGACAGGCTTGGGTTCCCGGCGTCCGAGGGGGCGCCTGACGCCGAGGTCGCCGATGACGCGAGGAGTTCGTGGGCGCAGCATGAGGAGCGCGGGGGGCGCCACAAGCCTTGGCTCGAGGTCGTTCGCGAGGTGAAGCAGCACATCTTCCGCGACTGGTCCCTGTGGGACGGCCTCTCCACCGTAGAGCACATGATCAAGAGTTGAGGGCAGAGCGGTGGCAACTCCCTGTCGTGGCCGGAGATGTGGGCGCGGGATCGGCCCATCAGCTCGAGTGACCGCACCTGCATCGAGATGAAGTGCATGCTCTCAGCGACCAACGACGCGGGGAGTTGTGTCCAGATCAATTCGGCCAGCATGGTGAGTATCGAGGCAGCGTGCCACGGGGTGTCGCAGATCGTGGAGGCCTATTCGAGCGACCCCACCAAGCCACCGAAGCGGGGCGGCCTGCAGCACTACATGGGCGTGACAGGCCCGCTGGGCGTCGTCGACCTCGCGTCGAGGTCGGCCGTCTTCCATCGGAGCAAGGAGGGGAGTGAGCTGGAGGACTGGAAGAGCCGCGCCGCCGGCGCGTTGGCGCCGAGCCCCCTGGCGTTGGAGGCAGGAGAGGGGCCCCCAAGTGGCCCCTCGGGCGCAGCTGGCGGGCGCGGCCGCGGACGAGGTCGCGGGGGTGATCGAGACGGCGGCGGACATGGGGCAGCTGGGCGCGGTGGCAAGCTCGCCGCGCCCGAGGCGGCACCGCTCTTGCCGGCGGGGGTGGGCGCCCCGCCGGTAGTGCTCAGCCCACGCGCGAGGTTGGGGTGGACCTGCTCTCGCTCCTCTCCCTGCCGAGGCTGGGCGACCATGAGTAGAATTGGCCGCAGCTCCACAGCCGCGGGGCCGCTCGGCTCGCCAGGCGGGCCCGCCGGGACTTCGATGAGGTTGTCGATGCTTTCAATTGGTTGGCGATCCGAACTACTACAGACGCCAAGCCGAATTTCGGCCAGGCGAGGGTGCACGCGCGGATCCTGGAGTGCGCGGGTGACAGCCTGCCGCCCCTGGAGACTGCGCCCCCCCCCCCCACCCGCGGGCAGCCTTCTCAGAGCTGCTGCACGGCCGCAGTGTCTACGACGAGTCGGCCGGACGGGCTGTCGGACGTCTTCGCAATGCGGGGCATATATCCTTGCTTAAGACCGTGGTGGGAGGGCCGCGGCTGATGGACATCGCACCTGCCCATGCACGCCATTTTCTCGAAGACGTTTTTTTTTTTCTCGGATGCTTATAGATGCGGTGAGTTTGCGTCGTCGACTTGATGAATGTGACGTCATCCCCCACTGGGGTCCATGGCTGGCTCGCAACCGCAGGCTCTATGTACGCATGATCAAGTTGCTCTACTCCAAGGGTGTGCTGGTGTTCTCGAATGAGGCCGAGCGTCGCGGGGAGATCGGAGTCTTCTTCGTGGCCAAGAAGTCGAACCAACTTCGTCTCATCATAGACGCCAGACGGAGCAACCTCCACTTCGCTTCTCCCCCTGGCGCGTCGCTGGCGCCGGCCGAGGGCCTCGCCCGCGTCGAGGTGGAGGGCGATGACATCCACGGGGGCGCGGACCTCGGCATCACGCTGGGAACCTCCGACATCAGCGACGCTTTCCACCGCTTCAGGGTCGATCGGGGTCTCTCCGGCTACTTCTGCACGCGGTGCGTGACGGCGCAGGAGGTCGGCCTTGTGAGCACCGCCATCGGGGACCTCGCGGCGGCGCCCGACCGCCGGCTGGTGACCGCGTGCGCCGCCCTGCCGATGGGCTTCACCTGGTCGCTCTACTTCTGCCAGGAGGTGGGAGACGCCGCGATGGGCACCACCCCCGAAATGGAGCGCGTCCACCGCATGAGCGACCGAGGCCCTGCGACTGCGCTGCGCCCGTCGGCCCCGCTGGCTGCAGGAGGAGGCGCTCAGCGCACCTACGTGGACAACCTCGGAGCGTTGGGCTTCAACAGCGGGGACGTCGCCAGCAGCCCTGCCGCCGCCGCGGCGAGGTTCGACGCCGCGGGCCTGAAGACGCACGAGACGGAGAGGATCCATTGGAATCGATTGGACTCGCCATTGGAAATAGCTGGGGGGTGCCATGGGAAATAAGGAGGGCGCCATTGGCCAAGGGGGGGGAGGGGAGAGCGGGGCGCCATTGGAAATGGGGGGGGGGCATTGGAAAACGTGGGAGGGGGGGAGGGGGGGGGGCCTGAAGACAAATTTCTTATGATGAGCTAGGACTCCTATAGGGCAAGCCTATGTGGACAATTATTGTTGATCCACCCTTCTGGTGACCACTGTTTTCTCCCAACCGTCCTGCGGTGTTGGGTCCTCGTTTTGAACAGACAGCGCCCGCGTCCTTCCTTCCTCGCGCTGCCCCCCTCCCTCTCCCCATCATCAGCACAGCATCACCGTCATCATCATCATCGTCATCATCATCATCATAATCATCAGTTCGGCACACCCCTCACGCGGTTCGTGGCCCCTAAAGGAGTTCCACCGAAGGCCCCAGTGGCTGCGTCCTCATGCGTCACCGCCACCCAATTCGGCACGCCCCTCACGCGGTTCGTGGCCCTATAGGGAGCTCCACCGAAGGCCGCAGTGGGTGCGTTCGCATGCGTCACCGCCATCCAGTACGGGATACCCCTCGTGGCCCCATAGGAAGCCCCACCGAAGGCCCCAGCGGGTGCGTTCGCAAGCGTCGCCGCCACCCATTACGGCGCACCCCTCACACGGTTCGTGGCCCCATAGGGAGCTCCAGCGAAGGCCCCAGCGGGTGCGTTCGCATGCGCCACCGCCACACATTACGGGACACCCTGCACGCGGCTCGTGGCCCCATAGGGAGCTCCACCGAAGGCCCCAGCGGCTGCGCCCGCATGCGTCGTCACCGCCACACATTACGGCACACCTGTCGCACTGTTCGTGGCCCCAGAGGGCGCCCCAAAAAAGGCCCCAGCGGGTGCGTTCGCATGCGTCGCCGCCACACATTACGGCACACCCCTCACGCGGTTCGTGGCCCCATAGGGAGTTCCACCGAAAGCCCCAGCGGGTGCGTTCGCATGCGTCACCGCCACACATTACAGCACGCCCCTCACACGGTTCGTTGCCCCATGGGGAGCTCCACCGAAGGCCCGAGTGGCTGCGTTCGCATGCGTCACCGACACACATCCCGGCACGCCCCTCACGCGGTTCGCGGCTCCATAGGGAACTCCGCCGAAGGCCCCAGTGGGCGCGTGCGCATGCGGCACCGTAACGCTTTTACGGCACACCCCTCACACGGCTCGCGGCCCCCTATGGAGCTCCACCGAAGGCCCGAGTGGCTGCGTTCGCATGCGTCAGCGCCACCCAATTCGGCACGCCCCTCACGCGGTTCGTGGCCCCATAGGAGCCCCACCGAAAGCCCCAGTGGGTGCGCTCGCATGCGTCACCGCCACTCATTACAGCACGCCCCTCACACGGTTCGTTGCCCCATAGGGTGTTCCGCCGAAGGCCCCAGTGGCTGCGTTCGCATGCGTCACCGACACCCTTCGCGCGATTCGTGGCCCCATAGGGGGCTCCAACGAAAGCCCCAGCGGGTGCGATCGCATGCGTCACCGCCACCCAATTCGGCACACCCCTCACACGGTTCGTGGCCCCATAGGGGGCCCCACCGAAGGCTCAAGCGGGTGCGTTCGCATGCGTCACCGCCACCCAACTCGGCACGCCCCTCACACGGTTCGTGGCCTAATATTGAGCCCCACCGAAGGCCCCAGCGGGTGCGTTCGCATGCGTTGCCGCCACACATTACGGCACACCCCTCACGCAGTTCGTGGCCCCATGGGGAGCTCCACCGAAGGCCCTAGTGGCTGCGTTCGCATGCGTCACCGCCACACATCCCGGCACGCCCCTCACGCGGTTCGCGGCTCCATAGGGAGCTCCGCCGATGGCCCCAGTGGGCGCGTGCGCATGCGGCACCGTAACGCTTTTACGGCACACCCCTCACACGGCTCGTGGCCCCATGGGGAGCTCCACCGAAGGTCCCAGCGGGTGCGTCCGCATGTGCCACCGCCACCCAAGTCGGCACACCTTTCACACGGTTCATGTCCGAATAAGAAGTTCCACTGCAGGCCCCAGTGGGTGCGCTCGCATGCGTCACCGCCTCACATTGCGGCACGCCCCGTCACGCGGTTCGTGGCTCCACAGGGAGCACCACCGAAGGCCCCAGCGGCTGCGTCCGGATGCGCCGCCGCCACACATTCATTACGGCACACCCATCACACGATTCGTGGCCCCATAGGGAGTTCCACCGAAAGCCCCAGCGGCTGCGCCCTCATGCGTCACCACCACCCATTCCGGCACACTCCTCACACGGTTCGTGGCCCCATAGGGAGCTCCACCGAAGGCCCCAGTGGCTGCGTTCGCATGCGTCACCGCCACCCAATTTGGAACACTCTCCACGCGATTCGCGCCCCAATGCAGTGCCCCACCGAACGCCCCAGTGGCTGCGTCCTCATGCGTCACCACCACCCATTACGCGACACCCCTCACACGGTTCGTGGCCCCATAGGAAGCCCCACCGAAGGCCCCAGCGGGTGCGTCTTCGTGCGTCACCGCCACCCATTACGGCACACCCCTCACGCGGTTCGTGGCCCCATAGGGAGTTCCGCCGAAGGCCCCAATGGCTGCGCCTTCATGCGCCACCGCCACCCAATTCGGCACGCCCCTCACACGGTTCGTGGCCCCATAGGGAGCCCCACCGAAGGCCCCAGCGGCTGCGTTCGCATGCGTCACCACCACCCAACTTGGCACATCTCTCACACGGTTCGTGGCCCCATAGAGAGCTCCATGCAATTATATCCATTCGCGCGCGTATTCATTCACCCTCAGACGCACTCGCACTCAGACCAACCCGCGCTCAGTCTCCTGTAGTTCGAATTATCGTCTTCGTTCGTAGCGTGTACCCCGCCACGCAACTCAGCGCACCCTTCATGCGGTTCGTGGCCCCAAAGGGATCGCCACCGAAGAAGATGCTCACACTTGCGGCACCCACAACTGCAATGGTTGGGTCCTTCGCCAGGATAATTCATAAGTGCTTCCCCCGGGATTCGCACTTTGTCTTTGATCGGGGAAAGTCACTGGGCTCAAACTGCGCCCTTGGCCCCCAGCTTACAACAACGGCGGCCCCCGCCTGAGACTTCCTCACATTTGTGTCCGGAATCGCGCTCTCGCGCGGGACCTCCTCGCAACGTATGTACGCATCGCGCTCTCGCGTGAGACTTCCTCGCAATTTATTCCGACGACGCGCCCTCGGCGCTCAGGAATCACGTTTTCGCTTTGGCGTTTCTCACGATTCACTTGGGAATCGCGCCACCGTTCGAAACTTCCTCGCGATTCATGCAGGACCCGCGTTTCAGCAAACCGTCTGCTCGACCTGGTCGCCTGGGCCCAGCTTCCCGACCTGCCGGACATGGGTCTGCCCGCCCGATTTGCCCGTCTGGTTCTACCCTGTGTTCCTGCTTCTTCCCCCCCTCCTGCTAATTTATCTCGTGCTCCATTCTTCTCCCGCCCCCTTCCACCCATCCTCTCTCCCCTTGTTTTAGAGGCTGCGCTACACGTGCGAGGCAGGTGAGGAAGATGCACCCCCGAGGGTGTGCGATCGAAGACGACGAGGACGGGCACCGAAGGTTAGGGATACACGCATCGATTGGCACGTGGGCGGGTTTGAGCGAACAGTCTTAAAATGATTGTCGCTGGTGTAGTAGTTGTTGTTGTTGCTGTTGCTGTTGTTGCTGTTGTTGCTTTGATGTTTGTTGCTTTTGTTGTTGAGCTTTCACTACTGAAGAATAATATTGTTGATCCCCCACTCCGGTGACCATTGTGTTTTTTGTCAATTGAAGTGCCCTCCTTGGACTCGCACCTTCTCTTTTATCAGGGAACATCATTAGCCGCAAACTGCATTGTTGGCCCCCGAAACACAACAATTTCGGCTTCCGCTTGAGACCTCCTCGCGATTTAGCCAGGACCCCCGCTCCCGCCTGAGATTTCTTCGCATGTTGCTCGGGAGTGGTGCTCTCGCTTGAGACTTCCTTACGATGCATAATGGAATCGATTTCCGGCGCTCTGGAAACGCGCTCTCGCTGGAGACTTGCTTGCAATTTGCTCAAGAATCGCGTTCTTGCGGTGGAACTTCCCGCAATTTATTCAAGCGCCGCGCTCCCGACACTCAGGCACCCAGGAGTCGCGTTCACGCTCAGGACTCCTTCGCAATTTAGTTCGGAATCGGGACCTCGCTGCCCTTCGTGGCCTTGTTGCAGCCCTCCGTGGCCCCCTCGCTGCCATTCGTGGACCCGTTGCAGCCCCTCGTGGCCCCTTCGCTGCCATTCGTGGCCCCGTTGCAGCCTTTCGTGGCCACCTCACTGCCATTCGTGGCCCCGGTGCAGCCCTCGTGGCCCCTTCGCTGCTTTTTCCTGGCCCCGTTGCAGCCCTTCGTGGCCCCCCCTCGCTGCCATTCGTGGCCCCGTTGCAGCCCTTCGTGGCCACATCGCTGCTCTTCGTGGCCCCGTTGCAGCCCTTCGTGGCCCCCTCGCTGCCCCTCGTGGCCTCATATGCATGCCCTTCGTGGCCCCGATGTCGCCCTTTGTGGCCCCCTCGCTGTCCTACGTGGCCCTGTTGCTACCCTCAGTGGCCCCCGTCGTTGCCCTCTGTGGCCCCGCATTATCTGTCCTTCGTGGCCCCCGCTCGTTCGCGCCCTTCGTGGCTCCATATGCATGCGTTTTGTGGCCCCGCCGTCGCCCTTCGTGGTCCCCGCGCTGCCCTTCGTGGCCCTGTTGGTGCCTCAGAGGCCCCGTCGTTGCCCTCTGCGGCCCAATACACGCATGCCCTTCGTGGCCCCCGTTCGTTCGTGCTCTTCGTGGCCCCATATGCATGCGTTTCGTGGCCCCGCCGTCGCCCTTCGTGGTCCCCTCCCTGTCCTACGTGGCCCCGTTGTCGCCCTCAGTGGTCCCGTCGTTGTCTTCTGTGGCCCCGCATTACCTGTCCTTCGTGGCCCCCGCTCGTTCGCGCCCTTTGTGGCCCCATATGCATGCGTTTCGCGGCCCCGCCGTCGCCCTTCGCGGTCCCCTCCCTGTCCTACGTGGCCCCGTTGTCGCCCTCAGTGGTCCCGTCGTTGTCTTCTGTGGCCCCGCATTATCCGCCCTTCGTGGCCCCCGCTCGTTCGCGCCCTTCGTGGCCCCATATGCATGCGTTTCGTAGCCCCGCCGTCGCCCTTCGTGGCCCCCTTCCTGCCCTTTTTGGCCCCGCTGTCGCTCTCGCTCTCGCTCTCGCTTTCGCTCGTCGTCGTCGCCGTCGTCGTCGCCGTCGTCGTCGTCGTCGTCGTCGTCGGGGTCGGCCCCCTGTCCGTCCCTCTTTGGGTCGTGTTGCCGCCGATCAACGCTGCCGCTGGCCAGGCCGACGGTCCGCGGCCGCCCCGTCGCTTGCGAGAGCCCGGCCTGCAGAGAAGAAAGATCTACCCCCAAAAAAGGGCACGATCGAAGACGAAGAGGGCGGGTATCGAGGGCTTGGGAAACACACGTTGAATGACACTCGAGCAGGTAAGAGCCAACAGTCTTAAACTGATCGTTGCTGGTGTTGTTGAAGTCCCACTACTGAACAATAATTCTTGACGCTTCGCGTATCCCCACCAGGTCCCTGGATAGACGTCTTCGGGACCGTTCCTATTTGTTCGTGTCCGAACTGTTGGGAGCGCCTTACGCGCCATTTTGGCTGCGCTCGGCTTCCTCGGTGACTGTGTTCAGACTCCCTGGATGCGCCGTTGCACGTTTCGTTCAGGGGCTGCCCTTCAGACTCCCTGGATTGCACGCCTTGGCTCAGACGCCCTGGGTCGCTGCTGCCTGCCGCCTGACCGCGGCCTCGCGCGCGCCCGCTCTTAGTCGCGGCCGCAGCCCGACCGCGACCGCCCGCCGCTGGCGCTTCCGCCTGCGGCTGTTTACAAAAAAAAATATCCCCACCAGGGTCCTCGACCACCACCTGCGGGTGGTTCTGGTAAGGCATACCCCTGCACAAGTGGTTTATCCTTTGGCAGGCCCGGCCTTTCCACGACGTGGCCGTTCCGCTATACGGCGCCGTCGCCCTGGTGTACGGCTTCCTGTACATGTGGTGCATCCTTTGGCAGGTCCGTGTCTCCTCCTGGCAGGCGTTTCCCCCCCGGCGTTGCCAGCGTCATTTGCTTCTTCCTCTGGTAGAGGTTCACGCTCGCGGACGCCATCGACGTCTTGCCCTTCTGCGATGGTCAGGTGGTGCACTCCTACCCGCAGTTCCCCCTGGCGAGACACTGAGCACTGGTGGTTGTGACGTGGCCCCCGCGCGACGTTCATCCCTGTCGTTGATGGCGATGGTTGCCACTCGGGATTCACGACCTGTCCACCACTGATTGGGTCAGGGACGGCTTGCCGGCGAGCACCTGGTGCTCCGTGAGTGAGGCTTCTTTCTTTTCCCCCCTGCGTTGTTCCTTCCTGTCGCCCTGCTCAGCGCCCGGCTTCCTGGTGCTGGCGCCACGTCGCCACGCGCGGCTGACATTCGACAGGCGCTCTGCATCTCTTATGCTTGTTGCCTCCGTCTGCCCGTTTTCCCCAATTTGCTCTGCACGTTGCATGTGCGGTCGGCTGTCGACAGCGACAGCTGGGTTCGCAAATTATCTGGCTCTGTGCCCCAGTCAGCCCGATTGACACGCCCTCTGGACTCTTCCTTGCGGGCCGCAGATAAAAAAAGTATCCCCACCGGCCCATCCAGGAACGATCAGCAGGGGAGTTGGTGAACCAGGGGCGGCAGAACGCATGCAGTCGCGCAGCCGTTTTCGAGAAAACAAGCATCACACATAGCTTCCATCATTGAAGTTTAAGATGGAAACCGGTGCAAGTTACGATGGTGCTTCGATGAGACGTGAGGGGTATTTCGATGACTAGTAATGGCTGTTGCATTGATTTGTATGTTAAACTCGCGTGCGTTCCGAAACTTGGAAGCATCTTGGGGCCCGCTTGGGATTCTCTTGGGCCCCTCTTGGGGCCTCCTGGGGCTCTTTCTTGGGGCTCTCCTGAGGTCCTCTTAGGGCCTTTTGGGGGTTTCTTGGGGCTCTTTTGGGGCGTATCGGGGCCCTCTTGGGGCTCTTTTGGGGGGTCTGGGGGCCTCTTGGGGCCGTCTTAGGCCGCATTGATCAAAAAGAGGGGCGGCGTTAATTCTTGCCCCCCCCCCATCGGAGGCTCAACAATGCAGTCTTGGGGCCCTCTTGGCCCGCTATTGGAGCGCTCTGGGGCGCTCTTGGGGCCGTGTTGCGGCTCTTTTGGGCCCCTCTTGGGGCTGTCTTGGGCCATCTTGGGGCCATCTTGAGGCCTCAAGAGCCCTTCGGAGGCGAAAAAGCGAGAAGGCAAAAAACATTGATATTCCTCAGGCTTTTGGAGGATTTGGGCCTCTTGGGGGGGGGTCCTTGGAGGCCTCGGAGGGCCCTTGGGGCCGTCTTGAGGTCTCTTGGACGCGTGTCGGAGGCTATCTTGACCCGTCTACCGCTATCTTGCGCCATCTTGGAGGCAATCTTGGAGTCTCTGGGGCCCTCCTGGAGCGATCTTGGGCCAAGAAAAACGCTCTGACACATCGGGCCCCCCCCCCGTCCAGACGCAGGCAGGGGGGGGAGGTAAACCTCCCGAGCAGGGAAAGGGAGGAGGTTGGAAAAGGAAACGCGCCAGACCACCTGCGCCCAGAGGGCTGGTGGGATTATTGTTGGTCCCCCTCCGGTAACATATGTGTTTTTACAAGTGAAGTGCCCTTCCCTAGGCTAGCATTCTTGTTTTTTAGCAGCGACAGTCTTCCTGCTCAAACTGCGCCCCCGGCCCCCGAACTACAACAAAAACGGCTCCTGTCTGAGACTTCCTCGCAACGTATTCCCAAATGCCGCTCTCGCGCAGGACTTCCTCGCAACTTATTCAATTTATTCAGACGCCGCGCGTGCGACATTCATGAGTCACGCTTTCACTGTGGAAATCCTCACGATTGATTTGGAAATCGAGCTGTCGCTCGAGACTTCCTCGCGATTCGTGCAGGACGCACGCTTCAGCAACACGCCTGCTCGACCTGGCCGCCTGGGCCCTCCTTCCCGACCCGCCTGGTAGGGTCGACCGCCCGATCTGCCCGTCTGGTTCTGCTACGCGTTCTGTTCCTAGCCCCCCTCCTCCTAGTCCCTCTCGTGCTCCATCCTCCTCCTTCCTCCTTTTCCCTTCCTTCAATTCGTAATTTCTTCCCCTGCCTTAGGGGCTATACGAAATACACGCTGCAGGTAAGAAAGATATACCCCTAAGGGGTTCGATCGAACACGAAGAGGGCGGGCATCGAGGGTTCGGGATATGCGTGTTGAATGGCGGTCGGGCAGATATGAGCGAACAATCTTAAACTGATTGTTGTTGTTGTTGTTTTTTTTTTTTGTTTGTTCTCTCTCTCTCTCTCTCTCTCTCTCTCTCTTTTCAGAAAAGAAGAGGTTTAATAATGATAGGTGGAACACAATACAATGTACAAACACAATTCGACTTTCTGAGCTCCGCGCGGATTTCTCGGATCGGCGTTGGCCCCCTCCCTGGCGGCGCCTCCAGCGCCGCCTCTGGCGTGCTCCGCGCGCCAGGGATGGGGGTCCAGCGCCGACCCGAGAAATCCGCGCGGACCTCCAGGGCATTTTGCTTATGCAATGTATTGTTCATCTATTGTTCTCTCCGTCTATCTCTCTCGTTCTCTCTCTCTCTCTCTCTCTCTCTTTCTCTCTCCCGACAGGCGGGCACCTGATGCAGAACGGCATGGTGGACGTCGTGATCACGGGTGCCGACCGCGTGACGCGCACCGGTGACGCTTGCAACAAGATCGGCACCTACCTGAAGGCGCCCGCGCCTCATCCTCGTGCTCCTCCTCCTGTGCCTCTTCATTCTCTTTTTGCCATCCCTCGTCTGCATCGTGAAGTCGGACACCACGAACGGCTACGACCTTATAGGCCCCAGTATTATGAGGGCGCCTCTTTGGCCGCGGGCACACCTGACCCGCCCTCAACGTCGTCGTTGCCGTCGTTCGCCTCCTCCTCCTCTTCCTTCTCCTCGTCGTCGCCGTCGTCGTCGGTGTCGTCGTCGTCGTCGTTGTTGTCGTCGTGGTCATCGTCGCGCCGTCGTCGTCGCCCTTCTTTGTGAAGGCCCTTGCTGCTCGCGACAACGGTTTGCCGTTCTACGTGGCCTTGCCCTCCAGCACCATTCTGGAGGGCCCCAAATGGGGCTGGTGCAGGGGTTCACCTTGAGCGGGGAGGTTCAGGGATGAGGAGGAGGACGAGTAGGATGACAAGAGTAAACCAAGCATGCATAAGCGATGCTGCAATACTCCCTCACGTCCCAAGCTCCCTTCTTTAATGCCCCTGCAAGTCTCTCGTTCATTCAAAGAAAGCCTCCTTGAAAGACCAACGGAGGTGGGCCTGTCATTTCGGCGAAGGCCCCGCTGTGGAAAGCAGTGGTCTTGCATCCAAGTGGCGCCTAATCAGGGGCACGACAGACAATGATCATACAGTTCAGCGAGGTGTCCAGCGAGATCTCCCTTTCGAAGAAGGCTCCCCCCTCAGTGTAACTGGTGCAAACGCTCGCACTCAAGCGACAGCTTCATTTCAAAAGAACCGCCATGGATCCGTGCAGAGCTGCGGGCGTTGAAGCTTCGTTTCTTTAAAGTCAACGAGGTCTTAGGCGATAGTTCTATTTTGAAAGTTGTGAGTCCTCCGTCCTGTTAAATGCAGCATGGAAAAAAAAACGCATGCGCGCACCGCTGCGGCGAGAACCCCATTTAAAGAACGACACCTGCTCGAACCTTCAAGCTGTTGCAAGATTTTGTGACGAATGTCCGCGGCGCTACAGCGAGAGCCCCACTCGGAAAAACTCGCCTTCCATCCTTTAGTCTAACGCAGACTTTGTAAAAGGCATGTTCGCGGCGCGAAGGCAGGCGCACCCTTTTTCAAGTCACTCTTCCTCCATCGCTGAATGTGCTGCAAACTTATGAGACGAACGTTCGCGTTGGCAAGGCGAAAACAACTATTGGCAATTGGGTCCATACATCCTTCAAGCTGCTGCAGACTTTTAGGACGAGTGTGCGCCGCACAAATGCGAGGGCCACATGTGAACGACACCCCATCCCTCCGCGAAGCTGTCGCAGAGCTTTTATACGAATGTGCGCGGCGCTGCGGCGAGAGCCACATCTTGAAAACGCTCCACCCACCAGGGAGACTCTTGCACATGTTTCAGACGAATGTGCGCGCTGGTTTGGCGAGAGGACCATGTTGAAAACCACTCCGCTTCTACTTTAGACATTGTTGCAAATTTCCAAGACGAATGTTCGCGCTGGTAAGGCGAGAGCCACATTTTGTAACTGACCCCCTCCATCAGTGAAGCTGCTGCAAACTTTTAGGCCGAGTGCGCGCGGCGCTAATACGAGAACCCCATGTTTTAAACTACCCCCCGTCCATCCGTAAAGCTGCTGTTCAGTTCTAGGACGAAGGTGTGCGGCGCTGGGGCGAGAACCGCAGTCTGAAAACGATGTCTCCTTCAGTGAAGCTCGTGCAGATGCTTCAGGCGAATGTGCGCGGCGCGAAGGCGAGAGCACAATCATGAAAACCACCCTGGTTCTATCTTTGATGTTGGTGCACGATTCTAAGACGAACGCTCGCGTCGTCAACGCGACAACCACATTTCGCAACTGACCCCCTCATCCAGCCTCGAAGCTGCTGCAGTCTTTTAGGGCGAATGTGCCCGGCGTTCAGGCGAGGGCTATGTTCTGAAAACGATCTCCCATCCAGTGTCAGATCTGCTGCAGAATCTTAAGACGAATGTGCACGGTGCTCAGGCGATAGACACATGGTTTAATTGTCTCCCCCCACCCGTAGACGTGTTGCAACGCTTCAGACGCTTGTGAACGGCGCTGAAACGAAAACCTCGCTTTGAAAAAAGAGCCGCCCTCCATCGGCGAATCGTTTGCGAGTTTTTGAAGCGCAGGCGCGCGCCGCTAAGGCGAGAGCCACATCTTGAAAACCACGCCCCTCCATCCTTGAGGTCGTCGCAAATTTCAGGCTTCAGGGCCATCCGTGGCGAGGAAGTTCGAGGCGAAGCACCCGGCCCGCCCTGCCGACACGCCTCGGGTGGGACAGGGAGGAGTTATGAGACATGAGACTGGATGACGAGGAAGTGGGTGGAAGGGGGGGGGGGCCATAGGACGGGGGAGGAGTGAGGAGTGATGGGGTCAGGAGGAGGAGGACGAGGAGGAGGATGAGGAGGAATGATGATTATCATGGTGAGTATGACGATGATGGCGAGCGATGATGTTGATGATGAGGGTGATGATGATGACATGATTATTATCCTGGTGTTGGCGAGGATGATACATGGTGGGATGAGGAAGAGGTGGTCGGGGAGGAAGAGGGGGAGGGGGGGAGGATGAGGATAAAGAGGGTTCGGACGGGGATGGATGACGATGATGGGGATGATAATGGGGCGGAGCTGGGACAAGGATGTAGAATCTGATCATGAGGCGGAGACAGATATTTCTCAAGCGCGTGTGTGTATCCATGCAGATTCGTCTGTCAATATAACTGATATACCTCATCACATGTGTATGTAGATAGGTATATGTATAAATCTGATTATTTTCACAAGTGGATGCTGCGTCCCACGGCGAAGTTGCCGCACTTGATGGGCGGCTATCGTGGCCATCTCGCTCAAGCCTCGAGCGACTTCCGCCTGGGGATGGTCGCTGCCCCTTCCGCCGCGGTTGGCGCCTTCCTGCCAGAGGTGGGCCGCGGGCTGAGCACGGGGCTGGCGATGCACGCGGCCAACCAGAGGCAAGCTCCGTGCCCAGCGTGCTCCTGCTCCCCGCAGCTCCACTGCCCAGAGCTGCGGTGCGATTGCGCCGGTTTTCCAGGGCACGAGCAGCCAGGGGCCGAGCCTCTGGTCGGTGGCGCTGGCCTGCGCCGCCAGCGGGCTCGCCGGAGCGCGCACCGCCGCGGTGGCTTGCTGGCGCTTGGCGGGCGGGCGGATCGCGGTCGCGCGCGGCACGGCGCTGCGGCTTGCGGTTGAGCCGGATTTCGAGGAGGAGGCTCGGGCTTAGGCGCGGGAGGCCCGTACAAAGGCCTTGCAGTTGTGGTGGCGGCCGCTGGGCCGCTGGCCTGCCCCTCCGTGGCCGCGGCCAGCGTGGCGCCTGGGGACTTTTTCGGGGCGCAGTACCACGTCAGGGGGGCGGTGCTGATCCACGAGAGGCTGGTCGTGTTGGTGCCGCCTGTACAGCCAGGCGCCGCTAGCATCGTCACTCCTGACGGTGGCGAGGACGAGGAGGTGTACGTGGGGTCGCCCGACGTCGTGAGGTGGGACATCTTCCCAGGCGGCGCTGCGGGCGGCACCATGCCGTGGGCGCCTGGGGCGCGGTACTACAGGTTCTGCAGCCTGCCGACGCCAGCCACGCTGCTGGCGGCTGCTGCGGCTGCGGCGTGCCGCCTCGGCCTCCCTGCCTGCCCCTGCTGGGTACATCGTGCCGAACGCGGCTGGCAGGGCGCTGGCGGCTGCGCCTGCGGCAGCTCCTGGCGGGCTTGCGCCTTCCGCGGTGGATGTTGCTGCTGCGCCGGCGGCGGGCGTGGCTGGGCTGGTGGCGGCCCTCGGCGGTCCCACGCCGGCGCCTGGGGCCCCGTGCCCCTGCCGCCTGCGGCGCCGGCCCCGTCTGGCGGCGCGCCGTCTGCGGCCCCAGCGCCCGCGCCCGCCCCCGCCCGCGGCTGTTACCCCAGCGGGCCCTGTGACGGATTCGCGCGTGCAGCCAGTGTTGTGCAACCCGTTGGGCTCCAGGAAGGTCGGTTTCGGGGAGGCGGTGGCGCGCCTGGTGGAGCACCAGTGGCCTGACTGGCCCATGGCAGGCCCCCGCGCCGCGTCGTGGGTCTGCAAATTCATCCAGGACAACGGTCTCTCCCCCGTCGGACGCCACAGCAAGTGGTGTTCGGAGGGCCGCCTCGCTCAGACCGACGCGGGCGTCGCGGAACACGAGGGCTGGTGCTTCTACCTGGAGCAGATGGTCTGCTTCGACCAGCTCAACGTTCCGGATGTCGCGGCGGCGGAGTTGATTTGCCGCAACATCCAAGTTCAGGAGGAGAGGTGGCAGGAGAGGTTCATCACGACTGCCGACGAGTCGCTGGGCTCCCACCTCTTCTACGGCACCTCGGCCAACAGAGGCAACGCGCGCGTGCATCCCCAGCTCCTTTGCTGCGTCAGCGGCGAGCTGCCCGCAGTGTACGCGGCGGCAAAAGGGAGGCGCAAGGCGCGCGAAGAGCGCCAGAACGCCCAGGCCCCCAACAACAAGGACAAGAAGGGCGGCAAGGACAAGGATTAGGACGAGACAGCGGGGTGAAAGGGAGCGCGCGGCGGGACGCGGGACCACCCGCCGCGGCGAAGCTCGAGCACTGGGCCGTTTTTCGCGGCGATCTTGCTGGCGCTGGCGACCATCGTCGCCGCGATCTTCTTCCATTATCTCGCGTGGTTCGACGTGCTGCGCGCGTGGCCGATCGCCGCTCCTGCCGAGCAGCGCGCCAGCGGCATCGCTGTGCCGGTGCGTTCCTGGACTGGGCCGACGATGGGATTGGCGCGCTCGACAGCCTGCGCGGCCATTCTGGTGAACCTCCTTCAGCGCCCGACAACCTGGGGCAGCAGACCAGCGTCGAGTTCTGGATCGCTACTTTGGCATGGGCGCGTTGCCGAGCGATCCGGGCTTCTTTGAAGGAGGCCTTCGCGAGCTTCTCAGCGGCCCCACCGTCCACTCCGACGAAGGCGGCGCATGGGCCCCGCGCCCCATGGAGCTGGCCCCCTGGCCTGAGGCGGGGCCCTGCCCGACTGACCTTCTGGGCTGCCTCGCCCGGGGCGGCGCTGCTTGAGCGCGGGTCTGGCGACGTAACTCGCCCGAGGCGCCCGGCGAGGCGGTGCTCGGAGCCCGACGACCGCGCCCTCGCGGACCCGTCGCTGGCCCCCGGTTGGCTCGGGGTCCAGTTTAGCATGGCGAGTTTGTTCGGCGGCTGCGTCGGCGCGGGATGCTGCGTTTCAGGGCGACCCCCGCTTCGAAGCATCTGATTGGCGTCCTTTCCGTTCGAGGGGAGTCTGGGAAGCGGCGCGTCGTCTTCGACGCGCGCTACGCGAGCGCCTCCTTTCGCCGGGCGCCTCCCACTCGCTTGCCGACAGCGGCCGCGGTCTCGGCTGCGGGGTCGGGCAACGCGCCGCTGTGCGTGGCGAGCGGGGACCTGGACAATGCCTTCTACCGACTGCGGCCCATGTCGGGCCTAGGGGGCTATTTCGCCCTGCCGACGCCGTCGCCCACCCTCGCTGGCATCGCCGAGCTGGGCGGCAGGCCCATCTCCGCCGGCGCGAGCCTGGCCCCGTGCCTCGCCATCCTGCCCACGGGGTGGTCGCGGGTGATGCACTCCTGCCAGGCGGCCACCATGCGGGCGATAGCGGTGGTGGGGTTCTCGAACTCCCAGATCGTCGAGGACGGCCGCGCGAGCGTGGCCCTGCTGGCCGCCTCTGCCGCTGCCGCCGCGGGCAACGTCGACAACTTCCACGTATTCGGCCACGACCGGGCTCTGGCCACGCGACGCCGCGATGACGCGTCCGCCGCGCTGCGGGGCTGGGGGCTCGCGGTCCACGAGGAGCTGGAGGCCTCCACCGATGCCGTCTTGCGGGGCTCGAGCTCAGGCTGGGCCGTCGGCTGTCGATCGAGCGACGCAACCTGCGGCGGTCAGAGGGCGGCGTTGGACACGGTGCTGTGCCGCGGCCGCTGCTCGAGCAAGATGCTGGAGGTCCTGATAGGGCGCGTGACTTGGGCCCGCCTGATTCGGCGCGAGCTACCGCGCGCGCTCGACGCCGCGTGCCCGCGCGTGGACGTCGGCCTGCCCGCCGCCGCGCGCATCTGGCCTTCGGTGCGCCAGGGGCAGTGGCCGGCGCGCTCGCTTCTGCCCCTCCGCCAGGAGGACCTGGGCAGTCCTTGGCGCGACGTCGTCGGGTTGGCGACGCCTCCGAGTTCGGAGTCGGCGTCGCCGCGCGGGCCAGCCCGGCGTCGCTGCGCAGCTCGGCCGTCGGCGCGAGAGGCGGCGGCGTCGCGTGGCGTGCGCGGAGAAGGCCAGACAGAGAGCCTTCCGACCCCCGCCTCCGCCATCCCCCACATCCAATACAGCTTCGCTGCCCGCGGGACTGCGCGGCCTGGGCGTCGAGGGGCTCGAGTCGCTCATCAGGGCGCGCCCGAAGGAGTTCATGGAGGCCGCCCGGGAGTTCTTCAAGGGGCCACGCTGGGCACCCGTCATCGCGTCGCGCGTCGCCGTGCGGAGGAGGGCGCGCTCATCTCGAGGGTCAAGCGCGCTCTGTGGTCCGGAGCCGCTTTCGGGGAGCTTGTCCTGTCATTCGTAGACAGCGTGCATTTGGCTCTGGGTTGTTACAAAGGTTGAGCTGCGTCCATTCACTTACGTCGTGCTCTTCGGAAACTCTGTCGCATGGCATTTTGTTCTACCTGTGCTATTCATATCCGCTGGGCGTGCGCGCAGCGAGTTCAACCCCGCCGACCCCCTGTCTCGCGGCCGTCTTGGCTGGGTCACTGGTTCGCTGGGCCCCATCGGCGTCCGCGAACTTCGCCCTCGGTCGCTGGGGCGGGGGCCGACGGCGGGGGCCTCGGCCTCCCGTCGCGCGGCCGACCGCCAGCGGAGGGCCGCTGCGGAGCGCCAGGTGGCGGCGGCGCGGGGGGCCTTGGAGCGGGCGGCGGTCAGACCGGGCACGCACGGAGCGCCTCTACCAGGTGCACGTCCGAGCCTCCCTCCAGTTCTGCCTCGCGACGTCGACCCGCTGGGCGGACGAGGCGGGGGTGGGCGCGGCCCCGGGGGCCCGCCTGAACTCGCTGCACTTCGAGGGCCGGGCTCCCGACAAGGGGCTGGCGCCGCTGGCGGCGCCGGCGCACTGCGCGCCCAGTACAAGAGGGCGCTTCCGCGGTCCACGCGGCAAGCGGCGGGCTGGCGCCGGCGGGCGCCCGCGCGGATGCGGCTGCCGCTCCGCGCCGCGCCGCCTTCGCCATCGCGGGGGCGCTGGCGGCCTGGGGGGCAGCCGCGCGTGCGCCTGCGGGCCATTACCTGGCACCGCCGGTGGCCCGCCTCGGCCAGGCGCCGACCCTCCGGCGGTTGCTGCCGCACGTCTGCGACCTTCAGCTTCCCGGGAAAACCAACTTCTGGGAGCGCTCCTGGGCCAGGCGCCCTGCGTGGGGCCCGCGCTGGCGGCGCTGGGGATAGTGGTGGGGGCTAGCCCGATCTGGGACATCCAGCCCACGTCAATTGCTCGGCTCTTTGTGGGCGCTTATCACGCCCTGGGGCTGATGCATCTGCAGCCGCGCCCCCACTCCATGCGGAACTGCTGTCGGGCGCCGGGGCCCCGGAGCAGGTGACGCGGCGGGGCCTGCGGGCCACGCGGGCCCCCCCGCGCCAGCGCGGCAGGGGGGCGCGCCTCCTGCGGGGGGCGGTCATGGCGGAGCCCGACGTGCTGCTGTTCGGGGAGGTCGTGGAGCACAACTTCTTGGACGTCCTGCGGGGCGGCCAGGGGCTGCCGCTGGTCGCCGCCCCGCTGCCAGCAGTCGCCCTTCCCCGCCTGCAGGGGGGGCCCGCTGCCCCCGCGGCCAGGCGGGGCCGCCGGCGCTGACGGCGCCGCCCGCAGGCGCGAGGCTGCGCAAGCGGCGGCAATATCGCCGCTGCCGCGCGGGCGCCGACGAGCGGGGGAGCTGCATGTCCCTGGAGCTGTCCGCTGGGCGGGGCCGCATCTCGCAGCGCATCCGCGACCTGGGCCACGGTTGCCTGGGTCTGGACATCGTCCCTGAGGATCCAAAGCCTCATAATATTGAGGGCCAGATTTGGGCTTCAAAAAATAAGGACATAAAACACAAAATGAGGACACCATCATTCTATCATATTTTCATTTGTTATATCATCATGTTATATCAGTTGTCTCAAGTAAATCCTACATATTTAAGTACCAGTTACATCATCAGTTCTATCATATTTATAGTTATGCATCATATTGAATTCAATTATTTCGTATTACCATCAGCTGTGGGGATTAACATACACATCGCCATCGTGACCATCACCATCACCACCGTCAACCACATATCGTCGCGATAATTCGCCTGCCATCGCCACCACATCATCACATCAGCCGTAGCCATGTGGGCTCAAACTTTTTCACGACGCGAATGCAGTCTGAAGAGTTGACCGGTTTTTGTGCAATAGGATGCCACCCACTGCATCTTTCGCTGACGTTGACAGAATGTTTGAGGCAATATCGGTACACGCCACGGACGCCTAGTTCGTAACGTACCCTGAGGACGGGTGCAGCGCCGAAGCAGGACTCCACGAAGGAGCACACACCATTGCTGAAATCGCTGTGCGATCTCACCACGGTGGTGTCGTTCAAGGACTCAGCGATGAAGGACGCCATGGGACGCATCTTCGAGCAGTGCCAGGACCAGTGGCCAAAACAGCTCGAGGAGAAGTCCAAAGTCAAATGGTCCGAGTCTATGACCGAGCGGATTCGGCTCATGTGTGGGCACGTGCACCACGCGCATAAAAAGGTTTACGAAACGGGCTGTGGAGATTCTCGGTGAGCACAACAGTGACCACTCGTCGCCGTCACCAACCACGCCGCCGAAGGAAGCAAGAAACGCAGGCCAGGGGATTTCAAGTCACGGGTCGGCTACACCACTTGGGGCGCATACCTGTTGGGGTTGTAGGTGCGCGGAGAGCTGGAAGTCGAACGGTTCCGATCGGCTCTGGCGCCGCATCGGCGCAAGGTTCTAAAGAACTGTGCGCCCCAAGTGCGCTGCCGTCTGCAATCCTTGATTTCCCCGCGAGGCGTTTCGCCAGCAGCTGATGCGGAGGCGGGGGCGCGAGCGCGGCAAGAAGGTGTGCGGGGAGCTCCACAAGCTCACTGACGGCACGCTCGTGGCGAGGTTCGGCGACGGCGATGAGCGCGCTTGCCCAGGCGTTTCGGCTGCCGAGCTCGACGAGCAGGCCTCGAGCATCAAGCGGAGACAAGGGGTGCTCTTTAGCGTGGAATCGTCCGTGGCCAGCCTGATCTACGAGATCATGTACACTGAGAAGATGAATAAGGATATGTTGCAGCGTCAACACCTGCCGTTTGAGCGCGAGGCGCCCAAGTCGCCCAACGGCGCGAATCGCGTCCAAGTCTGTTCGCTCCTCACTCATTGGCTCGGGGGCTGCGATGAGGAGCGCAAGCTGCAGGCGCTCGATGTCATGAAGAGGGTCGCTAAGGAGCTCGCCAAGGGCAACGGCAAGACAGCGGAAGAGGGGTTCCAGCTCCGCGACAAATTCGTGAAGCACATAACGGGCAAGGATCGCACGTCCTCTGGTGGTGGAGAACCAGCGGCCACGCCCAAGGCTGCTGCAACGCGGAAGCGCCCAGCAGCAGCAGAAGCAGCAGCAGCAGCGAGAGGTAGCGCGATCAAGCGCAAACCGAGCAAGCGCGCCGATTCCGACGAGGGGGTGGGCAAGTTGGACGGCGACAAGGCCGCCTCGGAAGATGCTCCAGATGCGGAGAGCTCAGGAGACGGGGGGGGGGGGGGCGATGTTATTCCCGATGCGCTCTCAGTCATCAGTGACTAGCGTAGGTGCACGTAGCTTTCCACGGCATCTTCGTTCGGCCCCTGCTCGGAGGAAATCGTCACAAGTGCGCGCCGCGCTCCAAAGCTAGGAGGATGCGAAAACGAGAAAAGGCAAGCCCGCGTGGACCCCCAAACAGCGATTGCATTGCTGCCTGTGTCGGGGAAAATCTATGTGATGCAATGCATGTGGTGCAGTACATGTGGTGCAAACTGTGCGGCGCAATATGGTGCAATCTATGTGGTGCGAGCACGTGGTGTGAGCTATGTGGTGCAATCAATGTGGCAGGAGGTCGAAGCTAACGTACTCATGTGTGGTTTGAGCTAAGTGTTGGAAGCTACGTGGCGCAATATATGTTAAGCAATATACGCGGCGTGAGGTCTAGCGCAAGAGCGAGAGAGAGGGAGAGAGAGAGAGAGAGAGAGAGAGAGAGAGAGAGAGAGAGAGAGAGAGAGAGAGAGAGAGAGAGAGAGAGAGAGAGAGAGAGAGAGAGAGAGAGAGAGAGAGAGAGAGAGAGAGAGAGAGAGAGAGAGAGAGAGAGAGAGAGAGAGAGCTACGCCGAGAGAGTGAGGGGGCGATGGGGCTTACAACGGCTCGCAGAAAACACAAAAGCACAAAGTGCTTATGAGCACACCCCTCCTCCTCCTCTCCTCCTCCCGCATCCTCCTTGCGCAGCTCATTCGGGTTTAGAACATGAGCGCCCTCCTCCTCCTCCTCCTCCTCCTCCTACTCCTCCCTCCGATCGTCCCCTCATCATCATCATCATCATCATCATCATCATCATTCGCACCGCATCATCACGTAGCCGTTTTGGCTCGGCTCGAGCTTCGACGCCAGTGTCGGTTCCAGTTTCGACGCCGACGCAGATGGCCCTCACGTTCGCAAATGTTGCAGCGCTGCAGGCCTTCATCGCGGCTGGTGGCCTCGCTGATGGGACTGCAAGCGGATCCGATCAAACCACCACGTGACGTGACGCTGTGAGCAAAATCGCCGACGGTGTTTCCCCAAACCGACTTGAGCACGCCTCATTGTCCCCAATTCCTCTTCCTCCTCGTCGTCCTCCTCCTCCCCCCCCCCCCCCTCCTCCTCCTCCTCCTCCCCCCCTCCTACTGTCCATGTAAGCTTGGAAACGAATGAGTGCAGGTTTCACGTTGTCGTTCCCAATCGCCCCACGCCCCCTCCTCCTCCTCCTCCTCCTCCTCCTCCTCCTCCTCCTCCCCCCTCTCCTCCCCCTCCTCCTCCTCCTCCTCCTGCTGCTGCTGCTCCTCCTCCTCCTCCTCCTCCTCGCCCCCCTCCTCCTCCCCCTCCTCCTCCTCCTCCCTTGCGCGGCTCATGTTCTAAACGGGCTTAGAACATGAGCGCCGTCCTCCCTCCTCCTCCTCCTCCTCCTCCTCCTCCTCCTCCTCCTCATCATCATCATCATCGTCATGCTCATCCTCATCCTCCTCCTCCTCCTCCCCCTGTTCCTCCTCTCCATCTTCCTCCTTCTCCTCCTCCCCCCCCTCCTTCTCCTCCTCCTCCTCCTCCTCCCCCCCCTCCTCGCCCCCCCTTTCCCTCGTCCGTCAGATACGTGCAGGTGGTTGGAACGTTTCCCAGGTGCTTCTGATGGCGAGCCCTGCGTTGCGCCCGGCACGCCGCCGACCGCGCCCGCGCCGGCGCAGGAATTGAGAGGGGTGGGCCGCTACCAGAAGGCCGAAGCTCCACACCAGGCTGTGGGCGGCCCGCAGGGCGGCGAGAACGAGTTCAAGAGCTTGGACTTCGACGAGGTTGACGCCGCCTCCACCCACGTGCCCAACCAGATGCCGCCCGCGCCGAGCAGCTACACCTACGACACGTCAACGGCCGCATCGGAAGTCGAGAGCGCGCTTGGCCAGCGTATCAAGGACGCTGGAGGTGCACCCGCGCCCCCATCGGCCACGCGCTCAACGGCCGCCTCCTCCGACAGCCAGCTCGTCGAGGAGCTGAAGGGCGTCGTGGAGATGGGCTACTTCGACATGAGGGGGCACGTCGGCCCCAAGTGGCAGACCGAGAAAACGTCGGACAAGAGCCTCCGTGAGCAATGCGATGCGACCAAGGGCAGGGAAGCCAAGAAGTACTGTCGCTTGGACTGGGCAGCCAGAAAGCTCAAGGGGGCCGAGGTCAGACTCACGAAGAGGGAGGAGCTGGGGGGGTCAGACGAGCCCATTGGCATATACGCCCCGTTCAGCGTGCTTGTTCGCGAGGAGGGCGGCGACGCTCCAGCTCTGAAGGCAGCCTACAACAACGCGCAGCAGGCCCTCAAGAACATGCCTAACCGCCCGTGGGTCAGGTGGGACACGTGGACCAAGCGCGCCGAGTTCCTGTGCATCAAGAAGCAGCATCGGCAGTCCTTCAAGCTGCGCTGGGAGAAGGAGATCACGATGCAGGGGATCGGCCAGGTGAAGGATGCAGCTGCAGCGCTGACGACGTTCAAAAATTTGGAATCACCGCTCCCCCTGGGGGAGGCGGTGGTTCATAATATTTGGTCGTCGTCAGCCCCTGCCTCTGTTGAGGCGGCAGTCGGGAGGTTGACGCTGCCAAGCGCGGCGCCGAGCAGGCCCTGCCGGCATCGAAGCCCTCGAGGCACGGGATGGGGCCCAGCGTTCCTGGCGCGCCACAGCCCAGCCCCACCGACGAGGATGCCGAGGTTCAGAAGCAGGCGAAGAAAGACTACGACAAGGAGTTCGCCGAGCTGAGGACCCCCAAGCTGAAGGTGAACCGAGCTTCGTCAGAGGCTTCCGACTTCGTGTCGCAGGTTGCGTCCCAGTCCACTTCTCGAACGGGCTAACAACGACTTCATGCTCGGACTTCTCCGTAAAGTTCGCGCGAAGGCGGGGGGGGGGGGGGCTCAAGTCCAAGAACGAGTTCTGGGCCATGTGGCTGCTGGAAAGTGACTCTCACTTCGCGAAGAACGTGAAGGCGAACTATCAGAGGGAAGACGCCTTGAAAGAGATGACGGGGGCGGTGGACCTCGACCGTGCCACGAAGACCCTCGAGAAGGAGACTGCGACCCTGGGGGGCATGCACGAGGCTCGGAAGAAGGCCCACCAGGACTCTGAGGCTTGAGGGGAGCCTTGTTCGGAGGCACGTGGGCTGAGGCAGCCTCCAATGCTCGGTGTTTTTTTTTCTCTGGGGAGGCCTCTTAGGGTATCTTCGAGGCTGCGCTTGCATTTTTTACGTGCGCCAGCTTTAGATTTTGGGATTGGCAGGATGCAGCTCACGATCGCTGGACTTGGGGCGGCAGACCGCTCGAACCAACATGGGGTTCCATGATTTTCGAACCCATGAATTTCACATGAAGTTGCCAAACAGCATTGAAATCAGCTATGTTTGAAACTCATGATGGCCAACATGAATCTAACATGAATCTGAAGTACCATGAGTTCCCATGAATTTCCAAACGAAGCTCCACGAACTCGGTTTGGCAACGGTCTGCAGTGATCCCAGCATCGACATGCTTCAAGGTTCTTGCTACGAGTTAGTTCGGCGGCAGGAAAGGGCCCGATGCCGCTTTGAAGGCTCGGCGGTGCGCGAATGTCTGCCTGTGCAAGAGACTGTGAACAGTCTCCTCCTCCTCCTCCGCCTCCTCCTCCTCCTCCTCCTCCTCCTCCTCCTCCTCCCCCCCCCTCCTCCTCCTCCCCCTCCTCCCTCCCCCTCCTCCTCCTCCTCCACCCCCTAATCCTCCCCCTCCCCCTCCCCCTCCTCGCAACGGGGCGCTTCAAACTGAAAAACAACCTCCTGCGGTATTTCTGTCTTCCAAATCGGTTTGAACAAACCTTCCCCCCCCCCTCTCTGTCCTCTCCCTGACTCTCCGTGCCCCAGGCGCGCCTAGACGACATCCATGATCAGACCGTCGCTGAACGGCGAGTGCCATCCTGCGAAAAACGATGCGCCCAGCTGCGAGGCAACGCTGGACCCGGAAGGTCCAAGTCACGCCATCCTTCGCTGAACACGTTTACGAGGAGGAGGAGGAGGAGGAGGAGGACAATGACAAGGACGATGAGCATGGAAAGGAGGAGGACGAGGAGGATGGGAGAAACAGCGGGTGGAAGGAGGGAGGGGGCGGCTGACGGAAGGGGTAGCCAGCAAGGATTCGACACCTCAGACCCAAACGCACTGGGGCCATGAGACCCATCCAGGACATCGAGATAATAGGACAACGAGGCATTGATATTTAGGACCTTTGGGGCCTCGCATCTCCCGAAGACCTACCAGGGCACTGCAAGTATCGCGATTGTCATCGTTCCTCGGCTCCCCCGCCCTCTTCCTCCTCCGGAACTATTTTGGCTCAAACCAGATGTGATCAATTCGGCTTGCGTACTTCGTCGGCTTAACAATGCCTAGGCACGAGCGGGAAGAGGCTCTGGATGAGCCTTGGGATGCTGGAGTGGCAGCTCATCCCGACCGCGGCGACGATGAACCTGTGGACTACGATGCGTTGTCTGACGATGAGTACTGCAACGAATTCTATAATTTCCTGTTAGATCTGAAGTTGAGCGGCACCTTGAGCGCCACGCAAGCGCGTCTGCTGGCTCTATGGGCTTCAAGGCCAAATGGAGGATCAGTAGAGGTTCGAAAGCTTGCTCTGCGACCAGGGCTGCCGACAGGACGCTACTCCAAACACTTCGACGCTGTTCTCGGCCACAAGATATCTGACATGAACTTCCTGACGGTTGCTGTGCCAGGCCATCGGCGTTCCGATGCCAGTCGGACTGTAGATGATGTGCCCATGATCACTCCCATCGACGCCCTGGCCGAGGAGGTCCAGACGCACCCCGACATGCTCGTCGAAGTTGGTCTCGCTGTTGCCAGCAAACAATTGCCCGAAAGTAACTATGACCATCCTGTGGTGGTAAACGCAGGCGCAGATGAATGCGTGGTACCCGTCTCCGTCTACATGGACAAAGTACCGTTCACTAGGACAGAGTCGGCTCTGGGGTTCTGGATGGTAAATCTCATCACCAATGTACGTTGGCTGCTCGCCTGCCTGCGGTCAGGCGAAATGTGGAAGGGGCGGCTGTCGTGGGTGGCGCTCGCTTTTCGCAGTTTGGAGAAGCTTATCCTGGGCGTTCGAAGGCTTGGCAAGAGGTCGCCATCCAGATTCGCGACCCGATGGCGAGCCCTGGTTTGATAATGATCTGCAGCGCTCAGTGGACAGTGGCGGTCCCCTTGGGTTCAAGGCAGCCGTGCTATATTTAAAAAGCGACATTGCAGAGTACCCGAGTTTCGGGTTTTGTGGAAGTTCGACAGCTAGGCATCCTTGCATTTTCTGCTGGTGTCCGACGTCCGACCAATCTGCCATCGACCTGGACGGCCTTCAACTTGGCCAACCCCCATGGCCACAGAAGACAGATGCGGACTACGAGTACGCGCGCTCCGCGCGCGAACACGCAGTGCAAGGATTGGCAACTAACCAAAGAGTTCCTCCTCATGTCCCCTCCGACACCGTCTTCCTCATCCTCCCCCTCCTCCTCCCACGTCCTTCCTCTGCTCCTCCTCGTACTCGTTCTCCTCGTCCTCCTCGTCCTCCTCCTCCTTCCGCTCCGTCTCCTGCTCCCCCCCTGCTTCCCACGTGATATTCGCCGCCCACCTCCTTCTCTTTCTCCCCCTCATCCTCCTCTCCCTTTGTTCGGTGCCAAACCACATAAAGTAAACGAGCGATCGCTGTAAAAACCAAGCGACGTCACGGTCGCGCCAAACACTACTATCGCAGAACTCGCGACCTTGGTAACTACGCAAATTATTATTCAAAATCAATCAACAAAATAATGTAGGATAGCCAATCCTTGCATTGCGTCAGTGACCCCTCGCAACTTCGCCATGGTTCGTGGCCGCCTCGCGCATGACAAGCGCAAGGACGGCGCGCTTGGCAGGGCCTTCCAAGACGACATCCCTTCGCTGGGCATCAGAAAAATGACCGAATGGAACCCTCGAGGGCACGGCCAGATGCCGGCCATATTGAGTTGGACGGGGCCAGCTTAGATCTTCCGATTCGGCGCAGAACACATGCAACATGGACAGGACACAGAAACCCAATGTTCGGTCCCCACACGGGGATGTCGCCGCTCAGGTGTTGCGTTGTGGACTGGCTTCAAGGGTTATCGTTGGATATTTCAATGATTTTGTTCTACTGTGCTCCACTGCATGTTTGAAGCGAATGTGTATCAGCGCAGTGGCAGTGGTGCTGGTCCTATCAAGATGGCCAGCTGCCTGCGCATGCGCGCAGAGTTGTTCGCTTGGCGCAGGGCAGAAGAAATGGTTGGTAGAAGCCCACACTGCGCGCAAGATCTCATATACACGATGGCGGGAACAAGGCCAGGGAGTGAGATGGGTTTTAATGGCGCGGAAACCAGCGCATTTCTTGAATTCACGGTCGGTGAATTGTTTCAGGGATTTAGTGGGCTAATAACATATGGTCAAGCGCTTCCGAGAGGTGGCAGCAGTCTCGCGTGCATATTGCGTTTCATTCGCCTCAACAGGTGGACCTTCAGTGCAAACGACTCCGGGGCTTTTCTGGGACATGTGAAGTGCGTGCTTCGCTGCTGGCGAATTGTCGGCCTGCCATGCAAGCACAAGGTGCACTACCTTGTAGAAATGGCACTTGCGATTCCTTGGAAAGGTTCTCCTGCTTTGCATGGGACGTGGCGCGACGAGGGCGCCAACAGGCCATTCGGCCCGATATCCCAGAGAAGTCGCAGGTCCGTATGGGCGATGAGGGTTCTCCACACGTTCTATGCGTCTAAGGAAGGGTTCGGCAACGTATCCAAGAGGGCACGCACAAAACAAACATCATCACTGTCGAAATCATCGCACATGTATGGATCGCACACGCACGTATGTTTTGTCATATCATCCGTCGGCATGATAATGCCACCGCCCCCGCCCCCCTATCGCAGACGACCGCGCTTGGAGAGGCTTGTCGCCTCGTGCGACGGAGACGCCTCCGACGGGGGGGGGGGGAAGCGAGGCGATGGTGAGAGGGAGGGAATGGGGAGGGACGGGGAGGGAGGGGAAGGGAAGGAGCGAGGGACTGGGGCGGGAGGGTAGGAGGGTGGGGTGGCGTGGGCATGCAGGGAGGGACGCAAGGAGAAGGGGATAAGGACCTGGCAACGAACTTACGAGGAGAGGGAGCGGGAGGAGGAGGAGCATGAGGAGGAGGAGGGGGGGCGGGAGGAGGAGGAGGAGGAGGACACAGAGGAGGAGGAGGGGGGCGAGGAGGGGGGGGAGGTGGAGGAGGGCGCGGGCGACTATCATGAGGAGGGTGACGAGGAGGAGGAGGAAGAGAAGAGAAGAAGGAGGGGGAGGAGGAGGAGGAGGAGGAGAAGGAGAAGGAATGAGGCAGCTAAAGGAGAGGAGGATAGCGGAGGAGGGGGGGAAGGAGGAGGGGGCGAAGAGGAACAGGAGGAGGAGGTGGAGGAGGGGGCGGAGGAGCAGGACAAGGAGGAACGGGGAGGGGACCGCCCGACTCGTTTTTTCCCAAATCGACTTGAGAAATCCCCCCCCCGTACTCCTCCCCGTCCGCTCCCTCGTCCGTGCTTTTGCTTTACTTCGAACCTAGATTGGTATCGCATCAGCTACGAAGAAGGGCGCCAGCCAACCACGATCGCACTGCCTTTTCTTGAAGAGAAGCGAACTGGTGATCAGAGCTGCTGCGGATCCTCCTCCTTCCCCTCCTCCTCCCCCTCCTCATCCTCCTCCACCCACTTTACCTCCTCCTCTTCCTCCACCTCCCCCTCCTCCTCCTCCTCCTCCTCCTCCTCCTCCTCCTCCTCCTCCTCCTCCTCCTCTTCCCTCCCCCCCTCCCCTTCCTCTTCCTCCTCCACATCCTTCTCCACCTCCTCCTCCCCCCCCCCCCCCCCTCCCCCCCCCCCCCCCCCCATCCATCCCTGGTCGCCTTGGCGACCGAACGAGGACCCCGCCCCCAGCACCTTCATCACTTGGAATGCCGGAGCCCTCATGTGTCACAAGCGCCAGCGCCGCCGCCGCAAACAGGCTGCCCTGTTGAAGTACATGCGCCGCCACTGCGTCATCCTCATCCAGGAGGTTCATGGCTCTGAGGCCCTGCTCCGCACGTGGGTGGACACGCAGCCGCGCCCGTGCAAGCTCTTTTTTCTCCGAGTTCGTCGGCGGCGATGACGTCGAGGCCCGTCCTGGCACTGGTGGCGTTGCTACGTTGGTGCCCTGGCTCACACCCATGTAGCTCGAGCAGCTTGCTCCGCGCCAACTTCCTACCTTCGTCCACGAGGAGGTCGTCAAGGGCCGCGTCCAGACCGTCTCCGTCACCAATGCCGTCTCGAACAACTCCATTGTCATCATGAATGTCCATAACCATGAAATCGACGCTCGCGGCCGCGACCGAGTGCAACGTGCGCGGCGTCAGCATCGCACCTGGGCCGAGGCCGACTACCAGCACCGCACCTTCATCGCCATGGGGGACTTCAACACCGCCAGCCGTCCGCCAAACAGCTGCCTGCAGCCCCAGCCTCAGCGCGCGCGCCTTGCGCTGGACAACAGCGCCCGTCAGCAGCAGCCTTTCTGGACAGCGCTCTTCGATTCCATGCTCGAAATCGAATCCGACTTACCGACCCGCTTCGACAAGTCCGACTTCTCCGCCTCAGCTATCGACAGCGTTTTCATCAGCTTGCCGTCCCATGCCATGCTCGAGCTCACATCGCAGATCAACATCGTGCACGACCCTGCCACCCTGTCAGACTCCTTCCTCAGCGACCATGCGATCATCTCCTACACCATCGGCATCAAGCCGCGCACGCCGACGAACGACCAGGCGATCCCCCCTGCGATCTTCCGCGACCCGAACTACGCCAAGTACCTGGACCAACTGATTACCCACACCAAGACCCAGCACGTTCCCATCCAGAACCGCTGGCGCACGCACAAGCGCCTCATGGTCGAAGCCGCGAGGCTCGTCCGCGACGACTGGGTCAGCTCCACCGGGGACGGCAACAAATCCAACCATGCCGACGGACGGGCCCTCACGGCGCGTTCGATCTCACGCTCGGTCTGGCGCCAGGATGTGGCTCCCGCTCGCCGCCTTCAGTCCACCGCCGAGCTTGGCGCCAAGTGCCTCTCGATTACCGACGGCCTCATCACGATCATCAACCAGCCCGAATTCGCTGACATGTCAGCCTCGCTCCACCGCGACTTCGAGGCTCGGCAACGCTCTCTGGCGCAAAGAGCTGCCCAGCGCCCCCCTGGCGCGGCAGGGGCCCTCGTGCCAGAGAAACTCCGTCGAATCTTGCGCGCCTCGCAGAGGCGGGCTCTCCTTTGGGCACCTTGGAAGCGTCGCCTGGTCCTCCAGGGCATCAAAATCTCGGGCCCAGTTGGCCCCCCTGGGGTCGCCAGAGAGAGCTGCGATATGGCGGGCGCCCTTCGCACCTACTGGAAGCCCGTCTTCGCGCGCAAGCTCGTCGACTCCGTCAAGGTCAAGCAGTGCGTCGCCGAGCACATGCCGCTGGGCGCCTCCATCGACGTGGGCGCGCCGACCAAGAGGCAGATCCGCGCCTTCCTGGCTCGCACCTCTCCGTCGGCGCCTGGACCTGATTGCCTCCCATATCGCGCTTGGCTCGCACGCGACTCGTCGCTGGGCCTGCTCGAGGACCTCTCGTTCCACCTCTGCCCGAACGCTAATTTCATCCACGACCTGAACGACTCTGACTTCGCCTTCCTGCCGAAAGGGGACAACCTCGTCGGCGAGTTGCAGACCGACAGGGCGCCTGAGGACACGCGCCCGCTCTCGCTCAAGAACACGGATATCAAGGCCATCGCTGGCGCAGCCAACTTTCTCCTCAAATCCGCCGTGGCAGAGCGGACTCACAAGGCGCAGCAGGGTTTCGTAGTCGGCCGCAACTTCACCAAGCACATTGTCATTCTTGACGCCGAAATGCGCCGCGCTGGGATACGTCCCGATGCTGCTGATCACCGCCCTGTCTTCGCCAGCTTCGACTTCGCGGCGGCGCCCCCGTCTCTGGGTCGGGAATGGCTCTTCGCGGCACTCGAGCGCTTCGGGGTCCCCATCGGCATCGTGAGCCTCTTCCGCAACCTGCACCACGCGCCGAACAGCTTCCTCAAGGTCGACGGGATCCGCCACTTCACGTTCGCCATCGAGTCGGGCGTCGCGCAGGGCTGCCCCGCCAGTGGCTCTGCATGGGCCATCGCGATGGACCCGCTCGTCCGCCACATCGCCTCCTTCATCGAGCACCCCGATGGCACGCCCGACTACGACAAAGGCTACCTCGGCGTCTGCGCGGACGACACTGGCCTGCTCACATTCTCGTTCGACACGCAGCGCAAGGTATCTGAGCCTTTTTCTGCCGCAGAGGAGCTCGCGCTTCTCTCCCTCAAACCACGCAAGTGTGTAGTCGTGCCCCTGTGGGCGCCTGCCTCTCCTGCCACCGCAGCCCAAACGAAAGCGCTCCTGGCTGACCTTTGCCCTTCCTGGGGTTGCTTCACGATTTCGGGGCGAGCCGAGTACCTCGGGACCTTCCTTGGACCGTCCTCCTCCCTTGCCCTTCAATGGCTCGCCCCAGGGCAAAAGTGGTGGCAGCGCAGTAACTTGCTAAATCTCGCCCTGGCAGTGATGCCACTGTCCGCCTATATAGCACTTCCGTCCTGTCCACGCTCAGCTACGTTGCTCAGTTCTTCCCGCTCGATTCTAAGATTGCTCGCCGCGAACTGTATGTCTTCCACAAAATGCTCAGCATGTCGCCCAACTCTTCTCGGAAGGTAGATCTCATCTCGATGGCGGAATGGAGCCCGCCACCTGTCCTGCGTTCAGCCCAAGTCGCATCTGTCGCTGCAGCCATTCGTACAGCCACTTTCACACTCCGTGGAGAATGGGAACCGTTCTTCCACCGTCTGCGTGACACCGCCTGGGAGGAGAGCACGATCCATTCCTTCCCTCGGTGGGAAGCTGGGCGCTGGTCCCCCCCCTTCTGGAAAGAGACCTCGTCCACCGTGCAGTTCTACCATGCCCTGTCTAGCGGACAGCGCATCTCGCCATTTTCCGCAGCAACCGTGGCCTTGGCGAACCGCGCCGCACGAGCCGAAATTCGTGAGGCCCCTGCTGCTGACCCGCCGCGCCGCCCGAAGGTGCAGAGGGCAGTCGCGCTCGCGCTGCAGCGGACCTTTTTTTCTCTTCGCCGTTCACAGTAACTCTCGCGAAGCGCCTTGCAGCGCGGGGCCTTCAGATGACGCCGCCTTCCCCAGAGCTCGCCACCCGCAGGTCAGCGCTCACGAGAGAGCTCGGCGAGGTCCGCCCCAGCTGGCGCTGGGCGGTTTTCAAAACTCTCAGCGGCGGGTGGACGACCACACACCGCATGCATGTGCTAGCCCAGCGCTCGTGCGTGTTCGGGTGCCCGAACGCATCCGATTCATTTCCCCACTAGCTCTCCTGCTCCGTCCTCCTGAGCCTCCTGTGGTCCCCCGACCCCGCTCCTCTCCTCAGCACCTATACGTCCTGGGGCTTGGGCCCTGCGGCAGCGCACCCTTCCGAACCTGCCAGCGACCTCTCGTTGCGGCAGACGATTCGCAGGATTGCGCTAGCATTCCACTTGTACAACAAAATGAAGCAGCACGCAGCGCCGTCGCCAGCAAATATTGCTGCAGCGATGGCCGCAGCGAAATCTCTCCTGTGGCGTTGATCCGCTGTCCGCCGTCTCACGCTTGGCCTCACTATATAGGCAGGCTTGTGCGTGGGCTGGGCTGACAGACGTGGCCGCCTCAAGGTACGTTCACTCCTCCTCCTCCCCCTCCTCCATCTCCTCCTCCTCCTCCTCCTCCTTCTCCTCCTCCTCCTCCTCCCCAATCCTTCCGCCTCCTCCCGTCTTCCTCCGTGGCCATTTTGGCTCAATATATATTTGTAATTTTACGGATCGGGTGCGCTCGCGCACCCTTCCTGAGGCCACTCCGCTACGATGCGGGCAGCGCAATCGCAACGTGCTTTCTGACAACGCCTTTTTTTTTTTTTTTTTTTTTTTTTTTTTTTTTAAAAAAAAAAAAAAAAAAAAAAAACGCGTCGCACGAATAACACGTGCGGTTTCGCGGTTCATGTCGCCGCGGGCAACGGCAGCACGACAGAATTGACGTTGCACGTCATGAAGATATATCCCACTGGGCGAGCGCAAAACGTCATCATACATGCGTACTGGAAAGGCCGCATGTTTTGATGTCCTCCTTTTCGTATATGTTGTCATCATATTATGATGACGAAGCGCAGTCCTCATAATCATGATGCTTTTGATCCTCAGGGGTGCATGGGGCGGCCGAGGATCATCTCGACTCCACCTTCGAGTCTGTGGTCCGAGGCTGGCTGCTGGGCAAAGCCGCGGTCGGCTTGCGGCCTGGCACTACGTGCTCGTTCGCCCTGGTCGCAGGCGCCGAGGGCCCCCCGGCGCTCCGAACTTTTTCCGATGGGTTAGCCAGGCCCATCGAGAACCCGCACGCAGCGCCTCCGTTCAGGCAACCGCTCGTTCCACTTTTCCTGCCGGCCCATCCGGCTACGCATTCAGATTGGCTGCCCTGTCTCGGCGCGATCGAAATGGGCGCGGAAAGAATGGGCGCGATGCCCGACATCAGTTCCTGTTCATTTTGAACAGGACTCGCTGTCCGCGCCGCCGCGGCCTGCGCCCATTTGAGACAGGAGGCCGCCTGCCCAACAGCGGCCGCTGTTGATTTGGGACAACATCTGTTGTTGGGCACTGTGCCCATTTTTTTCCGTGCCCATTTCGGGCGTCCAAGCTGTCTTTTTGGAGAGCCCGCGGAGTTCGCTTCTCTGGCATGCGCCTGAAATTGTAAGGTCTCTCTCTCTCTCTCTCTCTCTCTCTCGCGATACTTGCAGAATCCATCAGGTGGATATTTTCGGAGCGCCTTTCAAGAATCCCACGTCCGTGGCCCGCCGGAACGCGGGTACTTTTCCCAACTTGTAGATCGTGCTCTGGCAACAGCGGCATCTGCTCGTCGCCTGGCCCGCTTCGCCTCACCGCGCCAGCCCGCCGCGCAGAATTTGCCGCGGCGCGCTCGCCTCAGTTCGCTCGCGCCGCTGCCTCGGCCATGACGCGCTCGGCCAATGCGGTCAGAGAAGAATGGCCGATGAATTCTGCTCTACAAATTTAATTGGTTTCGGCCAGAGCGCGGCCTGCTAAACACACGGTGCTTTCCCGTGCGTCACCCCCTGTGTCTCGCTAAACACAACACTTGTGCATGATTGTTGTCTTCCTGTGGTGTCTCCCGTGCTGGCGGGCGCTCGCCTTCTCGCCGCCGCAGATTGTTGGAGCGGAAAATGTGTTTGCAGCATTTCAGGGGTCGCGCGCGAGATGTTCCTTGCGTTCCCTGCGTTGTCAATGTAGGGCATCCTAAATAAGCGTGCGTAAATCGTTTTCGGCCACCTGTCGTGGCCAGGTCTGCTCTGCGGGGTGCGGGCGGCTCTGGGCAATTATTTTGAAGGCGCGCGGCTTTCGCCAGCAGCAGTTGTCAGTGTCTCAGCTTCTCTGGATTTGCCGTGGCCTCGCCCTCCCGCGCTCGCCCCATAGAAGAAGACGTCGCCCTGGCAGATGGGAAGTGGAAGTTGCCGATTCTTTTCGCAAGTGGATGCTGCGTCCCACGGCGAAGTTGCCGCGCATGATGGGCTATCGTGGCTATCTCGCTCAAACTTCCCTTCTTGCTCATCCCCTGCCCTCTCTCGGCTGCGCGATTTTGTCAGGTGGCCCTGGGCAGTTACTTTGCAGACGCGCGGCTTTCGCCAGCAGCAGCTGCCAGCTGTCTGCGTGGAAGATTATGTATGCTAGTCGTGTAAGTGGATCGGTTGAGTCCTGCAGTTGTGTGATTAAGTGTATTGCGCTCGATGAGTCAGTGTGTATAGGTTTGTCTATGTGAAGTGGTTGTTGCGTCACGTAAATGGTAGCCCGTATGATTGCTGCTATTTCGATGCTGGTGTTGTCGAATCGGCCGTAGTCGATATTGGAGTGTATGTTGTGTGTGGTGTTTGCCTGGGTATTAACTTGTGTAGCTTGGTTCATGGCCGTCGTAGTGGAATGCCGCAAATGCCCAGGCTGCGTTGTCTCTCTGCGCCTGTAGTGAGCCATCGGGTTAAAATGGCAGGTTGTTTTTTCCCGAAGCTGTCTGGGGTAGAGAGGTATAGTAGCTCTGGTCACTGGGTGGAGCTCCAGGTTAAAGATGTCACGTGCGAGTCTGGTTGTTGATTTTGGAGTCTGAGATAGATTTGATAACGAATATGGGGGTCGGTTGCTGGATGTGGTGTGTGTTGTACCTGGTTGCTGTAGCTACGCTATGGTTGAAACAAAAAGGTATTTGGTAAGTTCATTATTTCCACTTCGTGGGTAGTTTGGCGCTAAGCTATTCGCGCGGGTGGAACCCGTTAATGATTGAGCCGGGTCGAGGTAGAGTTTTCAGGCGTGATAGACATTCTTGGAAAGTTTGTAATGGTTGTTGCTTGTTGTGTTGCACGCGGGCAGTGCTGAGGTGAGCTTCTTGGGGGGACATGTGAAGCTTTGGGTCTGCCGTTGGTTGTGGCACGGATAGCGACCTTTCTATGCAAGGAGTAAGTTTCTCCACTCGTTTGTTGTAGTTCGCCGTATTGTGCGGCTACATATCGTTGCTGGGTGGTGGTGAAATATCTTGGTGCATCTCCAGTGGTCATGTCGCGTGTGGTTGCCGCCCTGAGTTCAGGGGCGCGATGTAGTAAGTCATGCTCGCTTGCAATATCTGTCGGTGTCGTTGGTGTATGTACCGTCCCTGGTGCACTGGGTGTATTAGGCTCTGTCGGTGTGATTGGGGCAGGTTTCGTCGGTGTACTGAGCAGTTCTTGGGTGGAGTCGGTGGTTATGTCGGTGTGTGTAGGTTCGGTCGGTTCTCTCGTGCTCTCGTCGTGTTGTGCTATGTGCTGGTCGTCCCCGAGTGTGCTCTCTAGAGTTGCATTGTCGATGATGTCGCTCAGCTGCTGTTGTACCCGTTGTATATGTTATTATGCGTGTGCTTGTTGTGGTTGGACTTGTTGTGCGCGTTGCCGTTCCTGCTCGACAATGCTCTGCTCTGAGTCGACGAGTTGGTTGATTCGAATGTCCTCCTCGAGCTCTTGATCGTCGGGTAGTGCTGGTAACTTGTGTTGTGGTTGTGCTTGTCGTAGTAGTTATTGGCGTTCTGCGTGTTTTTGTTTGTGCCAGTGTTCCGATTGTGCTTGTGCTTTCTCGTATTTCTCAGGTTTGATATGTTGTTGTCTGATGTGGCTTTCTATGTCCTGTTGGTATTGTTCGGCTGTGGTCAGTTGTCGCTGGTAGTGTCGGCTAACGGTCTGTAGGTTTGCTTCCGCACTACCGAGAATGAGATTGGTTGTTGTCTCTTCGTAGTAGTTGACGAGTATCGTTGACTCTGTGTGCTGTAGTTTTTGTGTTGCTGTGACTGCTTCTCGTGCTGCCAGTACATATTGGTCGAATGTTTCTTGGGTGTGTGCTCTTTTTACTTCCTGTTCTGCATGTTGTTCTTGGTGTCTTTGTAAATGGCGCTCGTGACAACGTAGCGCGATCGCTTTTTGAAGAAGGCCTTGTTCCAACAGCTGTATTATTCGGTCGGCCATATTGTTGTATGGTGTTTGTCCTTGCTCCAATGCAGCTTCGTGTCCTTGGTAGTGCTTGTGGAGTTGTTGTATGGTGTGCTGCATGTGTTATTATGTTGTTCTCTTTGATTGGTCGATGTCTTCTTTGTGCTGGTTTGCTTCTTGTCGTGGTTGTGCTGCAAGTTGCTGATGTTTTGCTTGTAGCTCCAGTCGTAGCTTTGGAATGGTCGCCTTGGATTATTATTACCATTATTACTATGTATATATATTCGTGTCGTTTGTGGGCTGTGGCTTGGTCGTCTAGTGTCTTGGCGTGGTCGTGTTTAATTTGCGGCAATCCGGCGTGGTAGTGTAGTTGCTGTCTTGTGGCTCTTTCCATTCGTTTTTTGTTTGCATTGCTTGGGCTGCTGTGAACTGTGCGTGCTTTTCTTCGTTGGTTGCGTGTTGTATTGCAAGCTCTTCTGTGCGAATGGATTGCTGCTGGGTGTTTTTTGACTGCTAGTAATTGCTCTCTTGTGTTGTGGCAGTCGGTTGAGAGGTAGTCGCTTGCTGTTTGTAGTTGTTGTATGGTGTCGTCTGCGCTCTCGAGTCGTCGTCGTGCTTGCTTGTCGTCGGTGTTGCTCTGTTGAGCTGCCCATAGCTCACGTATGATTGTGTCGCTTGCATGTAAGTCGTCGAGTGCCTTTTTGAGTAGCGTTTAGAGTCCAGCGACGTCCACCTCTGTACGTGGGCTGATTGTTGTTTGTTTGAGTGGTCGTAGTGGTGTCTTGTGTTTTGAATATTGGTTGAGTTGGACGTCTTGTGCTCTAGGTGACGTGGTGTGACTCGTTTGTGGGCTCGGTGTGTGCTGGCGTTGCTGGATGATCTCCTTTTCGATGTTGGCGTACGTCTTGGTGAGTCGCAGGTTGTCGTCGTGTCGATGTTGTGTTTGCTTGAGCGTGGCCTCGGAGATCTTGGTGCATGCTGTGTAGTCGTCTTCGAGTTGTCGTATGTATTGTAGCTGCTCGTGCAGCGGCTTCTGGTCGAGTACCTGTGTTTTGGTAACTGTTAGTTCGTGGCCTAGGAGCTCTGCTTTTTGCCGGCCTTTGCAACTGCTAATCTTTGTGATGCCAGCTTCCTGATATTGGCAGTGTTCGACGTAGTCCATGTTCCCACTTCTAGTGGTGTAATGCCTGGGCGGTCCTTGTTCTGCACGTCACCGTAGAATGCCTCTGGGATGCTGTCGATGAGCTCTTTGGCTTCTCTGTCAATATATGCTGTGTGGTCCGCGTTGTTGCCGAAGTTGTGCTGTGGTTGTTGGTTGTCAGGTCGGTTGCTTGCTTGGTACTGTCGCTGGTGGGTGCTAGGTCTTGGTGTTGTGGGTCGTCTTTGGTGTGGTTGTGTTGACGCTGGCATGTTGCTTGCAGGTTGTAGTTATTGCCTTTGTTGTGTGGCTGTGTGGTTTTGATTGGGTTGTAGTTGGAAGCGTGCGTGTTTGGTGTCGTGTGGCCTTTGTGGCCTTTTCTTTTCCATGTTGTATTGTGGCTTTTGCCGTGTGGCTGGTGGTGGTGGTATTTTCCTTTGCCTTTGCCTATGGCTTGGGGTGCTGGTGCGTTGTCCGTATGCGTAGTCGGTTTGGTTGTACATGTTTTCTGTCGAGTTGCGTGGTGGTCGTTGTGCACTGTGGTGTTGGTTGAGAAGTTGTGGTGCTGCTTGTATGTGTTGCTGTGTGGGTTGATGCAGCAGAGATCGTGCTGATGCAACACGGAGCAGCGTGCGCGCTGCTGTTCTTTGTTCCGTTTCTTGTCTGTACCATGTTGGGTAGGGAGTTGTGGTCGGAGTCGTGGTGGTTGTGAGGGCGTATGCATTGGATGTCAAAGTCGATGTGGGACGCTTCCGGTCCGTAATGGTACGGCGTCTGATGCCGACGCCGATTCCGTGAACCTTTGTGCTGGCGTAGCGCTTGATAAGAGGGAGAACAAGAAACATGATGTAATAGGTATAGTGGATGAGAGTTCAGAACATGTATGGCACAGGGGTTAAGGATGTGGCGGATCGATAGGGGAGGTTTCAGCCATGGCTTGCCCCCTAGGGGCTGGCACACTGCCACGGGACTCTGGGCCCGAGGCTTTCTCCTCCTCCTCCTCCTCCTCCTCCTTCTTCTCATCCCCCTCCCCCGTGGGGAGGGGGCTGCCTTGCCGATCCCTCCCTTGCGGGGCCCTCTGGCCGTCGATTGGGGCTTGGCAGACGGGTCCAAGATCCCGATCGAGCAGCGCGGCGACGACGAGGTGCGCTACGCCGAGGGCGTCTGCGAGGCGGACGGAAAGAGGAGGCGAGTCCTGCGGCAAGGGCTCCTCATCGACCACCTCGCTCTCCTCCTTCCACTCGCCTTTCTCCGCCTCCTCCACCTCCCTCTGCTTTTCCTTTCCCCTCCTCCTCCTCCTCCTCCTCCTCGTCATCATCATCATCATCATCATCATCATCATCATCATCATCATCATCATCATCATCATCAGCATAATCATCATAATCATCAGCATCAGCATCAGCATCATCATCATCATCATCATCATCATCATCATCATCATCATCATCATCATCAATTCTTTGCCACTGCACGTCCGTCTCCGACGATAGACAGTGAACAACCCATGGACTGGGAATCCGATGATGAGGCAGTCCAGGCTTTGGTCCTCAGGTGATGCGAGCACCGCACGCCGCAGCAGGTCAGCCGCGTTGAGCCCCCTGCATGGTGCGCCCCAGCCAGGCGAGCAAGGGATGTAATGCCCTGCGACGGGAATGTTCTGTGTATCCCACCATAGCTTCACCAACCAAGTGATGTGGTACAGCTAAGTCTTGTTTTCCCCATGTCGATGAATGGAACAAATCAGCACCATCATCATCATCATCATCATCATCATCATCATCATCATCATCATCATCATCATCATCATCATCATCATCGTCATCGTCATCGTCATCGTCATCATCGTCATCAGCATCATCAGCATCATCAGCATCGTCACCGTCATCATCGTCATCAGCATCATCATCATCATCATCATCATCATCATCATCATCATCATCATCATCATCATTGTTACTATTATTATGTTTCTCGTTCCCCTTCTTGTACTTGTTGTCTCGTCGTCTTCATTTTCCTCCCCCTTCTCCTCCTGATCCTCCTCCTCTCTCTCGCCCTCCTCCTACTGGTTATCCTCCTCATCCTCCTCCTCCTCCTCATCCTCATTTCCTAGCTGTCCTGTGCCCAAGCATTGGGCATTGCACACACCAACTTCAGGACAGCATTTGTGTGTGCGAGCCTTTTGTGGCTTCGTTTTCTCTTTCAGATCGTATGACCAGGGATGGATCCTGGCAGCCTCGCAGCAATGGCGCCGGCGCGTGGTCCCAGGCGCCGTGGCGGGCAGGGGCAGCGGTCCGCTCCCCCCCAGGCCAGTGGGGCGGCGGCGACAGCCGACCCTGGCCCTCGGCCCGCCAGGACAACGCATGGTCGGGCCGCCGCTGGCGCTGCCAGGACTGCGGGTGCAAGAAGAACCTGGAGGGTTGTCTCAGTTGCAAGCGCTGCGGCGCCCTCAGGAACGATTCTGAAGGAGGCTTCTACGACATGTTCGACCCCACCCGGACGGGCACCCCGTGGCCAGCGCTCCCTCCTGGGCCCCTGCCTCCTCTGGGCCCTGGCGGTGCTGGTGGTGGTGGTGCAGGCGGAAATGGTGCCCCGCCCTTGTCTGCGGAGGAGTTGCGGACCCTCATCAACCTGTTCCAGAAGAGCGGAGACACTGCAGCGGTGCCAAAGCACAAGGCGGCACTCGACAAACTCCTCCGTGTGTCAACTCCTGCCCCTGTCCAGCAGCAGGCGGCCAAGGCACACAACAACGTGCAGCACTGGGAGCGCAAGCTGTCGACTGAGCTGGACAAGCTCGCGAAGCTGGAGCAGCAGGTGGGGTTGCAGCAGGCCGCCACTGAGGCTGCTCAAGCCGCCCTTCGTGAAGCAGATGAACAGTACAAGGATTTGGTCAAGGAGCTGGCTGGCAACGTGGTCATGCCCGCCCCTGTTCCGATGCCCAGCCCTGCCAAAGTGGACGTGGTGGAGCTCATGCAAGGCTCCTCGAACGTCTTGGACATGGTCTTGCTGGATTCCATTTTCTTGTTCGACGAAGCGGAGTTCGAGGTCACGCCCCCGGACTAGGAGCAGATGGACCAGAGGCGCGCCACGCTCAACGAACAGTTCCGTGAGGCGTGCAAGACGTTGTTCGCAGGCGCCTTGGAGAAGGCCCAGGCAGCCCGCGAGGAGCAAGCGAAGCACGTGCAGCGCCTGGGCAAGAAGAGGCGTGGTGCGGACGGCAAAACGCACTCTGGGGGAGGCGCGGATCAAGCTGCAGCCCCGCCTGCTGGATGTGGCCAAGGTCATGCCGCTGCGTCTGCTGGAGGCCTTGGGCCAGCGCCCGCAGCAGCTCCTGCTGCGCCCAAGCCCGAGGATGGAGCTCAGGCGCCCGCTGCTGAGGCCACCCCAGCCGCTCCTGCAGACGTACGAGCTCGTGCAGCGGCGGCCTTGGCCCCTTCGAAGCAATCGGTACCCCCTGTCGTGGGCTAACTTCGAGGACCAGGACAGGGGGTACTACCATCAGAGTGAGGCAAGTAATTTCCTTTGCGGGGCAGGGGGGGGGGGGACACGGGCGCTGCCGCGCCTGCTCCCCTCGGCAGGCCCACCGCTCGTGTTTTGAATCGGGCTGAGCTTGTGGATTGCCTCGCTCGGCCTATCCGTTTTCTCGATCGCTATATCAAGGCACTGTTGTGTTCCGCCGACAGTTCCAGGGTGACCGAAGGCACTCAGGGGGACTTTTGCAGTGAGCAGGCTGGCGTTCGGCCCACTCTAGCGTTTTCCCCCGGTTGCCTGACGGCTGCCGCTACCCCAGACTCAAAGGTGAGTTCTGACAGTTTGATATATTTCCTTTCCCCCCTGCCCCTGGGGGGGGCATAAACCTGAAGAATAGTCACATGCAATTGCACGGCCTGGAGTTATGCTAAGGACTGGCTCTTGCAGACGGCGGCGCACGTTGCGTTGCTGCAGGAACACCACCTGCTGCACCATCAGATCCCAGATGCTCAGCGCTGGGGCCTTAATCACGGGTGGAAATCGATCTTCGGTTGTGCTAAGGAGACGTCAGACTCAGGTACCTCTGGTGGGGTGGCTATCTTAGCTCGTTCTGGACTGGGCCTCCATTGGCCTGCTGGAGGTTTCAATGTTGAAGATCGTCGTGCTGTAGCTGGTTTTGCTCATGTTGGGGATCTTCCACCCATCCTGTGCATCTCTTGCTACTTAGTCTGCTGCGAGGGCTTATCCGGCCGCAACCTTTCGATCTTGTCCAAGGTTGGCACCTTTGCCAGCAGTGGCATCAGCAGTTTTGTGATAGGGGGCGATTTCAACATGGAGCTCCTACGCTCGAAGATTGTAACTTCGCGCAGCAGTTGAAGGGTCAGATTGTCACCTCAGGTCGGTCTACGTGTCTTGGATCTGCTGGTGGGAAGGTTTACGATTTCTTTGTCGTCTCGGGTGGGTTGTCCAAGGGGGTCAAGTCCACGTGGGTCGACAGGTACGCGCCGACGGCTCCGCACTCCCCAGCTGGGATCGATTTCCACGGCCAGCTGGCTGACTTGCGCGTGCTGCAGTTTAGGAAGCCGCCGCCGCTCCCCGTGGAGGTCCCGATTGGCCCTGGGCCAGCCCCGCAAGACTGGGAGCCAACCGTGGCCGTGGCTCCGGACGTCCTTGGGCGTGCTCAGCGGAGCTCTCTGGAGGCTTATCAGGGGCCCACCGAGCTTTACAGATGTTGGGCTAACCTCGCCGAGGCCGAGCTGGTTGACCAGCTGCGGGCGAGATGACCCAAACTGGTTGTCGAGGTGAGCTCCTCAAAGTCTGCTGGGCCCCAGCCTTAGGGCGCGACCAACGACCTGCGAAGCATCCTGAGCTTTATGTTTGTCGTTGGCTTTCTCAGAGCTTCAGAGATTGGACCACTGCTTGGCGCGCGGCCCTTGGTAGGTGCTCTGGCGGGATCCCCACCCAGGAGGCCAAGAAGGTTTTGGAGCAACCCTCTCCCTTCATCCAGGAACACCTCGGAGCGGGTCTCATCCAGAAGGCGTACTCCAGGGTCCTCGGGTTCATCGGGCAGGAGGGGGTCACCTTAGAGGCCATCGGGGATGTCTCCATCGAGCTTTATGACCTGCTGTGGACTGTCGCCAAGACGGCGCGAACATAAGGTGAGAGGTCGTGGATGGAGTGGCTCCTAAAGGACATCGACCAAGGATGCGGACGTAACGCCCGCTCTTGGACTCGCCCTGTAGAAGCTTGGGTTCCTTCCTCGACCCTCAGCGCCGCTGGCCAGGTAGTATCTGACCCCCAGTCGCTCCTGCGAGCTGAGGGCAAACGTTTTCAAGCACTCTGGGTTGCTGACACCGAACTGTTTGATTACTTGGAACCGAAGCCCTTCCGTCCTGCACAGCATCTGCCTTTGGTGCCCCCTGAGGTCTCGAGGGAAAGGGGCAGGGGTTATGCCAGGAGGTCAGCATTATCGGTCGACGGGTTTCACCTTCGGCACTACGCGTTGCTGCGTGACCAGGCGTTGACAGTGGTCTCGTTTCTTTTCGCCACCATGGAGACGATGGCCACTCTCCCAGAGCAGCTCCGCCTTGTATGCTCGCCATGTTGCCCAAACCCACGGGGGGCCTCATACCCATTGGGATCTTCGCGTCACCGTGCAGGTTGCGGGGGAGGTGCAGGAGGCAGGAGGCTTTGCAATGGGAGGAGGATCACAAGCATGACATGTTCGCAGCTCACGGTTTCAAGTCAGCTTCCGACGTTGTCTGGAGGCAGACCGCCAGGAGTGAGGCCGCTGCAAGACAGGGGTTGTGTTCGGCGTCGCTTCTCTGGGACATGTACAAGTTTTACGAAACGATGGATTTGGAAGATCTTGGGGCCAGGTGCGAAGTTCTCTGTTTTCCGATGGCGGTGCGTCGTTTGTGTATTTCGGCGTATAGGGCCCCGAGGTACATCGACATCAGCGGTTTCCTCCGGGGACCCTTTTTGGCCATCCGTGGGGTTATTGCTGGGTGTAGTATTGCGACCAGTTTCGTCAGAGTCTATTATATGCAGGCGTTTGTCACTGTCCAGCTGAAGCCATGCTCTAGCCTCGATCTGTACATCGACGACCTGGGGCTCTCGGCCCAAAGGGCGGTTCCAGGAGGTGTATGATGCCATCGCCCACGGTGCCGTCGAACTGTTTAAGGCAGTTGAATCGGACATCAAGTGCAAGACCGCCCCAGATAAGGCCAGCCTCATCTGCAGTCAGCGTCGCCTTGGGACCAAGCTCCAACAATTCTTGGGGGTTTGGGCTGGTCCTGCGACAACCACCTCGGCGATCAACCTGGGGACCGACGACGCCGCTGGGCGGCCAAGGAGGGTCAGGGGTCGTTGTAAGAAGGCTAAGCAGAGGCGCGCGACGTTTGATCAGCGTGTTAGCCAGTATCCGAAAACAAAGACAAGTTTTAGGGCGTTCAGCAACGAAGATTTTCACTGGCGGCGCGCTCGCAGGCATCAATGTCGGCTGCGAGATCCATGGTGCCAGTGATGCGGAGCTGGGCCACATTCGCCGCCAAGCAGGCAAGCGCTTGCGGCCGTCTGGTGGTGGCCGCAGTCTCTCCTCCGCCCGTATTAGTGAAGATGATCCCACTTACTACGGTGTTGCGGCTCCAATTATTCGCTGGGGGAAGGAGGTATGGGCGGCACAGTTTCCCCCACACCTAGGAGGAATGACGCGCAAGGATCTTGGACGATGGGGAAGCTCAAGCCCAAGACCTGGCGATCTGTCGCAGGCCCCATCACGGCGCTGTTCCTGTCTGTCCAGCGGTTGGGCTGGACCATGCCCAACTACGCCACTCTGCAGTCGCACGATGGCACCTCCGTCTCTCTTACTTTTGTCAGCCCCAGGCTTTTGAAGGACATTCTAAGGCGGGAGATAGTCAGGGGCATGGAGGAGAATGTGGGGAAGAAGCTGGAGGTGGGATGGGAGCGTGCGTGTTTCGATGTTTGCAAGAGTCAGCTGCGTTCCAGGAAGCGCACTGCCCTGGAGAAGGGGTCCATCAGGGCCCTTTGCTGCGCAGGCGCCTGGACAGCCGACCGCGCGGCTGCCTTAGGCTACCAACTGGAGGAGAACCAGCTGCTCTGCCCGCTATGTGGTCTCTGCAGGGATACCATCCACCACTGTCTGTATGATTGTTCGGCCGTCCAGGAAACTCGTGCCGAGCTTATTCCTGCAGAGATCCTTGAGGAGGCTCGGGGACCTTTTATCGAATAGTGATCAGTTCCTGTTCGATCGGGGCATTTTCGAGCATCCCGAATCTTTCTGGCCGAAAGCTCTTAGTTCGGTGGGAGGGGTCATTTCGCCGTCAGCTGAGGATGAGGACTTCTCGGAGGAGCTCGCAAACGGAGACATCCAAGGTCGCATTTTCGTTCACGGGGGTTGTTTTTGGCATCCCGTCCTTGAATTATCGAGGGCAGGCTGGGGGGTTTGCATGGTCTCCCCCCAGGGCTCCCTCGCGTGTGCTCTCCATGGCCCCGCCCGCGCTCCAGTCAGTCAGACTGCGCCAGCTGGGGAATACAGCGCCCTGGCCATGGCTGCGCTGCATATCGCTGCCCAGTCTGAAATATTATCTGATTGCCTTGCGGTAGTCAATCATTTCCGCCTGCCCCCCAGTGAAAGGCTGTCTTATCGTAGAAGATACGCGGAGACTTTTTCTATATGAATAATGCCCCGCACGTCCGTGAAGTGGTCAAGGTCAAGGTCCATCAGGACGTGGGTGAAGTAGGTATTTCCGTTTCCGAACGACTGTTGAGGGTTGGGAATAACCATGCGGACCAAGCCGCCCAACGAGGCGCTCGATCCCACCCACAGCCGTCTGCCGACGAGGTTGATCGCGTCACCCGGTGCGTCAACATCAGTAAATGTGTTTGTCGATTTGCTGTCAAGCTTTTGCCGTTATGGCCTCGGCTGGGCCTGGGGGATTGCCCGCTGGTTAACCCTTGTCGCACCATCGCGGTCCCTGCGGAACCCTCGGCCCCGCACGAGTGGCAATGGCAGCATTCTGTGTGGAGGTGCACAGTATGTAGAGTTGGCTCACGTTCGGTCACTAAACCACCTGGTGGGAAAAGCTTGCTGACTGCCAACCATGATTTGGATGTAGCCGGCTCTTTAGGGCACAGCGTGGCGGGCCTTCCGTGCTCTGACGGAGCCGATTTTCTGTTCTGCCCGAAATGCGGGGGATATATGCACCAAGCCGTTTTCGTGCAAACCGCCCTGTCCAGGACCTGTGCACAAGAGCTCAAGGCTCACGGCCTCGCGAATTTCAATCAGATCATCCAAGGCCCGCACCCTCGCAAGTCGTTCTTGAAAATAGGCAGGCCTGAGGAGCTGCCTGCCGATTATGTTCCCCGCTCCTCGTTCGAGCCTCCCTCCCTCGACGACGACGTGGACGATGTTGGCCCCCTTGTGCTCCGACAAGCGGCGGTGGGTCTGCGCTTGGAAAGCGTCGCCGCGGGAGCCAGCAGCAGGGCCACGGGCTCTGCTCCTCGTGGGCGAGGTCAGCAGGACCTCCACCGCCAGGAGGAGTCAGACAGTTCGGACTGACTCGCCGCTCTTTCATTTCTGACTCTGGCGGCTGGCCCGCGGCTGTCCCCGTTTTCGAGTGTTTCTTCTCTGCGCGCGGCCCGATGCGACTGGCTTTTCTGGCAGGTGCCCGTGCAAGGCCCCGCTTATGGGGCGAGGGCGGGGGCCATGGTGACCCGACCGCGGTTTCCCTTTCTTATCTCGTCGCCCTGCTAGTCTGTGTCCCTTTCGTTGGAGCGGAAGGCGGCGGGTCCTTGATCGTTCTGCCCACTTGGTCTTTGGCCGTATCTGGAGGGCCCGCCATGGGGGCACCGGCTCAGGGTGCGAGTTGGGCCCGCACCTGGGGCAGTCCAGGGGCCGCCCAGGCGTCCGCCCTCAGGGTTAGGTGCACCTGGGGTTTCCTGGCTGTCGTCCTGGCGTCTAGTGTGCCCTCAGGGTAAACGGTGCTTATTTTAAGCACTACGATTAAGCACCCGGCTTTGGTGCTTAAGTTCAAGTTTACATATATGTAACCCAAAAATCAAAAACATACATAACAACATATATAGACATACGGTTTTGCGACTCATATAAACATGCAGCAATGCTTGGTTCGTGTGTTTCTGACGAAAACCAACGCACAAAACCATGAGCTGTGATAAGTTAAGAGGTACGGTACATCATTTCGATACGCCTTGGACCTGCGAGAAGCGGGTCGAGCGGTAATGGCAGTGCGCTTGTTGATTTGCTAATCATGCAAGTCGGTGGATAGTGTGCATGCCCGTTCACATTTTCTTGGTGAGCCCGTGGACGGACACCTCGGTCTGCACGGGTCTGGAAACATGCGGAGGGTTAGAGCACGCGTCGGTGCGCGTTCACATACACAAGCACACTGCGCGTGCTACACACATGCGTGTGCAAATCTGTATATATATATATATATATACACATATATATATAACATGCACATGCCACATACATGTTGGCGAGAAGCTGCCCTCCATCCGTGCAGGAGTAACACAAGTTTCAACTCTTGTTGGCACATAATATAGATCTCCCCAACGGACGTGTCAGTTTGAAAAAGGAGCCACCCTCCATCCGCAGGGGTCGCACAACGTTGAACCCCTGGTAAAAGAAAACACATGTTCTAAACATCGACATCAACATGACAAATAACCGCCCTCCATATGCGTGTAACTGTAACTGTTGCAAGCGGGAACTACGACCTGGCCTCCTCTCCTCCAACCTCCCCCGGCCTCCTCCATAGCCGTTTTGGCTGGGTGGCTGCGGTGGCCAAGAAGCCGTCCAATGCGGACATTGAGCCGCCAACGCCGTCGGCGGTGAGAACCAAAGGGTCGTCAGATTTCGCTGCGATCCGACGCGTGCTGCAGAAGTACTTCACGTCCGTGAACTCTCTGAAGCATGGTGAGAAGATGGGCAAGAGTACGGTGCACCAGGAGAGGATTCAGGAACACGCGAAGCTGATCGTGGACCTCTACACTACGTGCGGTTGGCGCCTCAACCAGTCAGCGGTCAAGGCAGCGCCCCCCCAGGTCGCGAGGGCCAACGGATTCAAGCTGAACGCGGCGAGGATGAAGAAGTGGACGGGGGCGCTGGACAGGCGGCTCAGGGCACTGATGTCCCACGCCAGGGAGCGAGCCAGACGTGAGTCAGATTGGTTCGCGGAGGCGATCGGCGATGAGGAGATCATGGAGAGAATGACGAAGGCCACCAAGCAGTTCGCAGCCGATAGTAAAGGAGACTCCGAGAAGGTGGACACCCAGCAGCTCGGCGACGACAAGGGCGACGACGGCTCCGACTTTAATGATGAGAACGAGGAGTCAGAGGAGGAGGAGGAGGACAACGAGCCAGACGCGGAGGAGGACGACCACTCCGAGGCGGCATAGGACTTCAGTGCATCCAAAAACCGATCCAAAAACCTCACGGAGGGGAAGTGAGAGTACGAGGGGTGATGATGATGCTGATGATGATGATGAGTATGATGATGGTGATGATGATGACGGTGGTGATGATGGGTTGCTGACGAGGATTATGATGATGCTGATGATGAGGATGCGGTTGATGATGCTAAGAGTTTTAATTATATAAATAATGATAACAATAATAATGGGGATGCGAAAAAACATTAATGATGATGATGATGATGGTGATGATGATGATGACGATGGTGATGCTGCTGGTGAAGATGATGATGAAAATGATGAGGATGAGGAGGAGGAGGAGGAGGAGGAAGAGGAGGATGAGGAGGAGGAGGAATAGGAGGAGGAGGATAAGGGAGGACGAGGAGAGGTGGAAGAGGAGGGAGGGGCACGATGACGAGGAGGCGGACGATAAGGAGGCGGAGGAAGAGCACCCCGCGATCGCCCCGGGAGAGCATCGTGAAGAAGCCTGCTGCCGCGGAGATCAAGAAGTACGAGTACGGTTTCGACAGGGTCGCCAACAACGCCTACAGGACGACCGACGGCAAAGTGCTGGACTACGGCACGATGACCGTGCCAGAAGGTCACACGGCGAGTATCTGGCGGGTACCTGGCGGGCACCTGGCCGGTACACCTCCAAAATATGATCCCCCCCCCCCCACCTCCTCCTCATCCTCCTCCTCCTCCTCCTCCTTCTCATCCATTTCCTCCTCGTCCATCCCCTACTCATCCTTCTTCTCCTTCTCCCCCTGCTCATTATCCTCATCTGCATCTCATCCCTCCCCCACTCCTCCTCATCTTCCCTCGTCGTCCGCATAGCTGGTGCGGATGCTGTTCATCCTCGTTCTCCGTATCCTCGAGCCCTCCCTCCTCCTCCTCCTCCTCCTCCTCCTCCTCCTTCTCCTCCTCTTCCTCCTCCTCCTCCTCCTCTTCCTCCTCCTCCCCCTATGTATGCGCCCAGAGCCTCTGCCTCCGAAGGCGCGGCTGACGGCGACCCGATGACCGCCAAATGGAAGGGCGGCGACACACTCGCGCTGAGCATCACGCTGGCAGAGTGGAGAGCAGCTGGCAGCGACCTCATCGAGGTGTCGAAGCACGGTGGCATGCACACGAATGAGGACACCAAGATCGCGGTGAAGTACAGGGAGGACAGGCCGACTGGGCCCGAGAGGATCAACAGGCTCGCGACCATGCGAGATGAATCTGGCCAAGTGTTCCAGGTGAATATTTTATGGTTCGACGGGAGCTCGCAAGAAGAGCAAAAGCAGGCAGCGATCGCCTGGGCCAACGCGGCGGCAGTCAGACTCCCCGACAAGGTGATCACCCGCGACGAGGCCAGGGAGGAGAAGGAGGCGTACAGGATGCAGGTCGCGACCGAGGACCATGCGATGAAAAAGGCCGGCCGCAGTGAGGAGGCCAGCAGCAGCAGCAGCGGCACCAGATACTCCGACGGGTTCGATTGCAGCACCGACGCCATCGAAATCAGCACCGACGGCAGCGCCAACCGGTTCAATGCAGCCGTCCTCGCCGCCACCTACAACGCCTCCGAGGTGGCAGAGTCCAGTGACGATGCATGGCTCGATCGAGCCGCCGCCGACGCGGCCGCGCTTGCGCTAAAGCCGCAACGTGTCACATAGACATCGGTTCTGGCGGTGGAAACCTAGATTCCTCCTCCTCCCCCTCCTCCTCCTCCTCTTCATCCTCATCATCAGCAGCAGCAGCCGCAGCGGCATCATCATCATCATCATCATCAGCATTATCATTTTCCTCGCTCCCAGGGATTATCTTATACCTGGGCCCTCGGGAAAAGGGCCCGCATCGGGCTCCTCCACTCGCAGAGCTGCCTGGGGTGCGGCTCGTCATCCTCCTCCTCGTCCGCCTCCCGTTCATCCTCCCCCCCCTGCCCCCCCCCCCCCCCCTCCCCTCGGTTATCTTCCATCTCGGACCTCGGGGAAACGGCCCTGCATGAGGGGTGCGCGCCTATCGGACTCCCCCCGTCTCAAAGCTGCTTCGGGCGCAGCTCGTTCACCGAGGATAGTCGTTTCATGTGTCTCATCCTCCGTCTCCTCCTCCTCCTACTCCTCCTCCTCCGCTCGCGGTGTTCGACTTCGGTGCGTCGGCTTCGATCGGGCCCGACACGAGCATAGTCGCCGCGATCGGTCTCGGCTCGATCCATCGTCGCCACGGCTGCACTCGGGATCGAGGGCATAGCCAAGTTATGTGAATGATGGGGGGGGGGGGGGGGGGCGTGGGCAGGACGAATATGAAACGGTGGTGGGCTACGGAGGATACTTATCAAGCAGAAGGGTGGAGGGGGAAGAGGGGGAAGACGACTAGGAGAAAGAGAAAGCGGATGGATAGGACACCGCCCCTGCAATCCCTCGATTCAGACACTCCCCACAAAATCCCAGAGCCCCAAGCAGCGACGTTTTGGCCCGAGCGCGATCCAGGTCCCAGCGCCCCGCAGGCAGAGATGTCGCTCGGCGAAGCCGTCGAGAGGCTTCAGAGCATACAGGATGAGATGGACCGCAGACCGAGGATGTTCAGCCGCCCTGTCCAGTCCTGGGGCGAGTGACCGCGCGACCGCCAGCCTCAGGTTCCACCTTCTTCAATGTCCCAATCCACCTGCTCCTCCTCCTCCTCCTCCTCCCCCTCCTCCTCCGCATCCTCATCGAGGGGTTCGACCCCGCCGGGCTACTCAACTTGAGGAACACGAAAACCGATCCGGTCGAGTTGTTCAGAGCGGAGCGCGCCACTGCCCCGACGGGCAACGAGATCCCGCAGAGCCCCGCTGTGTCGATCGCCAGTTCGGACGACGGGGTTTCACACGCATCAGCATGTCTCTCACCCCTCTCTCCCCCTGGCAAGGGGAGAGAGGGGGGGGAGGGGGGGGGGGGGGGGGCGAGGCGGGAGCCGAGGAATAAGGGGGATGAGGATGAGGGGGGAACGCAAGGATCAGGAGGAAGATGAGGAGGAGGAGGAGGAGGAGGAAGACGAGGAGGATGAGGAGGAGGAGGAGTTGACGTAAGTTGAAAGAGAGAGAGGACAGGCGGCCACGAGCACGAGACGAGAAGGCAAATGTAGGAGTAGGAGGAGGAGGAGGAGCAGGAGGAGGAGGAGGAGGAGGAGGAGGATTTGCGCACCTGCCAGGATCGGAGTCCAGGCGCGGGCGAATCGCCAGCGGCGGCAGCGCCCGCGGCGGCAGAGCCCGCGACCGCGGCGCCCGCGGCGCCGCTCGCGGCGCCCGTGCCGCTGCAGCCAGGGACGCAGGCCGCAGCGGAGACCCCAGCTCCGCTGGCCCCCGCGATGCCGCCGCTGGACACAGCATCCCAGCTGCAGCAGTCGCAGCCGCAGGCAGCCACGCAGACTGTCGTCGACAGCTTCGAAGGTCTAGCCTGCTGGAGCGGCGTGCCACAGAACTTGAGCGACGAGACCGTCAAGGCGATCCTCGGCAAGGAGATCGGGGGGTTCAGCAGCTCCGCCGTGGCGAAGGCGGACGAGCAGTTCGCGGAGCTCTTCAAGTCCAGGGGGGCTGCTCGACAACACGCGTGAGCCTGTTGAGGGTGATGATGGGGATGACGGCGCGATGGGCAGCCTCGGGCTGGCGAACAAGCGGGGCCTCCACATCGAGAACTTGCCTGGGAACGGCTTCAGGTTCTCGATGAAATCACCACTGGGGAAGCGCTTCTACTTGTGGCTGAAGAGCCACCAAGACGAGGCTGACAAATACTGGGAGAAGGCCGAATACGAGCAGAAGCAATACCGTAAGAAGTGGGCCGAGGTGAAGTTCAACGAGTACGACTCTTGGAGGGGCAAGAGGCGGGATACGATGACTCGCAAGAGGGTCAGGGGCAGGCCAATGAACTTGGACCAGCTGATCGTTGCGCAAGGAGGCCATCGATCAGCCAGCGCAGTGCAGGGAGCTCTCAATTACGCATCCTGGGCAATTCGCGAGGGATGATCTGAGTGCGTCGAGTGGAACCCGAGGACCAAGAGGGTGGACTTCATCTTCGAGGAGAGGATCAACGACCATGACGAGTCGACCCTTTGGAGGAACGAGGAGACCGAGCGCAACGCAAAGAAGCAGGCCGCTCAGTCCGCTGCCGAGTTGGAGACGCCCACCAAGGTCCCGATCGAACGGGCGCAAGGTGCAAGCAGCGAGACCGTGGATGCGGCGAAGGGAGACCAACCCGCTGGCAGCCAGGACGCGGTGACCAACGTCTCGGGCGGCGGCGCCGTGGCGAAGGGCAAAGCCAAAGGGAAAGACGGCAAAGGCAAGAGAGGCAAATGCAAGGGGAACAAAAACGACAAGAAGGGCAAGAAGCATAACCACAGGGACAAGGACTGCTCCACGAACCCGAAGGCCGCCATCAAAATCGCGAAGGACACGCTCAGCTCGTACACGGTCATCAAGATGCGGGCTGAGAAGATGATCAAGAGCATCGGCGACGCCACGGACGGCTGGGGGAAGTTCCAGGCCTTCTCCAAGGACCTCGTCGACGCGGTGCAGGCCATGGAGCAGGCTTGCTCCACATTTGGATGGAGAGAGGGGCGATAGGAAGGACGAGGAGGATGAGAGAGGAGGAGCAGAGAGGATGGCGAGGGGGAGGAAGAAAAGGAGCGGGAGGTGGATCAGAAGCGGAAGATCGGGAGGCGAAACAGGAAAATAGAGTGATAGCCTGAGAGGGGAAAGCGAGGGGCACGACGAGGATGAGAAGAGGAATAAGATAAGGAGGACGAGGAAGGAGGAGGAGGAAAAAAGGAGGAGGAAGAGGACCTTTCCTCCGCAGTCCTCCTTCCTCCGCCCATCTCCCCTGTGCCCCGAGGGCGTGGAGCAGCACGCGTTCATGCAGATGGCCTTGGCAATCGGCGTCGACAAGTGCAAGGACCCGCCCTAAGGAATTGCACGGCTGCCCAGCTCCTGATAGAACCCCCTCGGGGGGGCCCTCGGGCCCTCGGATTGTTAGCCCCGCCCTGAGGCCCCTGGAGGCCGACCCCTCGCCATGAGCAGGGCGAGATGGAGGGGCGGGAGTTCGAAGAGGGCATTCGGAACATGGCTCAGATCTCGGAGCACGTCTCGAGTGTGCAGACCCAGATCGACAAACTGAACAGCATGAAGAGCCTCCCTGGAGCCTAGATCGGGCTACTTTTCGCGCTGGTCTCGACCAGCCAGCCAGCTGCACGCTTGGGGTCTAGACGCATGCACGAGGGATTCTATAGTTGTGCAAGCGTCTCTGAGAAGCTTCCTACTCGAGTAGGATATCGCTGGCCTGTGATCGAGGTGATTGTCCGCTGGGGAGCGTGCGTTTGGATGAGAGGCGTCAGCCTCTTTGTTCAGGGGGTGAAAAGGGAGGATGAGGAGGAGGAGGAGGAGGAAGAGGATCAGGAGGAGGAGGAAGGCATGAGGAGGCGAGGAGGAGGAGGACAAGGAGGCGAGGAGGCCCTACAATAGGGTTGGAATGAGCTCGTGACCCAATCATACATCACCATCAGTTAGTTCTTGTATTCAAATGCGTGCGCAACGGTTGTGCGACCAACAATTCTGCCCCAAAACAAACAACAACAATCAAATCAACAACAAAAACGTAAACGACAGAAAAAATACCCCCCCTGGGGAACCGAACAACAAACGGATTATACCGGGTACCTGCCGGGTACCTGCCGGGTACCTGCCGGGCACCTGCGGGGGGCAGGCCGGGCACCTACCGGGTGCATCCCGGGTACCCCCCCCCACCAAACCTGTGAAAACACATGGTTTTCTGGCGGGTACCTGGCGGGTACCTGGCGGGTACCTCGCGGGGGCCTCGAGGAGACCTCGCGAGACCCTCTGGAATGTATCGCAGGCGCCTGGCGGGCATGTGCGAACGCGTGCACCGGAGCATGTGCGAGCAAATGTGGAGCATGATGTGACACTCCGGCCTGCCAGAGTGTGGATCTGGCTCGAGCTATGGAGGATATCGATTGGAAATCGTCTTCATCCGACCTTGAGGAAGCGCCCGCGGCAGATGTAGCTGCGGAGTTGGAATGTTCTCAGCCCCTAGTGACGCCAGAGCAGCTATGGGCTTCGGGGAGGTGCTACCCAGCGTTAAGGCTTGTATTGGAACGGCCCCAAACCTCGGAAAAAAGGCCAAACATCGCGCTAAAGACCTCAGGAAGAGGAGGAAGAGGATGAGGAATGATCCGAGGAAGGGTAGGCAGAGAGGAACGAGAAAAGGAACAGGCACGATCGAGGGAGCCGCAAAGCGAATCTGTCGGGAAGGAGGGGGGCGAGGCAGGAGCGGGAGGACCGAAGGGAACAGGAAGAGAACCATGAGACATGAGACGGAGGGTGATACCACGTCGGAGGAATAGCGCGAAGGGCGGCCTCGTCGCCCGATGTTTGGCCGATACCCGCCCTCTGACCTTATGTTGCATCTCCAAAGGCATGTGGGAGTCGATGTAATCCAGTCCCGCATTATGTACCATCGCGCAATGGAGGACCCCGTCACTCGGCGTTTTCAAGAGGCATATCTGGAGAGTACTGGATTATTCAACTTGGTTGATGTCGCAGGACTCGGGGCCGAGCAACAGAGAGAATACTGTGAGTTCTGGAGAGGAATCGAGGAAAATAGCTCGAAGGAGCGTGGAGAGGGAAGGTGGCTGAAAGGAGGGGAGGGAGGGAGGTAGAGGGCAGGGGGGGGTATGAGGGGGGCTGGCAACCCTAGGACGGACGCCCGAACAGAGAGATGGCCTGCAAGAACGGGACCGCCCAGCCACAGACAACCCGATCGCAGTCGCAAGCGCCGCCCAGTCATCGACCACGCCGCCAGCATCGGGGGCAGCAACACAGACAGCCAGCCATCGGGCGCAACCATTCGGAGCCAGCCAGCGCGCAGCAGCCCTGAGGCCGTTAACCGTTCGTGAGCTTGAGGCCATGATTGGCTGATGGGCAAGCATTTGATTGCACGTGCAGCGATATTGATGAAAGGTGACGGTGGGGGTCTATTCGGTCGAGGGTGACGGGGGAGGTCTATTCGCTCGACCCGCCATTGCGTTGCACAGGCACATGTGCCAAGTCTAGGGGAGCCCTCGAATGTCTGGGTACTGGATAAACACCCACGCCTATATATATGCGTTGTACTTGTACGGAAATCTCGGCACGCGTTTCGGTGAAGGCCGCTCGTCCTGAGGTCCTCGTTTGCCTCTGGTCTCATCCGTCAACACGGTGGCTCAAAGCAAAGCAGGGCGTCGGGCCTCTCGCATGGCTGGGCCCTTCGCCGTGCGAGTCCTGGAGTGGGCGGGCGGCGTGGCGGGCGCCTACCTGTCGCGGTGCCCCGCCTGCCCCGCGGTGCCCGACTGCCATTGCGCGGCGTGCCCGGCTTGCCCGGCACTGGCTTCGTGCTCGCGCCCGCCGTGCCCGGCGTGCCCGGGCTGCCCGGGCGGGGCCGCCGCGCCGGCAGCGCCGGCTTGGCCCCCGCCGGAGAGCCAGAGCTGCCCCGCGCCGACGGAGGTCGAGCGCGGCGGCGCTCCGGCCTGGGGCGGGCTGGGGCCAGGGTGGTGGCTGGTGTTCGGCGTGCTGCTCGGGTGCCTCCTCGGCGTGCTCGGCCAGGCGGTGGTGCGCGGGGGGGTGAGCTGCGCCAGGCGGCTGACGAAGGGCGAGGATGGCAGCGGCGCCGCCGAGGGCGAGGGAGTGGGCCTTCGTCCTGTACGGCGACGACGAGCACTTGTGGCACCAGAGGCTGATTCTGGGGCTCGTGGGGTTGTCGGATTCTAGCTACGTCATCCTGACCCCCGACGGCGACGTCTACGCGGAGGACTACGGGGACGACAGCGTGGATGTGGCCGCCGTCCGCTTCTCCGGGGCGTGGGCCGCGGTGCCCGCTGGGGTGCCTCCTGAGCGGGTGTACCGTTTCAGACAGCAGCCGACGGCTCAGGAGCGGGCGCGGGCGCTGGCCGACGCCCAGGCCGAGGCCCAGGCCGAGTGCCAGCGGATCGCCGCCGCTCGGGGCGATCCGGGGCTGCTGGCGAACCTCGTCTTTTTGCGGCCGCTGCCGGTGCCGGGCGGGGCTGCGGCTGCGCCGCGGGCTCCTCGCATCGGGCCTCTGCAGGGGGCTGCGCCAGGCGCTGCCGCGGGGGCTCCTGTCGCGGAGTGGCGCGCGGCGATGGCGGCCGGGCCCTTCCGGTACGGCGACGTCGTGACGGACCACGCGCGGAGCGGGCTGGCCGTCGGCAAGCGTGACATCCACGTACTCCCGGATGGCGTCGGGATCTTCGTCGAGCACGTGGACCCGGCCGACGAGGCCGAGTTCTTCGATCGGGCGGTCGCCACGGATGCGCGGATCACGCCGATCCGCCGCAACCGCCAGGACAGGCGGGAGCGGACCTGGGCGGAGATGACGGCCGTGCTGAAGCAGGAGAGCTTCGGTGCCGACTGGCAGCTGCCGGGGCCGCGCTCCAGTTTGTGGTGCATAGAGTTCATCAACCAGGAGGGGAGTGGGCTGCTGGGCCACCACGAACGTTTCAAGACGGCCTGCCGTCTCGACTGGAACTCGTGGGGCGTCTTCGAGCATTTCAACATATGCCAGGCCCTGACCCAGGGGCTGCTGGTGGACCAGCTGGACGGGAGCAACCTGATCATGGTCGAGTACCAGTTCCGGCGGCTCCAGACGATAGAGTTCGGCCACTCCGAGCGGGCGAGGGAGGCGGAGTCGAAGAGCTACCAGGGGAAGATGTCGTTGGAGGAGCAGCACGCGTTCGCGGGGACCACGAGGGCGTCGTCGACGCTCATGATCTGCCCGGAGCTGCTGGACTACGTCCGCACCGAGGTGGAGCGGGAGGCGAAGCTGGCCAAGAACCTGAGAGTTGCACGAGAAGAGCGGGAGGCCCTCCGCAAAGGGCCCAAGGAGAAATGACTCCTGACTCGCGCCGGCTGGGCCCTTCAGGGGCGGGGCCCAGCCGCCTGCCGAGCCCCAGGCCGCCCCCCGCTGGTGGCCGCAGTTTTGACGCGGGTGACGACCGCCATGTTCCTCGCGATCTTTTTCCTCTGCCACGTCGGCCAGTCGGCGCCTTCTCCGGAGAGGCAGGTGCTGTTAGCCGGTCGGTGCGGCAGCGGGTTGGCGCGCGTGCTGCTGTGGAGCTGGACTGTGACCGAGCGGTGCGCAGCCTCAACGGGATGTTCTCGCATGCGCCTCAGCCGGCTCTTGGCCAGGGCGCGCCAGCCTGTGCTTTCGTCTCGCGCGCGCAGCGCGAGGCCATCGACTTCGTCGAGGAGTCGGCGCGGGCCCTGGGAGCGCCGCCCCCGGGGCTCACCCCCGCAGAGGCTCTTCGGAAGCTTCGCGTGGCGAGCTGGTACGACGTGGACTCTGCCAAGCTCGGATCCTACCGCCCCGACGCGATCTCACTGCCCTCTGGCACGGTTCGGCCGATTCCGCTGGAGACTCTGTGGGGGAGCGGCGGGAGTGACACCGTGAAGGATTTTATATCACAGAATTTGCTGTGCTCCGAGAGGGCGAAGCAGCGACTGCAGGGCGTGGGGCTGGAGCGGGCGTACTCTGACCCAGCCTTGCGGCGTCGGGGTGCTTATGAGGAATTCATTCGTATGTTGCAGGAGCGTGGCCTCGTCGACTTCGCCGAGTCTGGCATCGAGTCCGTCGAGGCCTTCTTCGTGGAGAAGAAGGACCAGAGGCTGCGCATGGTGATAGACTGCCGGAGGGCCAACGCTTGGTTCGCCGAGCCGGCCGGGGTGAGCCTGTGCACGGGCGATGCCCTTTCGAGGTTGGAGCTCGGCCTCAACGACGAGCTCCACATCCAGGGTGCCGACCTCAGCGACGCGTTCTACCACATGGGCTTGCCTGAGGAGCTGAGGGGGTACTTCTCCTTCCGGCCCGTGCGCGCCTCGGCGGTGGGCATCAAGCTCCTCGGCGGGAAGCCACTCGGCCGGGGCGCTCTTGTCACGCCGCGGCTGGCCGTGCTGCCGATGGGGTGGAGCTGGGCGCTGTGGTGGTGCCAGCGCGTGCACGAGCGCACCAGCGTCGAGGCCGGCGCTTGTCCCGAGCTGCGGATCGCTGATCGCCGGCCGCCGCCGCCGATGACGCCGGGCGCCCACCTGGAGTACGTCGACAACTTCATCGCGATCGGCACCGACTCCGAGTGGGTGGCGGCGCTCGTGCGGCGCGTGTCTGACGCGCTGCGTGCCCGCGGGCTCGAGGTGAAGGCCGAGGACCATGCTGGTGAGCTGCCTGGTGAGTCGGAGGCGCTGGGGTGGTGCATTGACCGAGGACGGTGCATCGTGCGGCCCACGCGGGCCCGGCTGTGGCGTGCGCGCCTGGCCGTTCGAGGTGTCCTCGGCCGTGGCCGTCTTCGGGGACGCGACCTCGAGAAGCTCCTCGGGCATCTGGTATTTATATCTCTTATCAAGCGCGAGGGCATGTCTTTGTTCTGGAGCTGCTACGCCTTTGTCCGCAAGTGCTACGACAAGGAGACCGGACTTTGGCCGGCTGTGCGGCGTGAGCTGGAGTACTGGGACGGCATCGCACACCTCTTGTGGCGCAGCCTCCGTTCGCCTTGGACTGACGAGCTCATCGTGGTCGACGCGAGCGAGTGGGGCATCGGGGCTTGCGCTGCCCCTGCCCCCGTTTCGCTGGTGCAGAGGCTGGGCCACGTCTCCGAGCGCTGGAGGTGGCACCATGGGCTGGCCGGCTCCGCGCCACGCCGGCACGCGGGGGCCGCGGCGGCCGCCGCTGCGCTGGCGGGCGACCCCGCCGACGCTGCGCCGTGGATGCTGGGAGCGGAGGCGGTCGCGGCCGCGGGCTTTCCTCCGCGGCATGCCGGCGGCGACGGGCTGGGGGGGGAGGATTCCGCCCTCCATAGTCACAACCCCCAGGCCCAGGCCGCCGGCGCAGCCGAGGGGGCCGCCGGGAGCGCGTTCGACGAGGTGCCGCCGGACGTGATCAAGCTGCCCTGGCGCACCGTGGGGCGCCACCGCTGGCGCTGGCCGGAGGAGAGCATGCCGGTCGCCGAGGCGAGGGCCGTGCTGCACGGGCTCCAGCATCTCGTGAGGGCCTCGCGGCACCGCGGTCGGCGCGTCGTGGTGCTGGGCGACTCCTTGAGCGCGGCCGGGGCCGTGGATCGTTTCAGGAGCAGTTCTTGTAAAATGCTCCGAGTCACTCAGGCCATCGCCGCCGTCACCCTCGTCACCGCCACTACCCTCCACTACCGCTGGCTGCCCTCAGAGTGGAATGCAGCCGACAACCCCTCGAGGGGGCGTTTCTCCCCCTCGACCCCCCAGCCGCTGCTGCCACGGACCAAGGCTGGTGCGGCAGGGCCAGTCGCCGCTGGGCCGCCCGGGAAGCCTGCCGATGTTGGCGCGGGCGCGGCCGCCCGCGGCGCCGCCGCGCACCCCGACGGCCTCGGCGACGCTGACCCGGTCTACGTTCAGGCCTCCGGGGACGTCGAGGCCGCCAGCCGCCGTGCGCGTCGCCGGGCCGCCGCTGCCCTCGGGCCCGGGCGCGCCCGCTCGGCGCGCGGCGGCTCTGGCGAGGGGCCCGCGGCGGCGTCCTGCCGCGGCGAGCCCGCCCGCCAAGAGGCGGCGTCGGGTGGCGGCGACTGCGGCGGCGGCGGCGCGCCGGCGCTCCGCTGCCGTGCAGCTGCCGGGCCTGAGCGTGCTGGAGACGGGGTCGATCACGGCGGCGACGCGGGCGCAGTACGTGGAGGCCTTCGACGGCTTCCAGGCTTGGATGGCACGGCGGGGCGTGCAGCCCACGACGCTGGACGACTACGACGAGCAGCTGGTCCTCCGCCTGGACGAGCTCTACCTGGACGGCGAGGGGATCGGGGCCGGGCAGAAGCTCTTCGCGTCGGTGCTCTTCTTCCTGGGGCTGACGAAGGCGGCGGGCTCGCCGATGGCGCGAGCGCGGCGGGCGCTGCGCGGGTTCCGTCGGCTGGCGCCGCCTACCTCGCGGCTCCCGCTCCCCTTCGAGTTGCTGGGCGCGCTGGTGAACTACCTCGTGAGCGTCTCGAAGCTCGAGGCGGCACTCGTGCTGTGGCTGAGCTTCGAGCTGTACCTGCGCCCAAGCGAGCCGTACCACATCCGGGCCACCGACTTGGTTCGCCCGGCTCGCGGCCGCCTGGGGCACGACAGCTGGAGCGTGACTCTGCACGCCGCCGAGACGGAGGTGCTCTCGAAGACCGCCGAGTACGACGAGGCGCTGAAGCTGGACCTGCCGCGGCAGGAGCTGCTGGGCCCGGCGCTGGAGGCTTCAGTGGCCGCGCGGCTCGGCCCCGACTGGCGGAGGCCTCGCCCCGCGGCAGCGCGCGGCGCCGCCGCGGGCGGCCGCGCGAGCGGCGCGGCCCCGGAGCCTCTGCTGTTCGTGATCACGCAGCGCGAGGTCTCGAGCGCCCTCTCGGCCGCCGCCAGGGCCCTCGGGATCGAGAAGTTCCTGCCCGGCCTGCACCCTTACATGCTCAGGCACGGGGGCGCGTCTCACGACTACGGCAGCAAGGCCAGGTCCCTCGTCGACGTCCAGCGCAGAGGCCGGTGGCAGTCGTGGCATTCGGTCCGCCGATACGAGAAAGGCGCTCGCCTGTCGCAGGTGCTGCAGATGGTGCCCGCTGCGATGCAGGACCACGCAGCGCGGTGCGCCGACTCGCTCGGCGCGATCGTGTCTGGCCGGCGCTGCCCATTTACGCCTCCCTGAAGACCCGCTTCTTCCTGGAGGTGTTCAGCGGGTCCGGGCGCCTGGGACGGGCGATCGCCGCTGAAGGGCTGCCCGTCCTGCTTTGGGACATTTGCCTGGGCCCCGAGTATGACCTGCTGAGCCCGCAGAAGCGTGGGCTGATTCGGTCCTGGGTTCGAAGCGGCCTCGTGATTGGCATCCACCTCGGGACGCCCTGCAACACGTGGAGCCGCGCGCGGGACATCCCGCCCGGACCGATGCCGCTGCGAAGTGACGCCTTCCCTCTTGGCCTGGCCGACTTGAGCGTCAAAGATCAGGCCAAAGTTGATGCAGGCAACGTTTTCATGATTTTCAGCGCTGGCCTCATGCACGAGGCCATCAGGGCCAACATCCCAGCTAGTAATGAGAATCCTCAGACGAGCCGACTTTGGCTCGCCCCTCCTTTCGTCCGCCTGCTGCGCTCGTCGGCCGTCACTTTCACTGTCACGCATTTCTGTCAGTGGGGAGCGCCGTGGCGAAAAGCCACGGCTTTCGCCACAGTCAACCTCGATATGAGTCGCATCGGTCGTGCGCTGTGCAAGTCTTCCAAGAGAGGAGTTTGTTCCCGCGCTGGCCTGCCGCACGCCCAGCTGCATGGACAAAAACGTGGAGCGCGTCTTTAAAACCAAGCTGGCCGAGGCTTACCCTCAGCGGTTGTGCAGCGCCCTCGCCCAAGCCTATAGTAATGCCGTAATATCTCACAGGACTCGTGTTTTTGAGCGGCTGGTCCTACCAGCCAGTTGACATCTTTGGATCGAGTTTCGGGAGTGCATGCAGTGTGTTTCGTCTCATCTGTTGCGTCTCCGGCTTGAGAGTGTGGCCGCCTCTGCAGAGCATCAGATTCGTCCCACACCACGCCTTGCTGGCCATGGAGAAAGAGCAAGGCCCAGAGATGCGTTGTACTTGTACGGAAATCTCGGCACGCGTTTCGGTGAAGGCCGCTCGTCCTGAGGTCCTCGTTTGCCTCTGGTCTCATCCGTCAACACGGTGGCTCAAAGCAACCAACCGTCCAGCCCCGACCACCGCCCTGTTTTTGTTTCTCATCCTCTCGGCTGCCTGAAGGGCCGCTTTCGATCAGGAGTGCATGCAGTGTGTTTCGTCTCATCTGTTGCGTCTCCGGCTTGAGAGTGTGGCCGCCTCTGCAGAGCATCAGATTCGTCCCACACCACGCCTTGCTGGCCATGGAGAAAGAGCAAGGCCCAGAGATATATATACACATCAAAATATATGTGATCACTACCCCGTCTGACCTGAGTCATCCAAATACCTGAGCCAAGCTGCGCTCCAAAAACACGCAAGATGATACATACGCGCAACGCAATGACACTATAATAAAACTAGTAGCAGTACTAGTAGTCGTCGCAGTAGTAGTAGTAGTAGTAGTAGTAGTAGTAGTAGTAGTAGTAGTAGTAGTAGTAGTAGCGGCAGCAGTAGTAGCAGTAGCAGTAGCAGTAGCAGTAGCAGCAGCAGCAGTAGTAGTAGTAGTAGTAGTAGTAGTAGTAGTCGTAGTAGTAGTAGTAGTAGTAGTACTAGTAGTAGTAGTAGTAGTAGTAGTAGTAGTAGACGAAGAAGTAGTAGGTATTAGTAGGTAGTAGTAGGTAGTAGTAGGTAGTAGTGGTAGTAGTAGTAGTAGTAATAGTAATAGTAGTAGTAGTAGTAGTAGTAGTAGTAGCAGTAGCAGTAGCAGTAGCAGTAGTAGCAGTAGCAGTAGCAGTAGTAGTAGGAGGAGTAGTAGTAGCAATAGTAGTAGTCGTAGTAGTAGTAGTAGTAGTAGTAGTAGTAGTAATAGTAGTAGTAGTAGTAGCAGTATTAGAAGTACGAGTACTAGTACTCGTAGTAGTACTAGTAGTAGTAGTAGTAGTAGTAGTAGTAGTGATAGTAGGAGTATAGTCGTAGTAGTAGTAGTAGTAGTAGTAGTAGTTAGTAGTAGTGGCAGTAGCAGTAACACAACATAATAACACTAATCATAATACTAGTAGTTACACTGATGACACTTAACACTAAGAAATGTCTGCGTGCGTATCTCTCTCTCTCTCTCTCTGTCTCTAGTTTTCCTCTCCCTCCCTCCCTCTCTCTCCCGTACGCTGTCTCGCTCGCTCTCCCACTCTTTTTACTATCTATCATGTGTCCCTCCTCCACAAATCCTCTACCGTTTTTATTACCCCTTTCGTGCTATAGCCGTTGCTGCCCCGAGATGCCGCGGGAACGACAGAACCCGCCCCCTTCGCCAGTAGAGTTTTCTGAAGATGATGAGGTTTCTGATGGGTCACAGCCAGGTGATGTTGAATATGAGCGGGAACAGGGGGGGCTCGCCTGGGAGGCGCAGCTGCTCGGTGTCTATGCGCGCGGAGTCATAGACGCTCTTACTCCGTGCACTTTGCGTCACCACGCCACTCTCGCAGGGGCCCACGGCGTCAGAATTTGCGCAAAGCGCCCCGGCTTAAGCACATTATAAGAAGCATTTGGATGCGGTTCTGCCTCCAAGCAGCGCCCCCCTGTGCAGTCTCAATATACATATGTGGAAATGGGGGGGGGGGGGGGGGCGACAACAGTGCGAGCTGTTAGTTGCACCTGTGCGCGAGTTGCTGTCGCACGAGTTAGAGGCGGACCCGATTTACACGACTGGCCCTGGATATTCGGACTGGAGCGCTTCGTTCGAGCGGCACCCGAAGCGACATGCGATAGAAGACCCGAGGCCCGTTGTTTCGATTGCGCTATACCTCGATGGGATTCGATATACTCGATCGACGCTCGCAGGCAAGCAAGACAGCGCAGTGGGCATCACGGTGTGCAATTTATTCAGTAAACAACGGCATTTGGTGAGTGCGCTGTCCAAGAAATCCCTGTGCAAATGTGGGTGCAGGGGGCGCTGCGCGATTTACTCTGTGCTGTTGTACATCAGGCGTCGCCTGTGCAGCGCCGCGGAGGGCAGGCGGCCGCGCGCACATTGCGACGGCACTCCCTGGCCAGACCCCGCAGACGGTTATGGGGAACTTGCCAATGAGAGCCCAAACCTTCCCACGAGGTTCATTCTCAGCCAAATCAAAGGGGGCTGGATGGAATTCACGACAACGTTTGGTTTCAGCAGCTGGGCATCTTTCCATAGACCGTGCATGTTTTGCCGCCGCGGGAAAAATATGCACGACTATAATGGCGTCACGCTGGACGGACATCTCTGGGGCAGGGCTGGCCACGCGTATGAAAAAGCCTGTGCACGATGCGAGATTAAGATTATCATCCGCACGGAGGATCACCGAACAGCAATTATTGTGGAAGGGGGGTTGCGGTTCTATGCGCACCAAAAGAGAGGTGGACGGGTTCTCTTTCACGACGTTCCTAGATTCGGTTCGACGAAGTTTGATCGTCTTGAGCCCAGCCCCAACTTACTAGATGTCGGCCGTCTAGAAGACGTTGTCATAGACCCAGCTCGACCGTTTCAGGTGACCTTCTGGAGGACGAATAGGGACAATAAAGGTCGGGCCACTGACCCGATCAGCAGGCGCAGTATTCTTTTTGGGAACGATCTCGGGATTATTCCTGAATCATCGTTGATGATCGACGTGTTGCACACACTATACTTGGGTGTCTATCAACGATACGTCTGCGCAGTGGTATGGGCCTGTTTATCCAGCAACGTGTTTGGCGTCTCTGCAGATGGCGATGCGGACCTCAAACTTGATATGGTGGTCGGGTGCCCCTGGGTGCATTTGCCAAATTTGTATCAGAAAACAAACGCGCCTGGAAACATGCAAATAAATAACCTCACGACGAAGATGGTGGGGTCAAAAAAAAAGCCAGAATTGAAAACAAAAGCTGGGGAGACGGGAATCCTGGTTGGATGGGCGCACTACTTAGCATCCGAGTTCGAAACAGATATCAAGCACGGGGGGCAGCTGGTCGAAGCAGGCCAAGCGCTACTAAATGTTATGGAGGTACTGAAATCAGAGGATATGGTCATTCCGAGGGACACGTGCAACTATCTTCCAGAACTCGCGCTCCGACATTGCACATTGATGGGCGAAGCTAGAATACCAGGGACTCCGAAGTGCCACCTGTTCGTGCACATCGCGTTGAGGGTTCTCATGTGCAACCCTTAACGTTACTCCCAGATCGGTTCGCGAGGTTCGCATCAGACTGGTGATCGGCTCAGCAATTCGCTTTCGATCGCGCAGGTCGGTTCGGATCAGTTCGCCAATTCGGTGATTCGGTGATCGGAAAGCTAAGGTGCGGCAACCCTCGTGCTGATTCTACGTTTTTGGATGAAAGCCTGAACCGCACCATTGCAGAAATTGCAGCACGATGCAATAACGGTAAGATGAGATGGGAGCGCGACATATTTCAAAGGCTTCATTTACTTGCGCAAGTGCTGCCCAATTCGGACTTCGCACCAGTGTAAGCACAATATTTTTTCTCGAGTCCCAAATGCCCATATCCTCTTTCATTCCGTCTCATCACCCTCCTCGTCCTCGCACCTCGTCCTCGCCGTTCTCTCTCATTATTCGTCCTCCCTCTCGTCCTCCCTTCCTCTCCTCCTTCTGGCATAGCAATTCTGGCACTAACGGGGCGTTTTTACAATCTGCAACTGCATTTCGCAGAGTGCTATGGCGTCACCTGGGCGGCTGTCCGAGCCCCAGAGCCCCAATGCACCAGAACATGAGGACCGCGGCTCGGACATGGCATGTAGTGTACCTCGCACGCGTGCACATGAATCGACGCGTGCGTGCATACATATGGGTCCTGCGTCCTACTCCTCCTCCTCCTCCTCCTCCTCCATCCTCCCCCCCTCCCACATCTACCCTTCCACATGTGCAGAGCGCGTCTTCCAGAAAGTCTGCCCCTCCAGGACTGGTTAGCGGTGGTTCGTGAGGAATGCCCTGGCATTGATTTTGACAGGTACTACTTGGTGTCCCCGTTTGCTTGCGTGGACGCGGTCCTGCTATCGATGAGGCACATGGGCCTAGATGTGGCTTCTGTGACATATGAGCAGAACCCCAAACTCAAAGAAGTGCTGAACACAACCCACGGCGAAGATGATACAAACCTCAAGGTGGGCCGCTTTGGAGATTTCAAAATGGCACGGCTGTCTGAGCTACCCACTGCAGATCTCGTGGTGAGCAATCCACCTAGCACCGAGTTCTCGCCGTTTTCTGATGAATTCACAACAGTGGTGATGTGCGTGAAAGAACAGGCTGACCGCGCCCGCAGTAGACTAGCAGCTTTTGTGATCGAGGCTGATGCATCTATGCTGCAACAGGCAGCGCCCCAGGATCCTTTGGACAAATGCCCCGCAGACGAAGTCATAGACTATCTGACGAAGGAGTCGGAGCCTTCGGGGTTTAAGTTTTTTTGTGGCACTTGAATGTAGGGACTTGCGGTCTCCCACAGCTTCGTTCTCGGATTTTTTTGCGGTCATAGGTCTCACATGTTTCTCGCTGCGGAGCCAGCCTTTCTCCCGCATGCAACTCGCAGCAAGAAGCGCGATATTCGAGATATAGTCGACGTCAGTGCCCCAGAAGTCCCAACATCGGCTTTGAATCCAGCGCAGCAGGCGATGTTGCATCAGCTCGTGAAGAATATCGAAGATTGGAGGGCCAGATACGAGATCCCTGACTGGGCGATCGCAGTGATGGATATGAGCGTGATCGATAAGCCCGCAACGATAGCGTACACGATGGAGGACGTCGTGCCGATGCTCACGAAAACAAATGTGGATCTCTGGCTGCAGAGTATTGGCGACTGTTCGGACACCCTTCCGAAGGTATCTAGGTTTTTGCTGCCCGCTGAGAGGCTGAAGTTGCAAGGCCTCCCCGAGGATATTGCGGACATGGTTCCAACAGATGTGGCAGTTGAAGCGCGTGCGAATTCAGCCGCAGTGCCGCGCATGGGACTGCCCATCGCAGCTCTGCTCAGCAATCCGAGGCCGCGAGACGAGATCGGAGCGTCTGCTCCTTCAAGTGGTTCGCGCCGTGGCAGCGTGGCCACGTGGGAGCATGCCAAATGAGTGCAACTCGGAGCTAGAATCAAACAAATCAACAACCAGCATCAGCATCAACAACCAGCAGCATCAGCATTAGCATCAGCATCAACAACCAGCAGCGTCAGCACTCGCGGGCACGGCAGCCAATTTAAGTTGCAACGTTAGCGTTTTAATGCAAAGCGCAGGGGTCCCTTACCCTCCTCCACCTCCCTCGCATATCCCCTCGCCCTCGCCTCCCATCCTTTTCCCGTTCCCTGCCCGACCTGGCCGAACACGGCGCCTGGGGCCGCCCTTTGCGAAGGCGAGGGCGGGTAGTTTCGACGCGCGATGGGAGTTCTCCCATCCTCGAAAAATAACTTATGCGCAGGCTTTCGCCAGAACCTCCTAAGACAACTGATGAGTAGGCTTTCGCCATTTCCGATTAAGCCTGACGGCTCCCACCAATTCGCGAGCACTCGTTTCGCTTAGAACGTCCTCGCGAAATAGGCGCTCGCACTGGCCCCCGCCAAGTCCCCGCGAGGTCCCCGCGAGGTCCCCGCAATCCCCGACAGGATCCCCCCAGCTCCCCGCCAGGTGCCCTCTCTCCCGCCCCTCCCCTTCCTCCGCCTCCTCCTGGGACTTCCAGAACATGTTGGTGCATTCCCCACGCGCTTCGCGGCCCCATAAGGAGATTCGCTGTGCTGGGGCTCCGTCTTGGGATCTTGGATATATGCGGTCTCACTGTTGCGGACTGGGTCCAGACTCGGCTTGCGTTTCACGCGCGGGCTGCCCTGGCGTCGGCCTCCACTATATGTCTACGCTTCGCGGAACACGGCCGTCTGAGGGGGGCGTCTTCGGGGGCCGTCTTGGGAGGACGTTTTGGGGCCGTCTTGGGGGGGGGGGTCGTTCCCTGGCCAAGGAAAGGTTTCGCCAGCCAGGAGAACAAAAGCACCGGGCGTCAGCCACCGAGCCACCTAAGAGTCTCCAGCGCTCTGGGGGGGGGGGGGGCACACTTTGAACGAGCAGCCGCCGATCAAAACCGCCAGTAACAAAAACAATGAAGCTCAGCTCACCTAGAATAGCAAACATGCATAAAACATCGTCAAATATGGCACGAGGTACGAACAAGACAGACGAGCAACAACAAACCAACATCATCATGACATAGAAGATAACGATAACGAGATAACGCGCGCGCGCCCTCCTCCTCCCCCTATGCACCTATCCTCCTCCTCTTCTGCTCGGTCAAGCAAGCCGCGTGGTTGCAAACAAAACAACATGCCCAACATGCGTTACCCCACGTGTGGGGCGGACACGCACGTGCCCGATGTATGATACGTCGTTGTTGGGTTTCTGGCTTTGGTGATTATTTCAAGTGCCACGTTGTTCGTAGTGCTTATTTTTCGCACCGTTTACCCTGAGGGTATAAGGCCCGATGGGGCGGACCCCAGGGCAGCTTTCAGTGTGCGTGCCCCGCATCTGGGGCGAGGCGCGCTGTCGTCCTGGCGTTCTTTGCACCTGGGGTGGCTGTCCTCGTCGTCCTTGTGTGGGTGGTCGTATTTTCTGTCTGTCTGTTTTCGAGTTTCGTTTCTTTGGCCCCTGGCCAATGTTAGGTCTCCTGGGAAGGAGGTCACCGTGGGCATGCCCCGCATCTGGGGCGAGGCTTGCTGTCGTCCTGGCGCCCTCTGCACCTGGGATGGCAGGTCTCGTCGTCCTTGTGTGGGCGGTCGTTTATTGTTTCCCGAGTGGTTGCATCGCCACCGCTCGTCTTGCCTAGGGTGTGGTGCACAGCGTGCGTTCGGCTTGTGCGCGCGCACGTTTCCGTTCTGCACGCGCGTCGGGCACCCCGCCTCAGGGGGAAGGCGCGTGACACACTCGCACTCGCTAATGTGTTGCGTGCTAGACGTGGGCCCGGCACGGGGGCTCGGCGTCCTGACCGTTGCATTGCTCAGCCTCTTTGTTGGTCATGGTCCTGGCGTTCGTTCGCTAGGTCGAGGGCGTACTCGTGCGCGTGCTGCGCGCAGGCTGCTCGCACGTGTGTCAGGCACCCCAGTTGTGGGGGAAGGCGCGATGCAGGCGTGATGGCTCCCTGCGTTTTCTTGAGGGAGGAGGTTGTCGCCCTGGCCCCTCCCCCTCTTTTTTCCCGTTCTGGGGGGGGGGCTCACCTGGGGCACGGCCAGAGGCCCTCGGGGGCCACTGGTGACAGCTGCGCAGGCAAAGCCAGTGGGAGATTGCCCACTCCCCCTTCCGCTCAGCGCGGAGGAGGCAGCCCCCCTGGGCGCAACGACGCCCAGGGTGTTTTTTTTTTACGCCAACGAGCGTCCTCTGAGGGTTTCGCCAGCCCTTTGTTGTATCGTGGCTGCTTTGTGGATGTTAAAAAATCATCGTCATTTCCTGGAGGGTGATTTGTCTTTCCTCGCGTTGCGTCCCACCCCCAGGCTGATGTATTTGATGCCCTTCTTGACCAGGGGATTTATTAATTTCCCCGGCAGGCCCCAGCCTCTAGCACACCACGGTCATACCTCAACCAGGGTTCGGATAGGGATCGACGCCGAGCTCGGATTTGTTTGGGACGTCGGGCACGCGCCGCAACGGTCTGGACGGCCAGCTTTTTCGATACATGCGAGGGGGAACATGATGGGGGGAACATAACAAAACAAACAGCGCAAACATGAGTCCGTAAAGTATTGCCTCTGCCAGGGTGATGCCGTCCGTAGCCAAAGGCTCAGGGTGGCTTAGAAGGGCACGCGCGCTTTACCTTCGAGCCATGGTGCCTAGCTGAGCCTTTCTTGCCTCTCGCGGGGGGAGGCGAGTGCACTGTGAGTGGAGATTCCGCGAATGGGTACACAGGAGCAGAAACGACAGATCCACCTTGGACGAATTAGAGACCAGTCACGCGACAACGGCCTTTCTCGGCCCCCTTCCATTTTCTTCATATTCGCCTTCATCGGCGTGGTGGAGGTCAGGTGCAACGCGACGATGCCCCTCCGTGTGGAATGGCCGCGCCCGGAGCACGGCACCGCGGCGCGGCGGGCACAGGTCTTCGATGCAGTTCGACCTTGGAAGACCGCATTGCAGTACCCCACAATCGAGTCTGTTGACGCGGCTGGTGCTTGGTTGTTCATGTGGTCAGCGCAGGCCGAGGCCCAAATCTTGCGTTTGGCGATTTACACCATCCTCGAGACGGCCATGCCGCCAGTGATGAAGCATGGGAGTCTTTCGCGCTCTCGCTCATTAGTGTTGGCGCAAGCGCTCATGGCCTTCGGTCTGGCCATGCTGCGCCGGGCTCGTGGACTTTTTCCAATGCCTAAGTGGGCGGCCGCCGTCTTGCGCTGCCTCCCCCCTGGTGGACTCGAGGCAGTTCAGCAGCCCGGGGGGCCATGGGAGCTCGAGATGCGGCAGCTTCTGGTTTCGGCCCACCGTGGCGGATCGGCAGCGCACGTTGCTTTCTCACACAGTGGCCGCTACATCGGGAAAGCCAACGTGCGCAGGGCACGGCAGACATTATCTGGAGTGACAGCTCGTTTCACGCAGCACATCCGGGCGATCTTCTTGCCGTGCATTGCTGAAGGACGGCTTGCACTGTACAAGTTGTTCAGGCGATCGCTGGGCAGTTCCGCAATGTTTCCTGTGTTTTGGTGTGGTGGTGCTTCCCAGGCCCTCGCATTAGAGGGGGCCTTGATTTCGAGCCTTCGGCCGCCTTGCAATCGGGCTGATTCAGAGGGGGCCAGAGAAGCGCAACGTTTCGGGGCGCCTTTGAAACCAGGACGGGCCCAGGCCCGTCGCAGGCCCCCGCCAAGATTCCGGCGTAAGCTACGTTACCATAGTGCGTGGCAGCATCCAGTGTTCTGCAGGGCAGCGTGGAAAAAGGTAGCGCCACAGGAAACCACTCTGGAGAAACGAGCGACACCATTCAATGACTTGCACGTGTTCCACCAACTTGAGGAGCTTATTCCTTCAGGGAAGTTGGGGCCCATATCTTTGTTCTCTGAGGACAAGCTGCTCTTTTTTCTTGCGTGTGCGGCGACAGGTAAGGCGGGGAGGGCCGCCCTGAAGTCTTCCTGGTCTTGGCAGCGCTGGGAGGTGGCACGTTTTTGCACGCTGCCGCCCAGTCTTTACCGCAGGCCGTGCAAGGGCGAGGGAGGTTGATAGCAGCCCGTGCAACCGTTTCTCGGTTGTTGCAGCAACATCAGCTTCCTCCATTGGTTGTCCCGCCGCTCAGCGTACCGTCTGGTTTCGAACAAAAAACGCGCGCGCAATCAGACAACTTGTCTTCCGTTCTGTATCGCTCGTCCGGAATTTCAATGCCAGACGGTGGATCATGTCCAGGATTCGTGTTGTTGTTGAAAGACAGAGGCGTTGGAATGACAATTTCTCTGCGAAACAAGATGTGCAAGGAGTATCTTTACCATGGGTCCAGGGGTTGGATCCCAGAGATGCGGGGCGCCTCATGCGTCTCAGATCCTTTCGTGGGCACCCAGGTCCTTGGAATCTACCGCGTTGGCCTGTGCCTCCGCAGATGTTCAGCCGGCTTCGGACGGCGTGGGCTGAATGGACCTCGAAGGTGCGGGTCCATCCGAGAGTCCGTCGGCGTGGTTTTTGCATCATGCGGGATATCCTAGACCGTAGTGATGTTCCACCTGCTCCACCAGCATGGGCCCGGCAGGAGGAGATCTGAGCCGCTGCCCTGGCCAGCGGAGAAGTCAGCATTCGAGATGACCGCATTTTGCAAAACATGTGGACTGCATCATGGGACGAGCTCACCGTGCACCTTCCGGGGGCGCTCGCCCGCAATCATAACACTTCGCGTTTTTGGCCAAGTCTCACCCCAGCCGATGTCCTGACGTGGTATCAGACCAGAGCGCAATTAGCCCTCCCCTCATTCCTCTGGGTTCTACGCCCAGGATTCCCAAAACCTTGCGCACCACCGCTTTTCCCGTTTGTGAAAACAAAGTGTTTCACGGATGAAGGTCGCTGACGATGCGGTCGGTGGACCCACTCGTGTCTTCGGCGCGTGCTAGACTTTTCGCTTATCCCGCACGCTAGGGGATGGGCGATTATCTCTCGAGGCATTCGTGCAGTCGTGGAGCATGCGTGCCACTCACGAAGTTTTCCGTTTGGACTGTGCAGCATCACGCGTTGGGGAGATGGTATCATGCTTGCAAGGTCATGTGTGCGTCTGTGCCCGGCGCGGACAACCAAAACCACCAGTAGTGGTCTTGACTATGGACATTGACCAGGCTTTCGAAAGCTGCCGGTCGTCGCGGGTGACCGCCGCCTGGGGCAGGACGTGCAGGAGGTTCGCAGCACTCCACGGAGTAACCGGCATTCACGTGGCCACCGGAAAAAGATACCACGCGCGCGTTCCTCGAGGCGGGTGGTCAAAAGGCTGGTGGTGTTTTGACTTCGCAACTGTCGCTCGCGCTCTCTTCACGGGCACGTTGTGCACACTCGTGTGTATAGGGTCCATCGTCGTGGAGCTCTTCGGCCTCTCGATCGGCGGCAACATGAGTGGAGCTGCTGTGTCGTTGGTTCTTGCATACGAAGAGGCCGAGTTCATAGAGAACGAAGCCAGGCGAGCTCGCCTCGGATTCGAAGGTCCCGAGATTGCCACGCGGATGCGATGGAAGAGATACGTAGATGACATATGAAGCATGTCGTTTTTTTTCCTGCGGAGGGTGCTTGACCTTTTTCTTCGCAGAAATGTTTGAGGAGCCTGTTTCGGTCGTTTTCTGCAGCGATTCTCCAGGGGCGCCCTCTGGGTTCACTTGACTGAACTTCGACATGCGGCTTCTTCCAGGTGCGCTCGGCTGCATTACTGTAAATCCGAACCGCGCCTGGCTTCAAGGGCTGGGGCCAAGGCAGAAGTCGTGCATCTTACCATGGATGGGCTCTCTTCCAACACCGTTCCGATACTTGAAAAGCGGCATCCTCGGAAAATTGGCGATGGGGAAGTCTGCGAGGCTGTCCATCGGCCTCATGCATGTCGTGATTTCGGAACATTTGCTGGAGATGATGAAACTGTGGTGCCCGACCCGCGTAGTGCGAGCTCTTCTCCTCTCGTATCCATGCGCCCCTGCCGCGCGCTTGGCTCGAACAGTTTGTCGAGAAATCTTTCGCCAGAACTGTTTTCGAGGGGGCAGAAGACCCATGGGGCGAGGTGGCGGCCAGTCGCACGGGAACGAGTGGGACTCCCGCTCGAGCGGCCACAAGCCCAACAGCTGGGGCTACGACGTCCGAGGCTCCCGACGGAAGCATGGCGAGTTCAGGCAGTGCGGCGATCGCGGGGGTGGCCACCGCGGACGAGACGACCGCCAATCTCGCCGCCGTCGTCGCCCAGAGACGGATTCCAGCAGCTCCGAGGACGAGAAAGTGGCTAGGTGCGAGAAGTACCTCATGAAGCACTCGGCCAAGTTCCGGAGCTACATCCAAGACAAGGAGGAAGAGCAGCGGGCCAAGGAATATCAGAAACATGGAGAAATTCTCGCAAAGGCTATCGGATCTCAGCTCGAGGAGGCGATCGCAGCCGCGGCCCGGCCTTTCGGGGAGAAGGCGAGCGGCAGGTCGCCGCGGGGGCCGGCTCCTTGGGCAGCTCCCCAGGAGAGCCATGCGCCAGGGTTTATCTCGGCCCCTCTGGGGGCGCCCGCAGCAGCCGGGGCTGCAGGCATCACAACAGTTAAGAAGGTGCTCTTCTTTGCCATCTTTGAGAAGAAGCTGGTGCTGACAGAGTGGACGCTCGAGGAGTTCAAGACGAAGGGCTTGGCGCTGTGGGCCGATCGGGCGGGCTTCGACAGGACGGTTCCCAAGGCCGTCGACTCCTTCTTCGCAGACCATGCTCCTGACGAGGCCGTGCCGGACCGCAAGGAGGCCCGCCTCGTGAAGTTTTGGGAGGCGTTCATGGACCTCAAGTGACAGAATGCGGGCGGGGCGCGTCGCAGCAGCATCCCAGAGCCGGAGGGGCGCTCGGAGTCACCAGCGTACGCACTGCCGGCTCAAGATTTCTTCGGCAACGTGCAGGTTCATTTGCCGCTTTCTTGGCTTGTGACACTCATAACTTGCTGTATCTATGGGGGATACCAGGTAAGTGTGATAACTGAGTCTACTTCGAGAAGGTGGTGGGCGGCACCACGGGATTCCCTTGCCACAGTCATTACGCAGCAGATGGGATTGCCGAAGGAGCATGTTGACCAAATGACTGGCTTGGCTGTGGATCCCTGTTTCCAGCCAGATTTGTCATCATTCTAGACGTGGACGGGTCTACTGCCTATCGTAGCCCCTCTGGTAATGGGGTACCGCAGGAGGCGGGCAGTTCAAGCATAAAACACGAACTCATGACTCTTCTTAGTTTTGGGACAGCTTCTGAGCTGGGTCAGATGGCGCGTCACGTCTTCCATGACAGGCTGTACGAATGAAGAGAGAGCAGGTGCTGGAGCCTACGCTGGCCTCGCTGTCTCTGAGCCCGTTGATTTAGTCATTTCCTGGAGGGTGACTTGTCTTTCCTCGTGGTGCGTCCCACCCCCAGGTTGATGTATTTGATGCCCTTTTTGACCAGAGGATTCATTAATTTCCCCGGCAAGCCCCAGCCTCCAGCAGCCCACGGTCATACCTCTGCCAGGGTTCGGATAGGGATCGACGCCGAGCTCGGATTTTTTGGGGACGTCGGGCACACGCCAGAACGGTCTGGACGGCCAATTTTTTCGAGACATGTGAGGGGGAACATCATGGGGGGAACATAACAAACAAAACAAACAGCGCAAACATGAGTCCGTAAAGTATTGCCTCTGCCAGGGTGCTGCCGTCCGTAGCCAAAGGCCCAGGGTGGCTTAGAAGGGCACGCACGCTTTACCTTCGAGTCATGGTGCCTAGCTGAGCCTTTCTTGCCTCTCGCGGGGGGAGGCGAGTGCACTGTGAGTGGAGATTCCGAGAACGGGTACACAGGAGCAGAAACGACGGATCCCCCCTTCTTCCTCATCCTCCTCCCCCTCATCCCCTTCTTCCTCCTCCGCCCTCTCCTCCTCCTCGTCCTTCTCCTCCTCCTCCTCCTCCCGCTTCTCCTACTCCTCCTCTTTCTCCCCCTTGTTGAGAGCGATGTAGAACGCAGCACTTTGTTAGCGCCGTTTGTTGCGATACCGAAGGTTGTCGCTCGAGTTCCCCAGCCGCTCGTGCAGGACGCACGTCCTCACAAGCGCCTGGCCCGTTCCGCATTCTTCGGTGGTCGGTTGCCCTCGCAGCCCGTCCCTTCTCCATGTGTGGAGGCCAGTCTCTGTGACCGCGTTCGGTTGTCGAGGTATCCAGCCGTCGTGATCGACGAACCGGCGCGCCGCAGCGTACTGGTCCGTTTTCTCCTCCTCCTTCTCCTAATCCTTCTCTTTCTCGTTATCCTCCTTCTACGTGTTCTTTCTATTCTTCTCCACGTCGTCGCCGTCGTCGCCGTCTTTGTCGTGGTCGCCATCGTCGTAGTCGTCGCCGCCGTCGCCATCGCTGTCGCCGTGGCCGGCGTCGCAGTCGTCGTCGTCGTTGTCGTCGTCGTCGTCGTCGTCGTCGTCCCCCCTACCCCCCGCTGCTCCACTTCCGCCCTCTCCACCTCTTCCTCCGCCTCCTGCTGCATCCCTGCTTCTTCTAAGTAACTCCTCCCTGTCGCACCCCGAGACGTGTCAGTAGGGCAGGCCGGGCGTTTCGCTTCAGACTTCCTCACAATGTATGGTCCGAAGCGTCAATATAGCAACAGCTCCACGGATGAAGGGCGGGCGGTTTTGAACATGTGGCTGTCGCTGTAGCGCCGCGCGCATTCGCCCCAAAAGTTTGCAAGAGCATCATGAGCGGAGGGCGGGCCGTTTTCAAAGTGTGACTTTCGCTTTAGCGCTGCGCACATTTGGTTTAAAGGGTTGCAAAAGGGTCATGGATGGAGGATGGGTGGTTTTCAACATGTTGGTCTCGCCTTAGCGCCGCGCACATTCGTCTTAAGGGTTTACAGCGCATCTTATGGTTGACGTCCGATAAATGGCGCTTGGGCCCGATGTAGAACGGTCAAGGCGCAACCGTCGCGTGGATTCGTGGTGTTGAAGTCCCAGGACTAGTGTTCTGGCAGGAGTCAGGATCGTCAGCCAGGAACAGACGGTTGTCTTCTAACGGCGCACTTCCCACCAAGTGAAAATAAATCGTTGTCGGGACTTATGAAGAGGGAGCTTGGAGGGACGGATTTTGCAACATCTTCGGTGGGCCTATGGTTTACACTGGTCATCTTCCTCCTCCTCCTCCTCCTCCTCCTCATTCTGATCTTTCCAGTTATCCTCCTTCCACTGCTTCTTATCATTGTCGTCCTCCTCCTCCGCTTCCTCCTCCTCCTGCTCATCCTTCTCTTCCTCCTTCTCCTCCTCCGAATCCTTCTCTTTTCCGTTACCCTCTGTTTACGTGTTCGTCTCGTTTTCGTCGTTGTCGTCGTCGTCCTCTTCCTCTTCCTCCTCCGTCATATTGTCCTCATCTTGGTCCTCATCCTGCTCATCCTCCTGCTCGTCCTCCCCCATCCGCACCATCACCACCATCATCAGCAGCATCATCAGCATCATCATCACCATCACCATCACCACCACGATCATCATCATCATCATCAGCATCATCACCATCATCATCATCGTCGTCATCCTCATCATCATCATCATCATCATCATCATCATCACCACCACCACAACCCCTCTATGTATTGTGTTCCTCCTTCTAGTTTGTCTTCTCGTCGTCGTCCTGCTCCTCCCCCTCCTCTCTTTCCTCCTTCTCCTCCCCCTCCTCCTCCTCAGCCTTCTTCTCCTCCTGCTCTTCATCTTCCTTCACATCCTCCTAATCCTAATCCTCATTCACCTTCTTCTTCTCCTGCTCCTCCTCCTCCCCATCCTTCTCTTGACGTCCTGAGGGGAGTAGGGGGCCTTTTTTGTCACTTCCCCTTCAGGTGTCTGGGGTGTGTGAGGGCGGTATGGCACACGAGCAGGTAGGGACACGAGGCTGTGTCCCTGTCCTGCTCTGATCTCCAAGGCTGCATAGGCCTGTAGGGAGGTTCGACGTTTTGGGTAGGTGGGTTCGTTGGCCTTGTAGAACTACCGACAATTCGGCGGAACTCCAGCCGACGTTTAGCACATATTCACCAGTTCGAGATCGGCTCGTAACAGTCGTCGTCGTCGTCGTTGTTGTAATCCTCCTCATCCTGCTGCCCCTTCGCCTCCGCCTCTGCCCTCTGCTCGTCCTCTCCCTGCTGGTCCTCCCCCCCTCAGCCCTTTCCTCATCCTCCTCCTCCTCCTCCTCCTCATCCTCATCAGCATCAGCATCAGCATCATCATCATCATCATCATCATCATCATCATCATCATCATCAACAACATCATCATCATCATCGTCATCGTCATCAACATCGTCATCATCATCAGCAGCATCATCATCATCATCATCATCATCATCCGCCTCTTCTTCCTCCTCCTTATCCTCCTCCTCCTCCACCTCCTCTTCCTCCTCCTCCTCCTCCTTCTCCTTCTCTTCCTTCCCTTCCTCCTCCTCCTCCTGCTCGTCCTCTTCACCCCCCTCCTCCTAATGATCTGGTTATGTGTCGTTATCCTCATTATACGTGTTCTTCTCGTCGTCGTCGTTCTCCTCCGCATCTTCATTCCATCCTTCATCCCGCCTCCCCCGTCCCCGCCCTCGCCCTCCCTCCTTCCTGCTCCTCCTCCTCCTCCTGCCTCCTCCTCCTCCTCCTCCATCCTCTCCCCCATCCTGCTCCTCCCCCTCCTCCTTCTCCTCCGCCCCTATCTTCCTCCGCCGAATCCTTGATCCGCCCTGTTCTTTCTCCTCCTCCGCCGCCCCTCGTCTCCTCTCCTCTCCCTCCTACATCTATCCGCCTCCCCTCTCTCCTCCTCCTCCTTCCTCCTCTCCTCCTCTTCTCCTCCTCCTCATCCTCCTTCTCATCCTGCTCTCTTCGCGCTCTCTCTCTCTCTCTCTCTCTCTCTCGGCATCTTCATTATACGTGTTCTTCTCGTCGTCGTCATTCTCCTCTTCCCCCTCCTCCTCCTCCGCATCCTTATCCTCATCCTCATTATCTCCCCCTCATCCCCTCCTCCTCCTCCTCCCTCTCTCCCTCCTCGTCCTCGTCGTCCTCCTCCTCCTCCTCCTCCTCCTCCTCATCATCATCTTATCATCATCATCATCATCATCATCATGCTCTCTCTCTCGCTCTCTTTTTTTTTTTTTCTCTCTCTCTCTCTCTCTCTCTCCCGCATCCGTAAGGGCTTCGCCCCATGCCGCCGTCCCCCTGTTTCGGATAACGGGAGATGCAAAGGCTAAATCATGAGGTCTGGGCGCCGCCGCGAAGCAGTGTCGGGACCTGTTTGTTTTTCGACCCTGACCCCGCCGATCTGCGTGAGGGGTGCACCGAATCTCAGGAATGTGGCAAATCTCATGTGTTTTTGGAGCCTGACCCCGCCGATCTGCGTGAGGCGTGCTACCAGATTTCAGAAATGTAGCAAATCCTATGTGTTTTCGGACCCTGACCCCGCCGAACTGCGTGAGGGGTGCCACCGAATTTCAGAAATGTTGCAAATCCGTTGTGTTTTCGGACCTTGACCCCGCCGATATGCGTGAGGGGTGCCGCCGAATTTCAGAAATGTGGCGCATCCCGTATGTTTTTGGACATTGACCCCCTCCGATCTGCGTGAGGGGTGCCACTGAAGTTCAAACATGTGGCAAATCCGTTGTGTTTTTGGACCCTGACCCTGCGGATCTGCGTGAGGGGTGTCAATTTTTACCCACCAGAAGTTCTGAGAACCCTCCCAGGGCGTGGTAGTTCTGCTGGTTTGGGCTCCCCCCCACTCGCGCGTTCATCAACAAGGAACAGTAAGCAGCAAAAAGCAGAACTGTAACAGTGAAAACTGGGAGCTGCAACTGGTACAGGGAGCAGCACATTCCCGGCCTACAGCCTGGTGGCCCCGCAAGGGGGCTGGCGGATCTTCCTTTTACTTAGAGGGCGAAGCCGAACATTTATGAGAAAGAGGGAGCTTCAGGACGTGTGGCAGCGGCCGTTAAGCGTTGGCACACAGACGAGTTGACCCATCAACAGCATCATTCCCTCCCCTATCCCTCCTCAAGCACCTGCCCTCCTCCACCATAGCATCCGCGACGTGAGCCTTAACCTTCTTGTGCTCAGGGGGGGGGGCCCCAACTATCCAGCTGGCGCCACACCTGCCTCCAACGACACGCCCAAACCGAAGACGACGTCGGGGTCTCGTGGGGGCCTCCGGAATTACACCCTAGGCGATGCTTAAGAAAACCTAAGTTTTCGTCCAGAGTCTCGATTATTCTTAAGTTTTCAATGTAAATCCCACGATGATGATAGAAATGTTGGGTTTTTATTCAAGTTCTGAGACTATGAATTTCTTATCCCATGATTTCTTAAGCATTTCGCAGGGTGTACAGTTTTTTCAAGCAACGTCTGAACCAGTGCGCAGCACAATGGGAGGACTCGCAAACCTGTGCGCCGCGAGCGCAGCGTACGACTCGTCCCCGTCGATGTCCTGATGCGGAGCGTCCACAGGGCAACCTGTTCAAATGGTGGCAGCGGGTCCGACAAGCCGTACAACAACGAGAGGGAGGCGACGAACATGTCAGTGCATCAAAGGGTTGGTCGGACATGGACAAGGAATATATTTCAGAGTCTGGCCAACCTTCGCGAGATCAGCCTTGGCAGTGAACTGGCGGATGCGCATGCGCAGCGAGGAGCCCAGGAGACGGTGTATTGCATAAGGCAAGAAGCTGGGCAACTGGCAGAGAAAGAGACCCTGCGCACCAGTTGCTGCGATCATCCGCGAGATGTGCCAGGATGTCGAACACCAAGCTGGATAATCCAATCCTGACCCCGAAGTACACGGCCAGCGAAAGAAGGAAACAATGTGAAAGAGGCGTCAGGAAGCACAATGAAGCGAACCAATAACAAATTGGTGCGCAACGAGCGCCAGGAGTCACTTCGCAAGTACAGCTTCTTGGATTGGCTCAAAGATGCTGCCTATGTTGGAAAGCATTGCGCTACACATCGTGCAGACCATGGGGTTGCAGTCCCCTTACATAACAACGATATGTTCGAGGTTAATGGGGTGGTGATACATCCGAGCCACCACGTCGCAGGGGCTCATGGTCAACTCTGGTCTGGAGCTGTGCGTTGGTGGCATCACACTTTGAAGATGCACGTGGCCGACAGACGTTGCTAGCAAAACATTGCCGCGAGAAGGTCACCGAGGCCAGTGTGGCGACGGGGCTCCAAAGGCTCCGCAACGGATTGCCGCCGAAAGCAATGCAACATCGGCAAGACGGAGCGAGGCCGTCGAACGGCGGCAAGATGCAGCGCGCTGCTCAAGGACGTGAGCCAACTGATGGGCGTCTCTGCGGCTGAGACTACGCCAGCCTACCCAGATCCCGGTATGATCAGGTGCCTGCTCCTCGGGCCCCCGCGGTTCACAGGTGCGGCGGCGTGGGCCGGTTCCATGGAGTTGCTGCGCGACCTGCCGCGAGCGCGTGGCCGCCCTGGAGCGTTCAGTTGAGGGGGGGGGCTCCGACCCCCGTCGCGGCGCGACGACGAGGGGAGGTTGGCCCCCGTCGGGAGGGTACCCCCCCACGCCCATTAAGAAACATGAAGAAACACAGAGTCAGGTTGTCTTGCCTTCCTGACTTAGGTCCCCTCCCACAGGGTCGGGGGTCATTTCCTTGCACGTCGCGTCGGCCGACTGCGCGCAGTGCGTCGCCACCTACTTGCCAGGCCATCCGAGAACCCAGGCCCGAAGCCCTGCTCCTCGGGGGGGCCCGCAAATCACGCGCGCGCGGCGACGTGGGCCACTCCATGGGGCTGCGCTCCCGAGAGCCCGCCGCGCGATCGCGCGGCGGGTTGCTCCCACTAGCTCGCGATGTTCGCCTTCGTGAGCCTGGGCCGCTTCCAGGCTTGAGGTTGCTGCCGCTGCCGCCGCCTTGCCTCTTTTCCTCCTGAGTGCATCTATGCAGTCAGCTGGTAATATTCCGCGTAGCGCGTCGTGCTCCCCCTACTTGTCGGTGCGATGGTTCCCCTGGGCTTGAGATAAGCCTGATGGGGCCTGTCCAAGCCCTCTTGTTTTTCTCTTGGCTTAACCCAGCTTCGCCTGGCAGCCGTGCAAAAACGCACAGGTTTTCCGAGTGTCCGTTCGGCGTGCATTTTGAGAGCGCTTACGTTCTAAGTTTTGTCGAAGGCCAGAGCTGGCCTTCCCCGCCACGGATTTGTGGGAAACGAGAGACACGCCGCGCCTCTATGCCGCGTTATTAATATTATTACCCCTCTGCCCTCTCATCCTTCTCCTCCTCCTCCTCTTCCTTTTCCTCCTCCGAGCACTCCTCATCGATCTCTGAATCGGTGTATTCCTTCTATATGTTCTTCCCGTCGTCGTCCTCCTCTTCCTCCTCCTCCCCCCCTCCCCCTCTTCCTCCTCCTCCTCTTCCTCCTCCTTCGCCCTCTCCTCCCCATCCTTCTCCCCATCCGCCTCCTCCCTGTAGTCGTGCCAGCTCGAGGGACTTCTCGCGGCCGCGCGCCGCCCGGGCTCGGCAGGACTAGGAATGGGCCCTTCCATTCGTTCCAGTTCGCGCCCAGCGATGACGGAGTCTCGCGTCGCCGCCCCTGCGCAGCGATGTCCTTCGTCTTGCCAGCGAGCGCCCTGGACAGGCCTATCAGGGCCTCAGCTCTCCGGCGAGGGCGGCGCTCGAGAACAAGTCGGGCGCTGAGCTCAAGAAGCTCACCGCAATGCTCGAGAACAAGTCGAGCTTAGCGCCCGACTCGCAAGTCGGGCGCTAAGCTCAAGTCGGGTGCTCGAGAACAAGTCGGGCCCACAGCCACATGCGATCGTACTCGCCGTATCAACGCCGCGCGTTCGTCGCAGTTCATGGGCCAGGCATCGGCAGCAACGGACAGCATCTCGAGGCCGCCGCCGCCCCAGGAGCTCACGAAGCTCGGTGACACCGAGGAGGGCGACATGCACGTGGAGGTCGCGTTCTCTGAGAGCTCCTCGGGCACTATCTGCACCAGCTGGAGGACCGGATGAACGACCGCAAGACCATCCTCATGGACATGCGAGTTGACGTCTTAGGTGTCAAGACGATGCGCGCCACCTCCATGGACGTCCAAGGCTACCCGCATGAGGAGGCCTATGTCGCGTGCGCCAGCAAGTCCATCCAGGTCGACAGCCAGACGCACGAGAAATGATACAGTCCCAGCGCCAAGATCGGCAGCAATGCGTTGTCCGACGATCTGTTGGACCCAGACGAAACCTTCAAGACGATCGTCTTCGAACCAGTCGATGACGGCATTGCCAGCCAAATGGAGGCGGCCGAGGATCACGCCCAGAGCCCCTCGGCGCGCACGCGGGGGCGGCCAAGTTCGTCGCCGACGCCATCAGGTCAGTAGAGTCCCACGGAGTCATGGGTCGAGTCGGACGCGGTGCAAGCATGGATTTGCCGAACAAACAGGGTTACCCTACATGTTATTAAAACGCTTTTTTATACTACTAGTTCCCCCCCTCGTGCCGTCCTCCCTCGTCCTCCCTCGCCCTCGTCCTTCGTCCTCCCTCGGCTCTGCTGTCCTCGAGAGTTCGGCTCCAAGCTCTTGAGGTCCCAGGGGCCTTTCTGCGGAGCCGTTCCTTTTTGACAGATTGCACCTGTCGGGCGTCGCCCGACGGCCTGGCCATCCCGCGCGGGGGGCCGCGATTTTGCCACCGCGAGAGCTTGGCGGCACCTCGGGGCCTGCGCGGTCGGCTGGATGGCGCCCGACCTTGCCGACGAGGGCCGCCCGCTCATCTGAGGAGCGGAGGCCGACGAGCATTCCGCGCCGCGCGGGGGTGACTGCGAGGACGCGGTGGAGATCATCATCCCAGGGGCCAAGGCGGCGGTCGCCATGGCTCCGTGGGCGCGGCGGGGCAGGATCTACCTGAGGACGGGCAGCAGCTCTGGCAGCGTGATGCTGCTCATCAGCAAAGCGGGGAGGTCGAACAGCGCGGTCTGGGCATGCGCCGACCCGACGCTGCGCGTCCAGATCGCGAACGTCCGCGACAAAGACCGAGTCTTCACGCACGAAGCCCAGGGCGGGGATCCCATGGACGGAGCACCCTGGGCTGAATGCGGCCTCGAGGGGCCTCGCGCTGGCGGCCTCGGAGAAGCTCGTCGCGAGGCGCGAGCTCGAGTCCGAGGGGGCGCCCACAAGGCCCCTCCTAAGGGGAAGCCGCCGCCGAAGGGCAAAATGGCAGGCAAGAAGGATCACCTCGTGTCGTGGGCCATCGGCGGCATCTTCAACACGGTGAGTTTCATGTTGCTGCGCCGCTCTGGTGGGCTCTGCGCGGCGGGCGTGTTCTTGGGCCGGCGCGCCTGGCGCGTGCTCGGATTGGGCCCCGCGCTCAAGTCGGCCCACGACGCGGTCCTCTTCGCGGGCGAGGCGGCCCAAGAAGCTGAGCACTACTACGAGATGGCCGAGGAGATGTGGGAGAGTGGGAGCTCGAGACGCTCGTCGCTGCGCGCTGGCGGGACTAGGGTCACCGAGTGCGCTGGGTTCATTGGATGTGCCCCCCGACGTTCTAGGCGCGAAGGAGCTCTTCTCGCTCGCGGGGGACATTCCAGATTGGTTTTACAGGCTGAGGTGGAACAAGAAGTTAGCGGAGTACTGCGTGCTGGAGGATCTTTCCCCAATAGAGCTGTGGAAGTATTCTTGCGAAATGGGGAGGCAGATCGAGGAGCCCTCGCCGACGAGCGTGGGTGTTGGAGCCATCGCTCCCGTGATGGGTCATTCCTGGGCTGTGTTCTTGGCCCACCCCTGCCTCACCGAGAGCTTCAGAAACGTGCAGGGCTACGAGATGGAGGAGCTGGCGCACGGTCGGCCGAAACCGTCCTTCGAGAGAGCTTCTCTGATCCTCATGCCCTACTTCGACGACTACATCGGCTGCAGGATCTTGGAGTCGGGGGACGGCGACATTCAGATAGACAAGGACATCGTGAAGGTCTCGCTGGAGGCGAAGGGGCTGCAGGTGCACAAGGAGGACTGGGGACATGGGAGGACGAAGGGACTGGGTTTGACCATCCGTGGCCGCCCGGACACCGCCATGATGCAGCCCGAGAAGATGAAGGAGTTAGTTCTGGCGACGGAGGCCATCGTGATAGCTGGGAGCACCGCGCCATCACGTCTGTCTTATTCGTTCGGGATGTGGACTTGATCTCTTATTATATCTCGATCTGGCTTCGCAATCCTCAACTCGATCTACCAATGGGCCCAGAGCCACCTGACCGACGAGCGAGGGGAAAATTTGACGATGCCCCAGGGCGTCGCGTCGGAGCTGATGGCCCCCTCGAGCCTTTCGGTCTACTTTACCTCCAATCTCGAGGCCGACTGGAACCCCAAGGCCTTCATGACGGACGCGTCCGAGGAGGGCTACGGCATCGCGCAGACGGAGGCTACCTCCGGCCGCGTGTCGTCGGGAGGTGGGCAAGGGGGACCACCGGGTCTGGGCAGTGAGGACCGAGGAGGCTTTTGGGGAGATCGCGGGGGAGGTCGAGATGGCGGGTCAGGAGGACGACGAGGTAGTCCGACCGCCCGCGGGGATACCAGGCTTCCTCGAGCTCTACTCAGGCATCGAGACGCTCACGGACGACGCGAGGGCGTTGAAGGGCATTTGGCGCGACGCCTCTGATATTTTGCGTGGCCCCAACTACGAGCAGATGGCCCCGACTGAGCTCGAGCGGCTCTTCGGGCGCATCAGGGGGCGCTGGTGGTGGACAGCCCGCCTACATCCCAACAAGAACGTCATCGCGCACCACGCGGCGCTGGAGGTGGCGAAGCTGATGCACAAGGAAGGGCTCCTCTGCACAGCGCTCATACGGCACACAAGGTTTATCGACGAGATCTGGTCCGACTTTTTGGAGCTGGACGGGGTATACGGCTACACCTGTAGCAACTCACACTGGGAAGGGGCTGCTAGCGACGGACGACGAGCGGTTCTCGAGGGTCAGCAGTGTGAAAAGAGCTTGGGACCTCTTCACACACAGTGGAGACGGAGTTCAGCTACGGAACTGTTTGGCGGCAAGTGCATTGCGAGGTAGCGACGGAGATCTCGCCCGACTGGTGCAGGGTCACCGCGGGGGCACGGGGAAGGATCGAGCGGGGCCAGCTGAAGACCGTGCGCGCGAGGGGGCAGGCGCTGCCCGCCTGTGCTTCGCGGACGACGGTTTCGAGATGGGCCTTGCTCTTCCGAGGGAAGTGGGCCAAGTAGGAGCACGACAACATCCTCGAGCTGCGCGCGATCGTTACAATGCTTCGCCACCTTTCCCGAACACGGCCTTGCTGGGGCAAGGGGGCGTTGGTGTTCTCGGACTCTTTGGTATCCGTGGGAGCGTTGGCGAAGGGGCGTTCATCGGCGGCTGGCTTACTGCGTCTGGCGAGGCAGGCCGCGGCGGCGGTACTCGTCTGCGGCATCAAGCTGCACCTGAGGTGGGTCGCCTCGGAGGACACCGTGGCCGATGGACCGAGTCGGGGACTGGGCGTCGGAGCAGCGGAGGCGACGAAGGAGGAGCACAAATGGCGGTGCACCCCGAAGGCGCTGAGGGCGACGCTCGGGAGGATCTGATCGGGACGTGCATTGCAGGGTCCTGCGATGATGGCGGTGACGCCTCTCGGGTGAAGCCTGACGCGTTGGACGGGCCCGAGGAGTGGGTCTTCGTGCATCGCTCCCACGCGGCGGCGAGGTCACGGCCTTCTTGGGCCTTCCTGCTTCTCTTCGGTTTAGTGCACTCCGTCGGGGCAGTCCGTCCATCATCGAGGCCACCGCCGCTGAAGACGTAGAGGCGCGCTGGCCTGGACGAACGCACCCAGCGACAAGCTGGAGTTCAACAACAGATTGACGATCCACGCGGTCGACGACAAGACCAACCTCGCGCGCGAGAAGGCCGCCAGGGAGTTCCTCATCGATGCCAAGCGCCCGGGTGCCCCCTTCGAGGCGGTGCACCAGCGCGACAAGGGTTTTGGCAGCATACCTAGTGGATCAGTGTTACGTACGCGGACTTGAATACGGGAGCGGCAGTGTGACATTCAATGGTGTTATGCACATCTTTGCGGATCATCGCAATTTCTTGCCGCTCTCCGCGAGGGCTCTGAAGGCGCGGGGGCGGCAGCAGCAGGTGCAGGAGGGGCAGCCCATCCCGCTCCAGGGGGTTGCCCTGGCCGTGGCGGACTTGCGCAAGCACGGGTTACCCCTCGAGGCCTGCGCCGTCGTCGTCCAGCTCGACGGGCGGCTGAGGGAGCAGGGCTGGGCAGGTCTCAGGGGGCGCGACGTGGGCGTCGACAAGTCTGGCCGCATGGCGCCTCTCCTGGGAGACCGTTCCAGGGGCGAGAAGGTCAAGACGGGCTCGGGCCAGGGCGTCGAGCTGACGACAGAGCTCGCGAAGGGGATCATGAAGTGCCTGATCGACGGCCTGGGCCCCGACGACCTCGCGTTCCCCGTCGCGCCAGACAAGTACAGGAAGGAGTGGAACGCCAGCCTCAGCAGGCTGGAGTTGGAGGAGTTCGGCCCCCCGCACGGCCTCCGTCACGCGGGGGCCGCGCACTTCGTGGCAAACGGAGGGGACCTGGAGGTTGCGAGGAGGAAGGGCCGCTGGAGCACGTCCAGCGCGCTCCAGCGCTACACCAAGACGCGCGTCCTGATCCAGAGGCGTGCTATCATGACCCACAGAGACATTCGTGAGGGTGAGCAGTTCTGGCAGGCTCCAGGCATGGCCATGGCCGCCGCGCTGGAGAAGTCCAAGGTGGCGCGGAGGCCACTTGCTGCTCGCCTTGCCCGCGCCCTGCGGGCCTTGAAGGGCGACTCCCTGCCGCTCGGCTGCGCCGCTGCCGAGCCAAGGCCCGAAGTGGCCGGGCCCAGGACGGGCATCAAAGCTATACTTACAAGGCGCAGTTCGTAGCTCCCCATTACTTCGAATGAGAATGAATGAGTGTTGGTTTTGGGGGATCCCAAATACTGTGCCTAAGCTGGGGGGGTCATGATCAGATGCCCTGCTCTTTCGCCCCTCCCTCCCGCCCACCCTTTGTGCTACGTACTGCGATGTGCAATATTTAGGGCCTTCGGCCAGGAAGGGCTGGTTGGCCTGTGTGGGGTGTTTCCGCACGTGGACTCTTTGGGCCTGGAGGGTTACTTGGGATGCCAGGTCTGGAACCGATTTTTTGGAGGCCCATTTCGGGCTCGTGCTGGTCCCGCGCGGGGACGTTCGAACATACTTTGGGACACGCGGCCCCACGCTCGCTCTCGTCTGGACTCGCCTCTCGTACCGCTGCTGTGTCAGATATTCCTATTGCTTGTCTGTATTATTTCAAGCCTGACGGTGCATGCGTGCGCCGCCTGACCCCCTTCAGCTCTGGCACGTGGGATCCCGTGAACAGCGTTGTTTAAAAGCTGTTTCTCAGGGGGCGCTCCATCCATGGCGACGTCATTGTCATCCTAGATCCGCTCGCCAGCGCAAAACCCAACCCAGCCGACATATGGTACGGGCGACAGAATGGAGTTCTGATTCCCGGCTAACCTGCAGAAAATTCTTGGCAGCTAGGTACAGTGCGCCTCTTCCCCCCAAGGCGTCAGGAGGCCCGCCGTCGGCCGCCCGAGCTCGCAGCCAGAGCGAACCAGCTCCGAACCCATGTCCAATCCAATCCTCCCCCTCCATTTTCTCCTCCTCCTTTTCTTTTTCGTTCTCTTCAAACTTGGTCTTCTCGTTGTCGTCCTCCTCCTCCTTCTCCTCCTCCTCCTGCTCCTCCTCCTCTTCTTCCTCCTCCTCCTGCTCTTTTTCGTTATCCTCCTTCTGCTCGTCGTCCTCCTCCTTTTCCCCTGCGATCCAAGGACAACTGCTCCTATCTAGTCACTGCTGTGGAGCTCCCTGCTACGAGGGACTCCAAATGCCCATGCTCACCCTTTAGCGGATCATGTTGGCGCCACATTATTTTTCAGCACCCTTGGCCGCAGCGCCGCGCCTGAGGCGCACCCGCCTGCCGTGCGGTTACAGTTGTTGGCCACCGTCATCGTAGTCGCCGTGGTTGTGCCGGGGCTGTTTCTTTTCTCTACCGGGACCTCGCGCCCTCACGAGGCGCGCGCGTGGCCAATCCAGGAATCGAGAAATCCGATCCTCCCCCTCCACCCCTCCCCCTCCTGGTCCCCTCCCCGCCACCGAGGCGGGTGCTCCTGACGCCCGCGTCGAGCCCTGCGGGAAACTGGGCCTTCGACGTGACGCCCCGCCGGCTGGTCTCGGGGCTGCTGACCGAGCACCGTGCCGGCCCTGCCACCTCGAGGGGTTCTCGTCGGCGTCGCGGCATTTTCGTCGCTTCCGCAGGTCTGATCATCCCCAGGATGTTTTTTCCAGCAGCTGCGCCTCGCCGACAGCGTGCCGAGGGGGCCGGGATCGTCCCGAGCGGCCGCTGGAGGCCCCAGTGCGGGCCCGAAAGCCATTTCCGCTCAGCTCGGACGCTGCAATTCTCCTAGATCCCGGCGTCTTTTTTTTGGGGGGGGGTTCTCTGAATTTCGGCTTCCGGGTGCCGTTTTCGGGGACCTTGGGCCATCCGGGGTCGGCACAGGGCGGAAAGCTGGCCCCGGGGAAGAGGTCGGGACCCTGCTGGGGTTGCGGGCCGGAAATCTCATCTTCGGATGCCTGGGCCTGGCCAGGCCGAGAGAACGGTCTTGGAGGTGCCCCCTAAGGGCTTGACGACAATTCTCCAGTCGACTTGTGAGGACCACGCTGGATAGATCCGGGTGAGTGCAGACAAAGCCTGGCACATCCAGACACATCAACAAAACCTCCACGGAAATGTTGAGCAAACCGTGGCCACTCCAGCTCGAGCCGAAGGACGGCAGAAGTCCTTAGGCCCTTAGCGACAGGCCTCCAGAGGCCCACAGAGCTCTCCAGAGCTCCTGGGCCTTTGCGTGGAGGCCCCCAGAGGTCCTCAGAAGCTCCGAGGCCCCCGCAGGCCCCTGCGGAGGCCCCTCGAGGACTCCGGAGACCCCCCCCCCCCGCCGACCTTCCGATCTGTGCGCTGCAAGTCTTTCACAGCGAGCGATCTCCACGGCGGTCCGGCTCGAAAAATTACGCAGGAAGATGGGACTAGGGCTCTGGTCGTGATTTCTCTGCTATAGTGCGTTTTTGGGCAACATCGGACCTCAGGCAAGAGCAGAGAGCGGAGGTCTCCGGAGGCTTCCCCGAGGCTCCGAGATCCCTGGAATTCCCTGGAGGCTTCCCCGAGGCCTCTGGAGATGTCCAGGTGCCGCAGGGCGACCATGCAAAGACGTTGTTCTTCTTCGGTGCGCACGCACTTGTTGGAGCAGGAGAGGGGGAACTGATGGGAACACGCTGAGCAAAACGCGTGTCCTGGTCCCTCGGAGGGCGGCGGGGCCTCCACGGACCGAGAGGGGCCTGTGCGAGGCTCGCGGGCGGGAAACGCATCTCCACATCTGCGCCCCCGTGGTTTGGGCGCCCACGAGGCGGCCTTGCTCGGATGCCCCGCGTGAAACGCGTCCGTGGGATCGAGTACGGCCGCTTCGAGTCGTGTCGACGCGGCGGCGACCCCGCCGCGGGCGTTCAAGGCTAGCGCTGCCAGGGGCACAGGCTTGGCCCATTTTGAACGCTCTGGCGATCGAAACGCCGCCGATCGTTTTTAGGTTGAAGAACGATCCACGCGGTGTCAGAAACCAACGCCGAAGTCGTCACGACACGAACCTGCAGTGTCAATGGGATCCCGCCTCGGTGTCAAGACCCCGAGAGCGCGGACCCCAGACATCCGACGGTGTGCCGTTTTCAAAGCGCGGCCCCAGGGAGGTCCCGGCCCTCTCTCTCCCTTGGGCAGGCCTTTCTGCGCCCCTGGAGCCCGGCAAGGCCGAGGTCGAGGAAAAGCGCCCAGATTGAAAAGGCACATACGGTCATCAATTTTTGCTTAGCGTATCTCTCCGCCGGTTCTGGCCCACCACGCTTCGGCGCGATACGCTAACCACGTCCACAATTCCAGGCGTCAGCGTCTGGAGCTCTGCCCAGCCTCCCGCCTGGCGGAGCGGAGCGACGCTGTGTCAGCTCACCTGGTGTAGCATGTCGTTGGGACTGCCGCCGCGACGCGCAAAGCGAAAGTTCCCGACTGTATCGTTGGATGCCGTGGTACAGTGGGGGCCCATGCCAAGAAACAGCCTGCTTGCCTCCAGGGTGCCCTGGACTTCTTGGGTTTCGATGGCTTTGCCACGGAAAGCGGGACGTTCCCACGCCAAAAATCGATGGGCGTCCTGGGGTCTCAGGGTTAAGTTTCTTGCGGAAGGTTTCTTGTGGACTGGCCCCCGCTGTCCGGATGTGTTCGTCCCTCGTGCGAGGCATCGGAGGGGGCCCTGGTGCGGCTGTACCCCGAGAAGGCCGCGGCCGCACGCTGAGCCCTCTGGCCGCCTCAGGGGTGTGCCGATGCGTCGGTGGGAGCGCCCTCCTCGCCCTCCGCCGACTCCTCCTTGCACATCCTGCCTCTGAGGCGGTGGGCCTCCTTGCCCCTCCTACCTGGTGGTCCTGCCCCCTCCTCCTCCTTCCCTCCCCTCCCTCCTCCAATCTTCTCCTCCTTCCCTCCCTCCTCCTGCCTCCTCTCCTCCCTCCCTTCTCTCCTCCTCCTCCTCCTCCTCCTCTTCCCTTCTCTCCTCCTCCTCCTCCTCCTCCTCCTCCTCCTCCTCCTCTAGCCATGTTCCCTATAGATAACCCCTCCTTGTCGCACCCTTTGGCGTGTCGGGAGGGTGGCCTTTGCGTTTCGCCGGAGGCTTCTTCACCATGTATGGCAGTGGTGATAAATATTTGCAACATCTACAAGAATGTAGCACATGTCGCTTTCAAAGTAGAGCTATCGGATCAGCGCCGCGCACATTCGTCTAAACAACTGTAGTTACACGGGTGGAGGGCAGTTCTTTTTGAACATGGAGTTCGTGCTTCAGCGGGCTTTGCATTCGTCCAAAGCGATTGCAGTAGATGTAGGGCGGGAGGCGGCTCCTTTTCAAAGTTGGGTTCTCGCCGTAGCGCCGTGCGCATTCATGTTGACATCTTGCAGTAGTTGCAGGGGAGGGTGGAGGTTGATTTCTTCTCTAAGTGACGCTCTCGCCTTCGCGTGGCGCACATTCGTCACACAAGGACTACAACAGATACGGGGAGAGAGGACGCTCTCGATTGAGTCTCCCTGAAAATCTAGAAGACCACGAAGTTGATCATACTTAGCAGCTGCGCGGATGGAGGGTGGCGCTTTTTCAAAATGGGCCTTCCGCCTGAGACGTTCTCGATATTCACGGCCAGAATTGCAAGCTTGTGCAACGCTTACTGTACACGTGTTGGGGCGGTCCTTTTTTTCCAATATGGGAATGTAGCTGGACACCTCGTTGAGCTGCTTGGTCATACTATTCTCGCGCTCGCTGCTCGTATTCGCTAGAAGGATGCAAGACAGCCCCTTTTCATAATGGGGCTCTCGCCTGAATGGCAGACCCGGAGGGCGCTGGTCTTTCAAGAGTGGCGCGTCTTCAAGTCGAAAGGCAGGCTTGCAGGGATGTGTGAGGGGTGACTTTGCACGAGTTCGCTTTTCCTCTTCCCTTTTCATCCGCATCATCCGTCTGCTGTTTTCTGCGCGTGTACGTTTGTGCTCACATGCATCCACCCATTAATTTCTGTGGATCCTGCCAAGAGGCCCCTGAGAGGCATCCCAAGAGCCCCTCCTATGCATCCCAGAGGCTCTTGGCCCACCAGATAACTTTTACGACCGCCGCAAGTTATCATTAATTCTGCAAGCCGGCGGACTTGCGTAAGCCACTTTGAAGTTTGCTGTTCGCACTGCAGGGGCGGAAGAGGGGAAGGGGCGGCCCCTGATGACGGTTGAAGTGACGACGATGATGCAGACGGTTGCACGTTGCGTGTCGCGCGCGCCCTCTGTGCGCGATCTTGCTGGTTGCTGGCCATGGCGGCGGCGCGTTGCGGAGTGATTGCCGCGGGCATGCTTGCGCCCCTACACGCACGCCCCAACATAAAATTCAGATCGCCTCCCCCTTCTCGTCGGCCACGGCCCGCACGCATGACTCCGCGCGGAAGCATTCGCGTGGGGGCATCTGCGCATCGCCAGCGGTCAGCGCGACACGATAAGGGCGCAACGCGCCCCACGCGCTGGCAACGCCCGCGCGCCTGAGCAAGGCTGCACCTGACAGAGTCTGGATTGCCTTCTTGGTCTCGCTGGCGTCGTGTCCACCCACGTTGCCCACGCGGTGCGTCGTGCTCTCGATGCGCCTCAGCGCCGATTCCACGGGAATTACCCCACGCCACGAGCTTGAAGCACAGGTTCGTCTCCTGGGCGGCAGGCGCCTTGCCGCGGGAGTGACGGCACAGCGCGGCGGTTGCGCGCTTCGGGAGCTTGCTCTGCAGCAGCCCCGCCACGGGCGCGAAGACCCTGGCCTGGCGGTTCGCGCCAGGCAGGCTGCGCGCGCCGACCTCCGCGGCGGCGGAGTGGAAAGCCCCGTCGCCGCCGGGCGCCAACGCCGCGCCCTTGCCCGCGGAGCGAGCAAGGAGGCCGCGCACTTCCGCCAGCGACTCTGGGCCGCCAGACCCGCGCTTCGCATTGGAATTCCTCGTCGGCACAAATCGCGGCCGTCCAGTCCTTTGAGAGACGCCCCTTCGCTGCGAGCAGACGGCCCTGGTGGCTCTTCCCGCCGCCCGTCAACTTCTCGCATGCCATGCGGGAGCTATCACCTCGGTTTTATCGCCCTCAAACACAGTGTCGCGGATGTGCTCGAGCTCCGAGTGCGCCGGCGCCACCTCGTGCGTCGCGTGGAACCCAGACGCGCTGCGCTCCACGATCGCGATACTGTCGCCCATCTGTCGCACGATCTGGCTTGCCACGTCGCCGGGCAACTTGCGCCCCAGTGCGCAGGCAGTGCGCAAGCACGTCTTGCAGTCCCGATCGCGGCCCCCTGCGCGGGAGCACGCGAGCGGCGCGTAGACCGCGCCTGGGCTGGCGAGGCGCGGGCGGCTGCAGTGCGCCGCTGCGCGCCGAAAGCCGCCGCCTATCTTACCCATCTCGCCGCCGCGCTGCCAGCGAGCAAACGGCGCCGCCTCGCCGCGGCGCGGCAGGGCGCCGGCCTCCAGCAACACCTTCTCGGCGCCGATCTGGCTCAGGGCGCCGATCTCCTCGCGGGGCCGCTGGTCCAACCGCCGCGGCGCGGTCGTCTGCGCATGGGTCGATGCCGACTCGCCGCTGCAGGCAGGGCCATCCTTGGTGGAGCTACCCATTTGCCCGCAAGGCTTCGGCGGCGCGGCTGTCGGCGCCCTTGCCGCTCGCCCTCGCGGGCCGCTTCATCGGCGTCCTCTCGCCGTGCGTCTTCGTGGTCTTCTTCGCCGATGGCTTCGCGCCGCGCGTCCTCGATGGCTTCTTCGCAGCCCTCATCGCCCGCTTGAGGGCCCATTGCCCGGCGGGCCTCGGGGCGCGTGCGGGCGCTCCGCAGGCCCGGCTGCGCCGAAACGCTAGGGCGCGGGGCGCCCGCCCGAAGCGGCGGGGCGCGGGGGGGTTCGGTCGAGCCAAGACGGCGACCGCAGGCAAGCAGTGAGTTAAATGCAGCCATGGCGCGGGCAAGAAGCACATTCGATAGCAGCCCTCAAATGTTATAGCTGACAGCGTGTCTTCCGTCTCAAGATCCCGCCCTCGGAGGAGATTGATGGGCGTTTGTGCCGACTGGCGCGCTGATATCACGAACGGTGCAATGCCTCATCAGAGAAACAGATCTCATCGAGCGCAGGAGAGGATGCGGGATGAGGGCGACGATGGACAAGAGGAGGGCGGGCGAAGCGGGGGCGAGGGAACGATGAGCGAACTTGTTTCGGGTCTCCCTCGGAGCTCACATCCAGTCGGGCCCTCTGCGACTCGCAGCTCGCTCAACGGGCGCCCTCTCCCCCGTGCTCACATCCTGCCTGG